CGGGCTTCAGGGCAAGGCTTGAATCACAGGAATCTGCAATGGCTTCACGATAGCTGTCACTAGCAGCCGCAGCCAGAAATTGGTTGTTGTCGGGACAACTGGAGGAGCAGGTTGATGAGGCGCAGGTCTACCAAGAAGACGGAATAGCAAGCTCTCAACACCCATTGCCAGGCTACGAGGCAAATTATGCCATCGCGGAGCTGAAGGCCGTGTGTGTCATGGTCCTGCAGCCTGCATGTCTTAGTCTTGTGGTGCCAGAGTGGCCTTTTTTCGACCCCTTGATTCAGATTCGGACGGATTGTTCAAGACTTCGAGTTCTCAAAACGTAAGCTGAATGGTTTTGGGAGTCTCGGATGATCCCGATATGTGAGGCAATCTATACCGTGTAGAGCCGGCAGGGAAGGCACTCTCCTGAGATGTCCACTGCAGCCCAAGCCTCAGCACAAAGCATGCCGGCCACGCGGCCTGCCCGTTCCAGAAGTCGAAGTCCCGCAAGAGCATCGGGAACTGCACCTGTCTCGGCTGTCACTGAGCCCTGGGGGCAAGCAGTCCGTGCCCTTGCAGAGTTCGAGGGCAGAGTCTGGGCTTTGAGAGATGAAGCCGACTGCGTGAACTGTTCCCGGTTGAGGGCACGAAGACGCCAGCTGTTGAAAGAGGCCGGTGAGGCATTGGGCTATCCTCCGGAGAGTAAGCTGTACACAGCCTCTGAAGCTGCGCAGCTTCAGTCGCTTCCTGCGACCCTACGCCTTAACGAGCATTTGGAACCAGCACGACCATGTCGAATCTTTTCTCCACGCACGGCGCAAGGTCGCAGCATCCGGGAGCAGAACTTGCAGTATTCCTCAGAGAACCACATTGAGATGGCGCTCGATTTGCATCGTGTGGCTGCTTTCCAGACTTGCATTCAACGTGCTGGCAAAGGGCGACGTGTGCTGGATGTGGGTTCCGGGGCCTTCTGTCTACTTGGCAGATTGGCCTTGAAAGCAGGTGCGGTGCTCGTTCATTGTGTGGAACAGAGTTCGGCCAGCGTGCTGTATGCACGGGAGCTCTTTAAGATGGAAATGGCGAAGATGGAGTTGCCTCCGCTGTTATGGCTCCGGCGCACGCCGGCGGAGCTCTGCCCAGATCAAATGCAGCTCATCTTCCCAAGCTCCGAGGCCTCCGAGGGTTCCCGGACTCGGAGATTTCAGATCCACGTGGAAGATCAGGAGGCTCGGGAGCGCAGTGTTCATGAAGTCGAAGGGGGAGATTTGGATCCGAATCTGCAGGAGTCTCTTGGCTCCCACTGCGGCACTGTGCTTCTCTGGCCAGATGATGCAGACGAGTTCCCTGCAAGTCTGGAGCTTCATCAGGGCCTTTGTGAGGAGATCCCCCTGCCCGGAGATTACGATCTGGTGGTGCATGAAATCCTCGGCTATATGGCGAGCTCGGAAGGTGTGGTGCCAACCATTAAAAACCTGCATGCGAGACAGCTTCCCTCTGCAGGCTGCCTCTTCATCCCAGCTGCTGCTGGGACCTACTTTGCCCCAACGGAGAGACTCGAAATGACGGAACTTGAGCTTACCTTACATTCGCTCTTCAATTGTGAGCAACACCTGGCTGTCAAGGTCAAATACAATGTGCGCTACTTCGATCCCTCTTCCTTCCTTGCCAGCCCCGAAGTCTTTGAGTGGTTCTGTTTTGGCCGGCCGGACACACTCACTGACCAGAAGCGCACGGTGGAGTTCAGAACGACTCGCGAAGGTTACTTTGACGGTCTCCACTTCCACCTGTTCATTGACATGGACTCTGTTACAACGTTGGACGTGCTGGCTGTTCCGACGACGTGGTGTACAACGTATGTGCGATTGCTTGAAGAGGCCATTTTTCTTCCGGCCAACAGCTTGATGACGTGTCTGTGTAGAGCGGCGGCGTGCGGAGCTGCCGTGCAGTACTCCGTGGAGGTTTGGTTGGGTACACCGGTCAACAGCTCAGCACCACTTGCCAGCTTTGCCTGGGAAGGCTGCTCTTGACTCGCCCGACTCGCAGGCCGCTAGCAGTCACCTACCTGTGATAGCCCGCTAGAAAGTGGCAGTTCGAATATGCGGAGCTGCAGGGACCGACCGTGGATTTTTGTTGTGTTATCTTGTGTGCCTTCTCGGGGAAAACCATCTGCTTCTCCGCTTGTTCTCTATTCTCCGGCCTTGCCCTTCCACACTTTTGCTGTTCTTCTTTGCTGCAAACTCCCTGTCTTTGTGCATTCTCGGTGCTTGCTGAAGACGGCTTTCTTCTTCGTAGCTGTTCCTGTAGCAGTAAGACATCATTCAGGGCAATCTGCAGACGGTCTCTATCCATATATGGGAGTTTCCAAAATTTGGGGGGCACCATATTCTGAAATCCTTACAATGAGGATCCTGATGATTAGGGTGCCATGTTAGGGTCTCCTATTTTCGGAAACCCCCATGCATTGTACATCGGCCCATCGTCCTGTAGATTCGCGATGAGACTGGTTGAGTTGACGTGCCACGACGTCAGGTCCTATTGAGGCAGGACAGTCTCTTGTAAGAGTTAATGCAAGATGAGTGGATGTGCCCGGCCAGGCTATGTACGCCGACACTGCAAACGCAAGCCCGTGACAAGACTTTACGGTTAGATTCTGGATGACGACAAAAACTTTAGCATAACTTTTATTGCCACGGCTGGGAAGACTCCACCACGTCCTCGATTTGAGGAAGGCGAAACACGAGCAACGAGCAGCTGGCATGTAGCAGCGCCTAACCATGCGGCGGCATCAAGGATTAATTATCATTCTCAAAGCCCAAGCGAAGAATCATGACTGTCCGAGAAGGCAACTTTGCATTTAGCAGCAAGGTTTTTCACACTAGTTAGCTGAGACCATAGCCGACAAAGAACAAGATATTACATAATGTCGCAAGACGAAGTATTGTCATACCAGCGGCCACGTGCGAACCGAAAGTATGCAGCATTGAGTTTAATGTAACTACGACCGGATAAAGGATCTCCTTCTCTTTTGCGTGCTGACATATGTGTGTATATATTTATGTGTGTGTGTACACACATACATTAACATTCATACCGGTACATACAACACGCCACCGGTGCATACGCTTTAAGACTGTCCGTTCTGACACGAGAGCTCCCAACTGGCCAAAGCCAAGCATCTTTGAAATTGCCAAGCAAAGGCAGCAATCCCGATTCCTAGGAGATGACGACTCATTGCTACGAACCTTCAAATCACGTCATTATTGCGACGGCTTTCCTTTTAGGAAACGTTTCGGAGGCACCTGCTCTTTATCAAGATCTGGGGAGGAATCTTCTGCCTGTCCTGTAGCACTCGTCTTGGTATCATGCGCCGTTGTCGTGGAGTGGAGCTGTTGGATTGTAGCACCTTTCGAAATGGACCCCTCTAGGCCTTTGCGTCGGTAAACCGAAATGACCTTTACTTATCATTCTCGCCACGAGCATCGTTACTACTAGGGTCAGTGGTACCAGCAGCAGTGGTAGACTTAGCAGTAGGAGACGGCGCTGTTGTCGTCCTTGCTAATTGTTGTAACTGTAGCAGTCCCGGCATACAGGCCAATCTTGAGCGTGTGTGTGTGTGTGTGTGTGTCAGTATCCCTATCGTATCTCCTTATTCGCAGTTGTCCCATGCTGACCGTTCTTTGTTAGTTGTCGGTTGGGGATGATGATTTGTTGTGTGCCGTACAGTATTTGCGGCTTTCATGCTTCACATCCTTGAACCGTGAGACAGCCGAGTAGACATTCCCCCTTTCAGGCATCGGAACTTACTTGCTTGGGCCGAGCCCTGATAACCGTTGCATTTACCAAGTTCTGTTCGGATCCAACTGCATCCAAGATCACCGGCATGACACGCCCAGAACTGCGAACAGGCGTTCTTGTGCGTGGGCGGCAAAGGGCCGCAAATCTTTGCGTGGAGCCAAGAAGCCACATTGCCACATCTGTATTTGAGCAGCGGCTTTGGACTCCAGGGGCTCAGGGCTTTGGGCTTTAGGCTCGAAAGGGCGCAGGGTTCGCTGGTCAAGAGTTTTGGGATTTCGGGTTTAGGAGTTTGGTTTTGTCAGCTGAACCTGGTTCAAGAAGAGGCCCTTTGGGCTTCATGTGTTGACGGCTGTGGGCACTGAAGTTGTAGGTTTAGGGATGGGCACTGAAGTTGTAGGGATGTTGCTTGAGGTTTAGTTTTCCCCAAGGCTCTCTGTGCAGTCGTTGTTTTTCTTGTTTTTCTGGCCGTCTACGTCTACGTCTAAGGTCGGATCCTGAGGGGTGGGTAACAGCAGGCAACCAAAAGAAATGTCATCGAGCCTGAGGTGCAGGATGTGATGGACTTGCTTCTCGACTTGGGCGTCCCGTTGACGAGCAAGCAACAGATGGAGCTGCGATACAAGGCAGGGATTGTATGTATGTATGCATCTGTACATACACACGGTATATACTCTTCGTAGGTAGTACACTTACACGCTGTACATATATAGGTATATGTATGTATGTATATATATATATACACATAAGTGTGTATTTACATATATATATATATATATATATATATATATATGTAAATATACATATTGACCATCTAGTCTCAGTTTCAACCCAGAGAAACTAGGAGCTGAGTGACAGGCGACCGTTTTCGCCGCCCACCATAACGACGCCTCGTCCTCAGAGCCGGGAGAGGACACGAGCGGGAGGTGAGAGCTCCGAGCGAAAGCCAAGGCCGTGGACTTCGCCTCCTTTATACAACTGATCAGGCCCGGGCGAGGGGACTTCGCAGATAGAGGAGGGAAGGAGGCAGTTTTTGGGAGTCTTTGGGGCATCCTTCTTGGCTACAAGGCTACGAAGCAGCCTGTGCACTCGAACATGCGCTTGCGGTTGGTGAATCCGACGGAACTTGAAAGTCCACATAAGTTTGCACTCATTCCCAGGCTCGAGGTGCAGCTGTGCCCCAGGCTAGGTTTTAGTTCGTCATTTAGTACGCGCGACGTGCCATGATGTTCATCCGTCCATTCCTTCACGCGGTTCTCTTGGCACATGCGGTGGCAAAGGATTCATGCCTGTCATCGGTGCAGATCATTGACGACTTCCTGCATGATGGGGAGGCATCGAGAATCCTGGAGAAGGTCCGTGTGTCCGAACTGCTCATTGATCAAACTTCCGTTGTGGAACGCATCCGTCAAGCCATGGATGTCCCCGAGCCGACGGGCGTTGAAGTGGATGGATCTGTGATCCCATCAAGGATCGCAACCGGCAATGTGTCTGAGCACCAGGACAACGACGGCGAGGCAGTGACCAACAGCTCCTCTGCAGTGATCTATCTCGAGTCGGCACCGGATGGAGGAAGCCTTGGCAAGCTTGTCTTCAAGGAGAAGAAGATGGTTTGCTCCGAGTCTCAAGTCGAGATGGAAGTGGAGGCGATTGGAAAGCGACTCGTCTCATGGGACAACGATGCCTGCCTGCACAGCTTCCATGCTCGTCATGAGGGGGCCCGCCACCTCCTCGGGCCCCTGACGGTGAGTCCTCTCGGAAGCATGGTGGGCGTCGGAGGAAACCCGACGACAACTACAGTGTCAACGACAACTTCAGCGTCAATGACAATGACGAGCTCAACGTCAATGACCATGACAGACACGAGCACGACATCGATGACAACGACGATGACTGACACGATGACGAGCACAGCTACAATGACGATGACGGACACCATGACGACCATGACGGACACAGTCACGGAAACAATGACCATGACGGAGACGGTGACGCAGGCGCGAGACGTGCCAAGTTGAAGCAGTCACGGTGGCCCCTTAAACTCAGGCCGCTCAAGGCTCTTCGCGGAATTGTAACCCCAAGCTGCTAGTAGACCACTCTCAGCGAGCAAGGCCGAAGATCTTTGTGTTCGTGTAAGCAAGCAGTGAAAGTGGAATCCTTGACAGTGTTCTTACTGAAGGCCCCCGGAGCCGTAGCCTCAGTAATGTACCGAGCCATTGAAACCGTGATTGAAGCTTTAGAGCCGTATGGGCCCGGGGCTTCCCAAGACTCATTCTCATACCGAACCATTTGAACAAGTTTCTGTTGCAAAGCCTGCTTGAACACTTGCGGAACATATGTGAGCCGGGCCTGCGAAGGGGTGGCTTCTGACTGCATGGTGTGGGCTTCTCTTTGCAAGACGGGGTGCAATCCATGCAAGCCGCCCAACCCTCAGGCTGGGGATCTCAACAGCGTCAGTGCTGCTGAGGGCTGTGGCCAAGATTGGTTGCCTCTGCCCTTCGCCCTCTCATGCTTGTTGGGGTTTTTGGGCTGATCTCCTGAAGAGGCAGCACGAAAAATTGGCGCACGGTCTTCCCAAAGCAATTGCTTTCACGTGTCGCCTGGGCGGCTAAGCATGCCACGGTGCTGCCTAATTTCAGGATCTAATTCCTTTTGTTGGCATGTGTTCGGCATGCTTGCCATACCATGCCATGCCTTCTTGCATTGCCTATTATCTCACGTGTACCGGTCTCACAGGTACCGGTGCTGTTTGGCCGAAGAGTCCCGACCCTCGCGAAAAGATCGTGGACGCATTGCCGGTCAGTCTGTGGCTATGCTTTCTTGCAACGTCATTTACAGTGTCTTAGAGCATGCTACAGGCCGGCCGTGTCAGTGACCTAGGAGTCTACGTTCGTACGAGCTTGTCTCTCATCCTGGCTCTCATCGTGTTCTTTCTTTGGGAAGGTGGATGCTGGACACGAACCTGGGAGACATCAACCGCAAGACTTCGGGTAGCGGTGCCATGAAGGGCTTCCAGGCTGGCGGAGACTCCCCCGAGTATGTTCAAGGCTCCAGGGTTTCCGGGCTTCAGATGTCGGAGGGGGAGAGTGTACAGTCACCTTATGCCTTATGCCGCAGTTTTTCCGGAACAGAGGTGTCAACTTAAAGCTTCAACAGCCGAAATCAATCAACATCAAAGTCTGGGATCCTGAAGTTGAAATGTGGTGGCGTTGCGTGGATCCGTGCCTGCTGCGTGCGAGTGTGCGAGTCGAGACCTAGTGCCCGCTCTACTTGAAGGATCAGGGGACGTAGTAAGTCGGGTAATAAGTAAGGTATCTCTGGTTATATCTGTTTATATCCCCTAAGTAGAGCACCGAGAGTCCAGTTTTCCCATCCGAAGGCTGCTTCCGCGGCCTTGTCTGTGTCTTTGAGGTGCCTGAATCACTGCGGGATACAGGGTTTTTGGCTTGGAATCCAGGGTTGGATTCCAGATGCACCAGGGTTTAGGGCCGGGATGGAGGAAGAGAGAGCTCCTGGAACTATTGCCCGTGAAGCTCTGTAAGTGATCTGGCTCTTGACCCCTGGCTCGAACGTGCCGGAAGATACTGTGCCGGCAAGTGTGTACTACGGTTTTAAGTCAGATTACTGTATGCCGCAATAGACCACAATATGCAAGAATGCCATTAAGGGAATGTGCAAGGTGCCAGATATGCAAAAAGGGCAGATACATGGCAACGGGCTGGTAGCATTGTGCCCGTGTCCCAAGTTGTGCATGGCTGGAGGGAGGGAGGGAGGGAGGGATGGACGGATGATGACAGATGATGATGGATTATAGGTGTGTGGTTGTGTGTATGTGAGTACGTCTGTACGTGTGCAGGCGTGTGTACACGTGTTCTTGTGTGTACGTTTGTATGTACGTGTTTGTGAATACGTATATCATATTATGACATGTTTTAGGTACTAGGCGATGCCATCATGTAGTATGTATGTGTACATGTATTCCTAGTATGTAATATGGAACTTGGAATATGTAGAACGAATATGTCGATGCCTGTATGTGTATACGCATTTCTACATGCATGCAACATGTATGTACGACATGTGTGTGCTTATATATGTGTGATTGTGTGTGTATGGATGTCTGTACATGTTATCTGTGTCTGTCTGGCTGTCTGCCTGTCTGTCTGTATGTGCCCTTGACGGCTCGTGCGTGTTATTGTCTGAGCAGGAGAGCAAGTTCATGTGTTCTTGGCACCTCTCTGAAGCGGCCCCTGCTCTAGCCCCCCCCCCCTCCCTCCGGACCTGCGAAGCCACAAGCCTTAGATGCCCTGAACTTGACCTGCCGAGGCCCAAGCACTACACCTTAAACTCTACTGTTTCAAGCTTTGCAGGTCAAGGTTTACCGCTTCCAGGCGTGCATCGGCATCCTGAAAGCCCAGTAGCAGACGGCACCGAAACACGGAGCTGCTTAGGAACGGATTTCAGGTTCTTATAATTATATGTCGGTTTTCAGGATTGCTGACAGGATGTTAGGAGCCAAAGGAACCATGTTCTTACAGTTCAGTCTATGCTACATAGTAAAGGATACAGCAGAGACAAAGGCACAAAAGGGCTGCATAGGGCTTTTGGTCAACAGTTCCTGGATCCCGGAAGTGCGTCATTCCCAAAACCCGCGGGCTTTGCACGGATTCTTCGAGGGACTTGACTGATTAAGTCGCAGCTTCGCAGTCCAGCGCTCATGATTTCGATGCCTTCGCCAGCGAACTTACTAGACATGTTGTGAATACTTTTGGGATGGCCCTGCACACATTCAAGAACCCGTAGGTCCGAGGAGGAATGCGTACATACGCTCACAGAATTTGTGTTCAGTGTCTCCGCGGAGCCAATAGGAGGCCTGTTGTGTGGATAAAGTTAAAAATTACCTTAAGTCCGTCGTTTAATGGTTTGGCTTCCTGAAGAATCAACGTCGGTTACGGGGAGGCTGATGATGTTCCAAGAACATGTACCGCAATTTTGTCAACAGCAGCAACTGTACAAATGGAACGCGCCGATCTCTCCTGTTCGGTGCCGCAACACAGGGTTGCATTCTGCAACCCACCACAGCGCTGCACTCAAGCAGTTTTGATTGGAAGCGTCATGGACAGCATTCTGCTTTTGCTAGGACTTAGGAGGACTCAGTGCTGCGCTGCCTGCAAGACGCGGGCGCGCGGCATCGAGATGTCGCAGACATGATTTGCGGAAGTCTTTAACCCTGAATCTTCCAACGCTTCTTCGTATATCTCAATCGGGAAAGCTCCCGAAGCTGACCATCACTCACAGCCTTCTGGTGGATTCGGGAAGTCGTTGCAGCTTGCACTTTCAAGGGCCGATCCCGGACCCCGAAACGGGGCCCAGGACTCTACGCCTTCAAAGGCGCATCCCAGTCGCGGGGAGGGCGTTGTCTTTGTAGCCTTTCTAATATATGGAGATGAAGGGGCTGGGGGGTGCGGCTGGCTGCTAACGAAAGGAAACTGCTTCATTGCGTGGACCTGGGTTTTGGGGCAGTTGCCGATGGTGGATCATCGAAAGTCCAAAGTGTACGGCACATCCTTGGAGTCAGGAGGATTCACGGCAGACGTGGCTCGCAGGATTGAGTAGTGAATAGGACCAGGACCGAGACGGACCTTTGCAGCGCATCTTGAGCATACCCAGGATTCAATTACAGCAGCGTCATACTAGGACTACTAGTTGGCAATTGCAACGGTCGCCGACGCACACGGCGCCAGAGGGGCCCGACCTTGCACTAGATGGTGCAGCTATCAAAATGTAATTCCGACTACACGCAATCGAGAATACAGTAAGTGAGGTACTAGACCATCTAAGGATCAAGACGCGGCGACCTTAGGACGTCAAGTCATTTTTTGGTGGGATTGTAAGGACCTGTGAGGCCCGGCGTAGCAGAGACATGATCGAGAGCTTCTCGAGCTTGGTGGTTCGACAAGATCCGCCATGGAAGGCGCACTTGACCTTTCCTACTCGTTGTCGTGCACTTGCCGAGGGTAGCAGAGAGTCATCACTGTGCACCGACAGCGGTTCCTGGGGCCAGCGCCCCAGCCGTGCGCTGACGTCGCGTGTTCACTCGTTTCAGAATTCCAAGGGTAAAAGGAGGGACCCTTAATACGGACCCCTGAGTATATACCCGTAATATCGCCATTATTATATACCCATTATATAGCCCATTATTGGGTACGGGTCCCCATTCAGAGTCCCTCCTTTTCGAAGAATCTTCTCGCCGTACCGAGGCTGGGAGTTCACGGTTGAGGCAATCCCCGAGCGCGAAGCCTAGGCAAACATTCGGAAAGATGCCATTCCATTCAAGGTGCTAGTACCACTGTTGAAGGGACGGTGTGGAAGTCAGAAGATCCAGCCCAGTATGCCATAATCCATCTTAGCTCCACATGCTCTGCGCGCCCATGTCCTAGATCAAGCAGATGCTGGAGCCATGAGTTTTCTCGATGGGTTGTATACTGAATGTCGAAGTCGTAGGTCTCAGGAAGCATGGAACGAGAAAGGCGCAAGGTCACGAGTCAAGCTCGTCAAGGGTCCATGAAGCCGAAAGCATGAACCATTGGGGGGTTCCTCCTGGTAGCAGGAGAAGAGCTGACCGGAGTCGTGTGTGCAGAACGCTTCCGTTCGGGTTTCCACACTGCCCTGGCAAATGCGATGGCTGCAACGCCAGCGGGGCCGCCGCAGGTCTTTGCGCCGGCGGTGCCAGGTCAGTCGAGATCCAAGCAGAGGAGTAGTAGTAGAGCCGATAGTTTTTGTACTTTGTCAGCCGCGAGTCGGTGGCACCGAACATGCATCAGATCGCAGGCTGAGTCGAGACAGAAGCCTTGATCGTGGAGGAAGCACGTTCACTTAGGTCTTACTTCGACTTGAGCTGCCCAGGGACGAAGCCCAATCTGTCCCAGCATAGCATTTGCTAAGTTTCACGGTGGGCAGGCCAGGTGAACTTAACATTCCATGTCGCATGCCATGTCTCACTGCAGGTCTCAGCCTCAAGCTTTCGTTTGACCCTCACTTCGTTTCCCTTCCCTCCCGTGTAGCTCCTGCGGGGCTTGTTGCGGGGGAGTGGGACGTGCCTCTGCAGTCACTCTGGGTGGGTATGCAGAGGGGCCACTCCATTGGGGCATGCAGGTCTTTCCTGCCTTCCCCGTGGATGGGCTTTGGCATGTATCATGTGCTGGAACTTTGCATCAGCCTGCAAAGTTGACGGCTGACAAGAACGAGTGCTTTGAACACTGCCTGTAGCTTTACGTACGAATGTCCTAAGTACTGCAAAGGTTAGATGAAATCCCCGGATTGAATTGCCCCACAAACTTGATAAAGCTGACATACATGGAGGGTTAGATGCAAAAAACCGCCAGCTTGTTGGATCCGTATTGAACCCCTGTTGGAATCAAGTCGTTTCGGCGAATGCTCGCAGGTGGCTCCGGCGCAAGCGGCAGCAGTGGGCCGAAACGGAGCGGGTCTATGCGAACCATATGCTTTTGTGCGTCGGTATGTACGTATCTATCTTGACTATGCGTGCGTGTCTATATGGTGATCTATGTGATATTTATGTACACACCCACATACACATGCGTTTCTTACCTGCTCTGCATCATCTTAACCATAAGCTATGGTAGTTGCGCTGCTAGTGGTAGTCACAGTAGGTCGTAGTCGAACGCAAGTTTCAGTCTCATGTGCTCGTGTTGAAATATTTGACGACGGAGTAACGGAAAAGGAAGAATTGAAGCGTTGCCAGGAGGGCTCGGTCCACCGGCCTCCCGAAGCAGCGGTACTCGGAGCAGGGCGAGGTGGTTGAGATTCATAAGTCCCACAGTTCCTACACTCCTAGCATGTTGCACACACCCTAAACTCGGCCCGTAGGTGCTCGCTAGGGCCTGGATTGAAGAGACCTCTTGTGCAAAGGCGGTGAACCCGTGGCTTGACCCGCCGGAGATTCGCGCACCTCGCGGCCGGCGGTGGACGCACAAAGGACCTGCCTTGAGCGCCGGGGTCCGTAGGGAGGCCGGGTCCAATATAGTATTTTATAGTATAGTATAGTATATTATAGTTTAAAGTATATTATAGTATATTAAATTATGTTATTTTATATTACAGTGTATTGTTATATGATAGTATATCAAAAGTATAGTATAAGATTGTAGTATGATGCTTGTTGCCTTAGCGACTTCGAGAAGTGCCGGTCCAATTCGTGGCCAGGTGCGGATGCTCCTCCACAACAGCAAGCACTTCGAGAACGACTTTTCGGGTTGGCAGATGCCATTTCCTTTTGAGCTGCCTAGTGGGGCACCGTGTCCCATCTGCACCTTGGGAGAATGCGGTGACGTGAACGACCCGACATACAGGCCAAAGTACCCCGAAGTGCGTGCAGCAATCGAGGAAGTGGTTGTGCAGCAGTCTTTGCAACTTCTGGCCCAGCCCGATTCCAAAGGAATCAAGACCTACGTGTCAGTCGGTCCTGGTCTGCTGGCACAGGATTGGATCATTCTCGAGAAGCTGAGGGCTGCGGCCGTGCAACCTTGTCGTGCTGTTTTTGTAGAGCTTCGAACGGCTTCCCCAGCTTTGGCGTGCGAAGGTCGCAGGTTCTCTGTTGAGGAGGACGGCATTGACCTGTCCCAGCTGGGTTTCGCTTCTCCCTTGGGCCCCGAGTTCTCTTTCTCCGCCTATGTGACGTTTGAGAGCGCGTCCTGTGGCTCTCGCCTATTCGATTTCGGAAATTTTGATGACGAGGAGCAGGACAACATTTTTGTCGATGTGCTCCCGAGCCCAAGTGGAGATGCAAACGAAGCGGGTACCTTGGTGTTTAATGTTAGGAGAGGCAGTGAGGACGACGTGCAGATGATTGCTGCCGGAGGCGCTTGGGTGGTTGGGCAGCCGCACCTTTATCTTTTCACCGTCAGTGCGACTGGAATGATGCGTATCTACATAGATGGGCAGCTGGCTGTTTCACAGCAAGGTCACCCGCCGAAGCGGCTAGAGCGAACGCACTTGTATGTTGGCAAGTCTGCGGCCTCTAGCAATGTCTTCTGTGGCGAAATGCGGAAGATCCAGGTATGGGACTACTGTGTGGACAGCGCCAGTGTTGATGGCGTTTTCGCGGATGAGACCGAACGTGCCTTCACTCAGTTCTCGACCTGGTTTGCCCAAGACCTGACTGTCTACTCCTTTGCCAGCTTGGCTTCCTATGCCGCGGCTGTAGCGGAGGACAGGCGCTTCGAAGCAGACCTCTTGTTGCAGGTTGATGTGCAGGAGGAGATAGATGGCTACGACGATTTCGTGAAGAAGGTGCTCGGCCTGCAGGGCATCGCTTTGACTTTGGGAGGGCCCGGAAAGAGCTGGCGAAGGGAAGGGGCCAAGGTCATCGAGTTCCCCGTGCAGAATGAGATCCTTCAAAAGATCGAAGCCAAAACCAAGCTGCCTTGGGTCTTCTTTGGTCCTGGCAAAGTGGGTCACAGTCACTTCTGCGAGGAGGAGAGCCGATTCTTGCGCCTCTCCGGCTGGCCAGCAGGCACTCCTTAGCCTGGGTCGTAGGGTCATAGGACCGTAGCCGTTTGGGTCCCATAGCAACGGTTGGGGGTTTAGGGTTTAGGGTGGGTCCCATAGGCTAAAGGGTTTAAGGTTGGGACCTTGGATCCGGGTGGGTTTCTCACCCGCGAGGTCGGTACAAGAGGAAGCGCCGTGTTTGGCAAGCGGAGCGATGTTGAGTCTGCAACGGGCAGTTCCTTCACTCTTGTGTGTAGTGTCCTCTTATGGACTTCGCGGCTCGGCCATGGCAAAAGCTGCTCACGAGTGCCAGGGCGTGACATGCGGGTGTCTATCAACGTTCTGAGCTAGATGTCGATGAGCCACAAGGAATTGGAGAATTGGCTGAAGCCCATGCGACGCTGTACCGCGCACCTGTGCTGCGCAGCAATGCGCAGCACAAACGGCCGAAGCTATGCCTATGTTGAATCGCGTGACCGCTTGTCAGCGTTCGTTAATCAAAGCATTTTTTCCGTGAAATGGGACGACAACGATGATGCTGATGTTCGCGATGGCAATAGTGCCCGATGACGGCGGCAAGGATGGTGCTGCTGGGGATGATGTCGATGGTAATGGTTGCGATGACGATGACGATGGTAATCAGAAACTGACCTAGTGGGATGCCTCCTACATGGACCGCAGCGAAAAACCTGACCAAGCTCGAGGCTAACATCCACGCCGGGCAGCCTTCAGGCAAATCCGTTTGGGTTCATGGTTACTGTTGCCGTCGCTCATCATTGCTCAAGGTGGTCCCAGGCCTGTATATGCCTATGGGCCTATCACTCTTACTCTTACGGTGCCGATTACTCGGGTCATTGCCACCGTTTCCGCTTTTGTTTCTTTGATGCTGTAACTCAGAGCGTCCCGGACACATGGGTGGCACACGGCTGATGCTAGCAAAGTCCACGTAGCTTCGGAACCCGGAATCTGACGCCAGACTCGGAACTGTCTGTAATGTTGTCGCGTGAAGCAGTTCTGTCGGCGAGGCAGCAGCTGCACCCCAAGCAGAGCGACACAGGCTCTCAAGAAGGGCTTGAAGGAGCCATTTATGCCGGCTCGTGATTCAGATTTTTTGTTGCCGGCTTGTCAGCGGTTGTCGTTCTTGCAAGTTCTGCTTGCATAGTTTGCTTTTCTGGCTAGGTTGACGAGCCGGTGAAGTGCAGGAGTTCGCTCGTAGTTTCAGAGCGAAGTTTTGTTTGCTGCGCACGGTCTTCGCAAGCTCAGACGGGTGCGATTGTTTGTCGTGGACTGCGCTCATGGTGCACGCAGCTTTCTCGGCACGGTGCGCAACACTGCAGCGGCCCACACTGGTACAAGTCCTGAGCTTTATGGGCTTTGTGGTCTCGCCCGCAGCCAATCCGGCTTGAAGCGCAACCATGCGAGATCCAGTAGTCGCGCCGGCTGCCAATCGAACGCTGACTTGCCAGTTCAATCTCACTGACAAGAACGTGACGGATGCTCATTTGCATGCGTTCCTGAAGATGAATTCGACTGAGAGGGCTTACTGACGCGGTCATCCGATTTCTCGCAGCCCAGACAGTTGACATGTTCTCTGACCTTCAAACTCGCCGCATATCTGCCACCCGCTCTGCGAGCAAGGATTTGGGATTGCACAAGCAGGACCTCTCGAAATATCGACGCAAGGCTGGAGTAGACATAAATTTTGATGGACAGCATCATGTTACCCATTAAAGCTTCAAGCAGCCCGGAAACTTTCTGGGACGACAAGTCTGAAGCTCTCAACCTGTCTATCCACGGCCCATCTGTACCCAAGCGTCCCCCTGCCTCCGGAAGCTTCAGCGACCCGCAAGCCACGGCACATCGAGGCCGTAGCGCGGTGAGCAGTGGAGGTGGTTGTCCATATGGGGTTCGGTCCGCTGGTCGACGGGTGTCATGAGGTGTGGGGCAGGCTTCGAAACCCTAAGCGGGCATAGCACTGGGCCAAGGAGTGGTGGACCTGTCGCAGAACAAGTTCACTCATGAGGCACTGCACTACATCTTGCCATGCTGCTGCCCGCTTGGATCTGAACGGTTTTGGGTGTGAGCTTTCGCTGAGGGGCCCGGTGCTTGAAATGGCGAGGGAACTCGAGGGACCAATCCAGAAAGATTCCTCGGTGGACATGTTCGTTGTAGTCCGAATGAGCGAAGTTTTCGAGGAACTAAAAGCTTTTGGCTATATGGGGTTGGTATCTAGGCACTCGTAAGGCTTTGCTTGCTAGAGCTGCCAGAGTTCGAAAGTGAGGAACTCCATGTTACACCTCCAATTTGCCTCTCTGCTTGTTCATCTGAGGCGCGAGAATCCCAGGACTTCAGCGGGATCTTGGGTTGAGGGTTGAGAGGTTCAATGCTCTCTTGGCTGGTCAGGGGAAAGAGGCATGGGGAGCATTTCTTTCAAGGGCTGAAGGGCTGCAAAAATGGCTGGAGGTCTTTGATTTTCCTGCCCGTGGTTGCAGGATTGGAGATCTTAAAGCTGCACAAGAATCGAATCGGAGATCTTGGAGCTGAACAGCTCGCCGACTTCTGCAAAAAAAGTACAACACTCAGCAGCCCAGCTGCACGAGCCTGAATTCATGCCTCCATGCTCTCTGAAACAAGCTTGTCACGAGAAAGCGGAACCACCTGGGAGGGAGGTCTTGCAGCGACTTCTTGAAACACCCCCAGCAATCTCCGAGATCCGCAATCAAGCAAGAGAGAGGAGATTGCGAGAAGAAGCAATGTGTGCCCTGTGCACGGGCCGTCAGACTGACAGAACAGAATATACCGCTTTGCGTCTCTTCGTCTCTTTGACGCTCTCTCTCTCTCTCTCTCTTTTTCTCTTTGCCGCTGCCCTTCTCTCTTTCAATCTCCCTCGGCAGTCTGCGACATCATGCGCGGCCTAGGAGAGCTGCACCTGTCTCACAACTGCTTCACCGCGCACGGGGCCGTGATCATCGTGCATGCTGCTGAGCGCTCCAGGAGACTGCGCCGAGATTGAGAATTGCACTGAAATCAGATGGTGTGGGGCATAGCTCGAGCCGGTTGTAAGGGCGACTCTTTATGAAGCAATGACGGGAAGTGTCATGGTGCATTCTGAGGTCTGTGAATAAGATCCTTCTGAGGAAACTTTATTTCAAGTCAATAAGAAGCTGGGAGCTGCTTCCTGCAGTCTTGCCATGTATTCCTGAACTGCTTGTGGGCTTCCGACACAGCATGAAACTTGGGCGGTCCCCGCAGGAGCTTGTGTAGAAGCCCGCTATGGCTTCGTGCGTGCCCTATAGATGGGGCGAGGGAGCCGAATGTATCCGAGCATAGAGCGCATCTTATGAGGATTTCTGAGGGCGCGGCTTCAATCTACCAGCCCAAAGAAGCCTTCAGAACCTTTAGGATCCTTTAGGTCCAGTTCTTGCCCGCACAAGACTCAAGATCCGCGCCGAGGCCTGGAAAGGAATGCTGTGGAGCATCCAGCAGAGGCCACTACGACGGTCATTTGAGCTTTGCCCCTCAATGCGGCCTGTGACTTGTGCCTGCACTCTTGTTCAAGGTGGCGGATGCACTGCAGCAGACACTCAGCGTTTGCTTTCGTGTGGACAGGAGCCTGCAGCAGTGATTCTGCTTAACTAGCAAGCAGTCCAATTCCTATCTCGCCTTGCAAGGACGGCCTGCAACAGCGCGCGCTGCTGCAAGAACTGCAAAGTGCATTTGCCGTACTTCCTCCGGCAGAACACATTACAGACAGATTCAGGCCGACGGGTCTTGAAAGCTTCCCGTAGCAGGTAACCGCTAGCGGCATACCCTTGACCGAGAGGTTTTGCAAGTTTCTACCGCGAGGGGGGATGATACTGTCCTAAAACTACCCAAAACCTTGCCTGCCTTGTGCAAGTTGCAGGTGTCAAAACTCAAAACCCTGCCGTGTGCGAGAGTGAAAGACGAAACCCTGAACTCCAAACCGTCCAAGCTGTGCTCTTGCACCTAGTCACGAAAGCTAGCTCCCCTTGGAGTGCTGGAGTAGTTGTTCACAGATTTAGTGTGGGTCCGGCACGGTGTGCTGGCGCTGGCTCCTGATACACCAGAGGTGGGCTCCCCACCTGATTCCCTGATCGGTGCGGGATCAGGAGCCGGCCCCGGCCCACCCCGCACCATCCACCCTCAAGGGGGCAGTAGAGCATACAGCAGAGGCAGAGCCGCTGTCATTCGGCAACATCCTAGTGTAGCCGTGGGGTACATCTGCACAACTGAAGCTAGCAGCATTTGCTAAGACTGCTTTCGTTCACATACGCTTCGTTCCGATTCCAAGCGTCGACCGAGTTTGCAGGAGGGTAAACAAACGTTTCAGTGTTGTTAGTGTTTCCTGCATTGAGGAACGCGCTTTGCCGTGCGTCGTTCGGCGCAGGCTAAAGCGGCTTAGGATTCATGAACTAGTTCGCAACACAGCAGACAAGGAGGGCTGCATCAGTCACAGTCGCTCACCAGCATCTGCTCGCATTTGCAATCCACTCTCTCCAGTTGAAGCTCACTGAGAAATATCCAGCTGCAGCAGTAGACCCTCCAACCCTATACGGTGCCTATACGCCCTGAACGCAAACCCGCCCAGACTCGCAAATTATCTGACGCCTCAGCTCCTCAGTCCCACAACCACCCAAACCGTCTAAATCTAAATGCCAAATCTTCAGCCCCAGAATCGCTCTCGCATCCATCCTGGGTTCTATAGTAAAGGGATTTAGCTAAAGTGACCATACAAGGAATAGGGATGTATAGCAAATAATAGGGTTCCTTGCTACAGGGATCGGAGGAGTCGCCCGTCAGACGGAGAGGTCACACATTCTCGGATGCTGCACCTGCCAATAGGAGCCGTCAGCTGGGTCCACACCGTCCTGAGACGGGTTGGTCTCAATATGTCACAGTTTTACTTGGATGAACCAGATGCTGCGACAGTAACTGCTAGACGCGTTATCTGGCTTTCGGAGGTCCTTTGCACTGTTTGCGAAGAGCCCTGCAGGTGGTGGGAGTGCAGCTCTCTGTGAAGTCGACGACTCGATGTGCGCAGCAGGTTCTCCAAGCAAAAAACCTGTGCAACATCTGGAGGATAGGATATGTGCTGCCGGACCGTCGGACGCACATGCCATCGAGAACCTTGAATGTCTCCCAGAGCCGAAGCTGAAGCTGCAGTCCCTGGGAGCCAGCCGCATGCTCAAGCGGCGGCTCTCGAATCGCCACGTTCCAGGACTTCAGCAAGAATCAAGCAGCTGATTGCAAAAGCTGTTGGCCGGTCAGTGGGGTTTGGCTGCCTGGGCTTCACAGCCTTTCAGACCCTGTTTCAATTTCCCACCAAGGTACCGACAAACTTGCGAATTGGTGCCAGACAGCTTGGGATGCAGGCGAAGCGGCACGTTGTCGTGTGTGATGTAGGAAAGCGCGTCTGCAGTACTGGAGGCAATCCCTGCAAGCGCAGCAACACAAAGACGAATGACGAGCAGGCCCCTGTGTTGAAGTTCGCACCGACGCATGAATGCAAAATGAAGTCTGAGTTTTAACTGCATGATGGAGCTATTGAGGGAGAGAAATCCATACCCACGTGCATACATCCACGTAAGATTATAGTGAACAGACAAGCAGATAGGCAGGTATGCGTATAAACACATATGGGTAGTCCATGGTAGTCCTCTAAATTAGGATCCCTTTTGGGGTCCCTCAAAACAGTACGGCACGCCTATGAAAAGGACCCTAAAAGGGACCCTCAGTTGTTGTGCAAGGACACTGTCAAAGTGGATTCGATTCTCTGAACAACTATACTTTACGCATGCTTTAGGCTTTGCTTTTGTGGTGAACTGGCACACCTGAGAATCTGCCCTAGTCCTTTTTCACACCGACTCCGCACCTAAGAACCTCGCCTGGCTTCGTCCGAGTTGTGAGAGCGTAAAAGGGACCCTCACTCAGGGAAACTACCCATATGCAGAAGTACCTATGTACATGTATACATATTGACATACATACCTATCTCTAGAAATCCATACATGCATATGCACATAGACATAGACATGGCGGTAGCATGCCATAGCCTTAGGCGGATGCTGCAGTTGCAGATGCCGATGGATACATGTACATTTGCATCTTCGCACTTACAGGTATGAGTAGGTATGCATGCATGTATACATGTGGGTATGGATGTGCGATGTAGGTGTGTATGCATTGTATGCATGCATGCATGCATGTGAGAATATTTGTGCATACATGTACGTATGCATGTAGCTACTGTAAAGGTAGTTAGTTAGGCAGGTATGTACGGTGTAGCCGGTGTTATCTGTACAGTACTGTGTGTATGTTTGCATGGATGGATGGCTGGACTCGATGGCTGGATTGATGGATGCATGTATTCATGTATTTATGCCGGCATGAATGCATTCGTGCGTGAATGTATGTAGGCAGGTAGGCATGCGTGCATGCATGAATGTATACAACCATGTAGGCGTGTATGTATGTATGCGTCTATGCATGCAGGGTGGCAGGCAGGCCGCCGAATAGAAACCTTCATTGTAGTAACCCATGTGGGAACCCTTCACAGTAACCCTTGTAGAACCCCCTCTTATAGTAGCCCTCGTAGCAACTCGTATAAAGCCCTCACCAGATCCCGAATAGTGACCCTTCAAGTAACACGAACCCCCGTCTCCCTAAGACCTGGGCAGGCTTGCCCAAAGATGCCCTCCAAGCCACTTTTTGCGTCGACGGCGACAGGCTGGGTGACTACAGTATGCTTTTGTTTTGGGGGTTAGGGTTTGTGGAAGCCGCTGAACGCCAGCTTGTGATCAGTTCCTAGCCATCTAGTTTGCACTGTTCCAGGCCTGGTCCAGCGTCTCCTTAGCATGGTCAGTGTCCTGCATTGACATTGATCGTTCAGGTGATCCTTTGAAGTCTCTCGCCCTCGGCGCCGAGACAGCCGTGGAACTGCCACCTTTCCCACCACTGCCACTCATGCCGAAGCCGCAGCAGACGCCGGAGCACTCATGGCGCATGCTGCATTGCTGTTGCCTCGCCACTTTCCCCTATAGCGTCACCCCGCAGCTGTAGGCTGAGCCCCGGAGTGTCCTAAGAAGTCTTCTCCCAGATCCTACGATAGGACATCGATTGATTTTTCGACCCCGAATTCGACAGTAGTTAAACCCCAAACGCGTCGAACCTCGAGACAGCCAACTTGCACAGTCGTGAGGGGGTGAGCTTCAGTGATGCGCCAAACGGGCCATTCTGCCAGAATCTGCTCCAAGAGCTGTAAGTACCCTCCAAATATTCGAAAGCCTGTGCTCCTCCAGGATTCCGCGATGCCAGGCCGGTGCATGCTGAAGCCGAGGAGGGGCGATCAGGCCTCCTTCGCAGCGGTTGTCAGGTGGTCATAGCATGGTTAAAGGAGTGGCCGTTCAGGCTTCAGGGTGGGCCCGACATTCTGTCATATATATATGTGTAATATCATCGATGGATTGCTTAATGTGCAAGCCAAGAACATGAAGCACTTGCATTTCGGTGTTCGGCTCGTTTGTTTGGTTATGGGTTTACCCGAAGAAGTCTGGGATCATCTCACAGGCTGGGCGGCAATTCTGATGTTGATGACCATCTTCGGTGATGATGATACGGTCATGTTGTCCCTGCATCTCCCTAAGAAGCTTTCTTCGTTGCATGCCGCGACCCTTTGTAGCCCCACATCCTGCACGTATGGCGGGCCAAGTCAGCTTCTCCCATTGCAAGCACCCTCCTGCCTTCCACCGGTGCTGTTGTCTGAGGCCCAAGGCGGGGCGGAAGGCCTCCAGGAGTCCGTGGTGATGGCAAAGGTTGATGAGCTCTCAGCGTGGCATGAAGAGCTGAAGGCAAGGACCCGTCCATGGGCTCGTGGAGGGGCTGAGGACTGACATGGTCGGACAGGCTGATGTGTCGCCGTAGATGCAAGCGAAGCCAAGCCGAGCCTTCAAGCCATGAATGCACGGACCTTTCCTTGCAGGCTCGAGAGAAATACTTGCACCTCTGTGAAGACACGGTCCGGGAGCTTCTGCTGTCGGAGGTGCAACCAAACGCACTGGATGTTGACGTGGCCCGGCCTAGATCTGCCTCCCATCTAGGAGCACAAGCCTAACCTAGGCACGTAAACAATGGGAGAACTATGTCGTGCAGGTCTGTTTCTGCCATGCGAAACTCGTTCCCGGCTCTGCCACTGTACTTCGAAATACGGTACTCTCTCGCTCTCGCTCTCGCTCTCGCTCTCGCTCTCGCTCTCGCTCTCGCTCTCTCTCTCTATCTCTATCTCTCTCTCGCTCTCTCTCTCTCTCTCTCTACGTATACATGCGCATGTATGTAGTGCGTGCATGTGTGTGTGTGTTTGTGTGTGTGTGGTCGTACGATGCGTACCCACAGGCATGTCTTGACGCTCATCTCCACCGTATACCTTTGCGTAGTAATGGTTCCATGTTACCCGCAGTAACTTGTCTATGATCGGAGCCAATGTCAACCATGTGCCATCAGCTCTTAAACCGTGACACAAGCCATCCCAAGCCCGAACGTGTAAGGTTTAGGCATATGCATAGTCCAGGTGTAAAAGGGGTGTAGAGCCTAAATGCGGCTTCAATTACAAATGGTTTAGGAACTCCGAAGCCCCGAAGCCTTGCCCTAAGGACAGGGAGAAATCCGCCATGCGTCAACTCGAAGCCTGGGCCAACGGCCAGGATGGCCCCATGGCCTCAGTCCGGTGAGGCTGAGCCAAGTGAGATCGGCCACTCAGGGAGTCCAACAATATTGTAGGGTTCAGGGCAAAAGGGTTTAGGGCAATATTCCATGAGGATTCGGCTAAAATATTGGGGATTTTTTGCAGTCTCTTGAGCTTGATCTTAGATTTGAAGTTTGAAGGTCTATGTTCCGTATGTGAAGGTTCGTGGACTTTGGGCACCTGCGTGTGGCCACTTATATCTCTTCTAACACGCGCAAAAGTGCGCTGGAATACTCCGCTGGGGTAATTACTCATCGGGCTGAAACCATCACCAGTAGGATAACCAGCATGCATTCTGACAACAACGATTCTGAGACTTTACGGCGAGATGTCGACTGTAAAGGAACGTGTGCTGGCCAGGTCGCGTAAGATGTCCGCTTTCACAGTCCGTCAATTTCCCGATTTCGTGCATCAGGCCCTGTAACAGCATACGCTGTCTCAGATATGGCCAGCTGCACAGCCGTGAGGCGTACCTGACTTGCTTTGTGATGTGTCCGTTCGTCCCCAAAAAGTCAGAAGAGCACATAACAACGATATCTACCGTTTGCCTGTATGGAGTTAGATGCCATCTATCCAAAATAGCACGCGTTTGCCCTCGTTCCCGAATTCATTGGCAGCTATCTTGAGTGAAGCTGCCTAGGCTGCCCGCCAAAAGCAACTTGCTGAAGCAAGTGCTCGATGCTGGATGTTCAGAGCTGAACAGACCCCACTCGCAGCCTTGTGTGTACAAAGCCCTGGCAAACCGTGTCATCGATTTCTATCTGATTTCATGTTGCAGGCGCCACACGGGATCAGCCGACAACACCAACATTACCAACACAAAAGACGTGGCATCCGCAACAATGAAGAAAGAGTTTATGTATTGTATCCGAAGCCTGTGGTGAAGCCTCGAAGACCTCGACGTCTTCCCAATTCTCAACTCTCACAATCTCTGGCGAAAGAGATCACCCAATTTTAATTAGTTTCCTTGGTGTGTTGAGGACTGTTGAAGGGCGTGGGTTTGGTCACAGCCCATCCCACAAGCTGCTGTTGAGATGAGACCGAAGTGGAATGGCTCCACCTCAGGACCTGCGAGTTTGAGAAGCATCGTGGCATAGTGTTGTCTCATCTTTTCATTGCAGCCGGCCCGTGCAAACGCATGGAAAAGACGCAAGCAGACCGGTGCGGTGCAGCCCGTTATGCTGCAGAGGTGCAAAAAAGTATAGGCTGTGGATAGATTTCGAGATCTGCGACAGTTGCATACTAAGCTGACTAACCATCCAGGCCGTTGCAACCTAGCGACATGCCAGGGCACGGCGCAAGCTGCAAGAAGAGAACGAGGGCGGCATCGTCCGAGCGAAGTTTGCGGCGGCGCAGAAACCGAAGAGGCCTGGCCTTTGCAAGCCTTCGGTTTTCCTCGGAAGTAGGAGGGCCCTGCAGGGAGCTATGAGGTTACCACGCGATGGATGTCCCTGCCCGTCCAAGCGAAAGCCTGCACAGTTCTCTCGGATTTCTGTTTCTCTTGTGGATGCCAGGATCCGCCAGGATGCTGGAGAAGATGGGATCAGGAGCCGAGTCTCGCGCAACCTGCATCCGCCCCCGAACCCCAACCTCTAAGCCTCTAAGCATGCAGCCTCCTAAGCTGACGGTTCAGGAATGTCTTGAAATAGACTTACTGGTAGTTCCCCCATACCCAAGCTTTGAACTTTTGGGGTTCTTATAGTGTAGTAGCAACCGGAAAGTTTAACCTTGTATTTCTGTGGCTTATAGGGGAAGTAGGCCCCAGCCTTACATCATCCGATCATGCGAAAGCCTTGCGTGGAATGCCCGATGGGAGCCAGCAGGCTTGGTCCTACTCCTTAGTTTCCTATGGAACCTTGATCGATCCTCAAGGGAAATGACCTCCGATCTTAAGAACATGATCCAAAGCCAGGAGCCCTCAGATAAGTTTAGCCGACTTCTGCGAGCTGAACACGAGGGCCAAGACAGGACCCTCCAGGCTGCACGTGGGATTTTGATGTTGTTTTCCCAGTGCAGTGAAGCCAGGGCGTCGGCTTCTGGATTGAATGAATGTCGGATGCAGATTAAACATGCTGGCCCTACGGGATTCTGAAGGGTGAAGTGAAGCTAAGGGTTCAGATGTCCAGGTTTCGGGGCTGGGACTTCTGACGCCGTCGAGGTCGCATCCCACGATGTGAGGACATTGCAGGCCACCAGCACCAAGCAACACATTCCAGCCGAATGAGCATCATCGGCAATGGCACAGGCACCATCGAGACACCAACGTCATCACCGTCATTATGACCTTCAACGTCAGTATGGGAGCGCCGTCACCATCATCACCACTGGCACCATCATGCACCACAAACACTGTATTACCATCACCTGCTTCTTCATGATCATCCTGGGTGCTTTTGCTGTCCGTTTGTTCTCGATCCTTCTTGTCAAGGAAATGATACACCCGATCCTAGTTGCGAGAGTCCCAACGCCCAGAAGACCCTCCGGCCGCATCACCATATGGTTGCGAGGTTCAGCAGCTTCGTGAACCTAGGCCTAGGCCTACCAAGATCTCTGCCTCTATTCCAAGCCCCTCCGAACCTCCAGCAGTCCAATGCACCAAGCCACGACGACGAACATGACCGAGTGCTATCTTTCTCAGTGTTGCGTGTTGTTATGGTCACTACCAAGACAAGTTGTTTTAAGTTTATGTTGTTGATGTTCAGTACATTGTTCAGGCGGTGTCTTGTGCAGGCCAGTCTTCTCTTATCATGCTGGGAACAAGCTATTTATTGAAAACGGAGTTCTCAAGCTGGCAAGAGGTCCACCAGGTTGCCTGTGTCGCCGACGAAGCAGGACGACCCCGTGCACAAGGCTAGCGATTTCTGGGCTTCTGCGCAGAGCGGCTTTAAGCGGAGATCCGTGGTTTCGGGCGGAGCTGCGAAAAATGGCCGACAGGCGAGTCCCTCGACCCCAACCCGGAAACCTGGGGCTGCAGATGGCTCCCGCGCCCCGGCCCACGGGATGAGGCGCGAAGACCCCAAACATCTTGGCACGAGTCCCGGTCCGCACCAGTGAGGGAGGCTAATGACTAACGGTAGTCGTTCTCGTCTGGCTACAAAGTTCCGTGCCCACATCAATCTTGTTGCACGAGGGAATGGTTTGAACTACAGCTGCTTAGATTGTCAGGCTGAGCGTGGCGTGCCTCCAGCACACACCAGAAGTGGAGGATTCAGATGAGACTCGTCCCTCGTCTCATGATGTTGGTAGCGCGTCGTGGTGGCAGGAGAGAGTGAAAGACAAAAGCAAAAAGAGGCCAGGCCCTCGCGATGTTTGATGCTTTCAGAGGATGCCGACCTATGAGCGAAGAAGTCCTCAAGGTTCCGACTGCAGTAACCAGATCCAGAAAGCAAAGCACTCGCCTTTTCACAACGGAGCTTACCTGCACGAGTACACGACTTCTTCCGAATCTTGACGCAAGCTCCCCTTGCAGGAAGTCGAAGCACATCAAGCCCAGGGCCCTCCATGAAAAGGAGGCAGCAGATGAGCTACCAGGAAAAGGAAAGAAGAGACTGAAAGACCCCGGGACATCGATGAGATCTCCTGCCAAGGAAGACGCTGACTCAGTGGGGTTTGCGTTCTTGTTGAACCTTACAACCCCTGAGCCGCTTGAGATCAGTCAGTTATTCTATCAAGAGTGAGAGAGCAGGCGTAATATTTTGCTTGTTTAACTCTCAAGTCTGATTCGCCATCTTTCGAACCTCTTGCCTCCACAGTCAAGCCGACATGTACCTCCGTCCGCGACTTGCCTGGGCCTTGCCAAGCTTGTGCGAAAGCCTACTTGACACAGCCTATTCTCCTGCAAGGACAAATGCAGTGCATGTCATCATAGAACCTGATGCAAAGCCACTGAATTTCTGAAGCGTTTCGGGGATGGACAATGCATGCCAGCCAGCCAGAATGGCTCAGCATTACATGCCAGATTCGACAGGCGGATGAAAGCGAGAATTCGAATCTAGAGTTCCCTGAAGTGCAGGTCACATCTCCTCGTTTTCATCCTCTAACTTCCATTAGCTTCCATCTCTCTACCTTGGGTACTGCCTCCTCCTCCCAGTAACAGTTGGATAATATTCATAATATAGATATAGTAGGCCCTTACTAGTAGCCCTATTATAGACTGTTACTGTATGGGGGCGGTACCCAACCTCTACCCTATGTTCGAGCCTGGAGAGCTGAAGCGCCAGTCTGCAAGCTGTGTCATCGAGGAACCCTGCCGGACGGGGACCGGCAGCAAATGTGCCTGGGACTCGGTCCCCTTGCTCTATGCACTATATAACACTGGCAGTAGGAATAAAACTGATACTAATATTAATTAGGATAGACTTTAATAACCACAATAGTAGGAGTAAATAGAATACTAAAGAGGGTAAACTTTAATAACGACAATAATCTACCCAACAGCCACATCGAGACTCCAATGTGTTTGCTGCAGGTGCTACCCACCACATCTCCAGCAAAGCCAACTGAAAGTCGAAGCAGGCAGGGGCTCCGGGTGTAGAGTCAGCCTAGAGACCGTGGCTGTGCTCCGGCACTGAAGCAATGCAGCAAGGAACGATGAGAATGATCCCGAGCGCATGCACCCGAAGTTGTGCTCGATCAAGTTTCATGCACCTGCAGCGGCCTCGATGCATTTCTGCAGTCGACCAAGGGCGCAGGCTCAAACAATTGACTTTGCCTGCTAGAAACACACACAACAAGCGCTTCTGGTTACGCAACTTGATATATGATACAATACAAAAGATAAACAAGTTATGGGTAAATTTTGGGATCACTGGGTTGATCGACAACCCCACAATATCACACAGGCGAGTAACGTCTGATCTACCAACGGAGATGTGATTAAAGCGACGGTTTTTTGTCAAAGCTCCACTTTCAGGCCTGTGGTCGACAAGCTCCGAGCGACGGCATCTTGTTGCGGCTCGGATTGGGAGAGTTTCCTTGCTTGGTTCTGGGTTGCATGGATTGAGAAGATGACCTGCCTGGTGCAACACAGAGCTTCCGATGGCACGAACAGGCTTGGCGTTGAGAGCGAACTTGGGCTTGTGCGGCATGCACTTTGCAGATCGCCGTGGGTTAGATGGGTGTGGAAATTCTCTGTGTTTCTGGCTGGCCCTTTGATTTAAGTTTAGGGTTTAGGGTTCACGGATGCAGGGCATGCACCTTGCAGAACGCCGTGGGTTGGGTGGGTTTTGAGATTCTCTGTGGTAAGGTGGGTGTGGAAATTCTCTGTGTTTCTGGCTGGCCCTATGATTTAAGTTTAGGGTTTAGGGTTCACGGATGCAATGTATGCACCTTGCAGAGCGCCGTGGGTTAGGTGGGTGTGGAAATTCTCTGTGGTAAGGTGGGTGTGGAAATTCTCTGCGTTTCTGGCTGGCCCTTTGATTTAAGTTTAGGGTTTAGGGTTCACGGATGCAATGCATGCACCTTGCAGAACGCCGTGGGTTGGATGGGTTTTGAAATTCTCTGTGGTAAGGTGGGTGTGGAAATTCTCTGTGTTTCTGGCTGGCCCTATGATTTGAGTTTAGGGTTTCGGGTTCACGGATGCAAGGCATGCACCGAAATTCTCTGTGGTAAGGTGGGTGTGGAAATTCTCCGTGTTTCTGGCTGGCCCTATGATTTGAGTTTAGGGTTTAGGGTTCACGGATGCAATGCATGCACCTTGCAGAACGCCGTGGGTTGGGTGGGTGTGGAAATTCTCCGTGTTTAGGTGGGTGTGGGGGGAAATTCTCTGTGTTTCTGGCTGGCCCTATGAATTATGTTTAGGGTTTAGGGCTCACGGATGCAATGCATGCACCTTGCAGAGCGCCGTGGGATAGGGGGGTTTTGAAATTCTCCGTTGGGTGTGGGGGGGGGGGGAAATTCTCTGTGTTTCTGGCTGGCCCTATGATTTAAGTTTAGGGTTTAGGGTTCACGGATGCAATGCATGCACCTTGCAGAGCGCCGTTTGTTAGGTGGGTGTGGAAATTCTCTGTGGTAAGGCCTGGTAAGGTGGGTGTGGAAATTCTCTGTGTTTCTGGCTGGCAGTTTGATTTAAGTTTAGGGTTTAGGGTTCTCGGATGCAATGCATGCACCTTGCAGAACGCCGTGGGTTGGGTGGGTTTTGAAATTCTCTTGAACTCCGAAGTCGGAAGTTGACCAAGCAAGGCCAGTCAAGACCGAATTCGACGGGCCGCTACTCACTTCGTTCAGCAGCGGGAAGGCGCGAGCTGCTTGTCATGCTCTCCTCAATCGCCTACAAGCAACTTCTGGCCTTCAACCTGGTGAAACGGTTCGCGCTTTGGACAAGTGGCACGGAGGCATGCAATCTGCAACCACGTGTCAAGCCTCGGCGCGCTGGCAGCTTGCTGGAGCTCCCACACGTCTGGGCCACAGTCACAGCCTTGCCACTCGGCCTTTTCTTCCATTCCACGGCCGTAAGAATGAAGACGAACCTATAAGTGTGGGATGCGAGGCTGAGTCCTTCCATTCTTTCCTAAGTGCAAGGTCAGGCGCCAGAACACGTCGGAGGCTGGGTTGCACCATCATGGCAAGCAAGCCGCCGCTTTTCTTTTCTTCCCTTCTGGCTGGGTCGATCATCTGCTTCTTGCCAGGCCCCACCCCCCTAAGCCGAACCGGTTGCGAAGAAAGGGCATGACAGACTTTCGGTTAGGGGAGTTCCCAGGCTGGGTCTACATGCACGCAGGACCGCAGGAGCCCTCTGTAGAAGCCCGGAAGCCTTCCCGCCCTGCTAGACATGCCTGGTGTCCTGATGCAGTTGGTGGAGCTCAGCATTCTCGACCTCCGGCGCCTGCGGCCGATTGCTCAGGCGCCGGAGATGTGATGATCAGCCCATGCCCATCATCGTCACATCTGTCTGTTGTCGGGTTAAGGAGTGCTGCATTCAAGGGCTTAAGGCTCGTAGGGTCTCAGTTAGAGCACAGCTTTTCCATCCAGGACTCATGTAGTCTGTGAGACGCTGCAGTGCCAGGTGGAGTCGAAATTCATCGTCGCGTACCGGGAGCCCGACGAAGGTGCAGAAGACTCCGGTGATGTTCCGGCTCCGACGATCGATCATATTGGATTTTATTTATCAGATCACATTCCGTTATATTTCATATTTTATCATATCATATTCTACTATGCTATACTATCATAGTATCTAAGGCAAGCACCGGTCCAGCTCCTTGCGAGAAGACGGTTGCAGGTGATCTGACTGGACGCTTGCTCATTATCGCTGAGCACCAAGAGACCCAGCTTGGTGCATGCTCATCTGAACTGCCAAGAGAAGTGGCTGACGTAAGCCATAAGGATCAGCACGCAGCTGCAGAACGGGCACTGCCCCTGGCTGCTAGCAATGCCAGTGAGGGAGTCACAGTGTCTTGGGAAGCATGTGCATGGCGCAGCAGAAGCACTTGTGTGTGCCGTCGCACTTTTTTTTGCCACTGCGGCCATTGCAGATTCCACGGGCAAAGCAGGAGTCGTCACCCGGGGACATGTCAACGCCAGCACCGTCTTGCCTCTCAGAATCTTGCCAGGAACGGTTGTTGTTTCCAGAAGTTGCGAGGAAGACAAGCATGCAGCCTTAGAATAAGGGTCGTAGACATGCGAAATTAGGCACAGGTCTGATGGAGCTGAGCTTTTGGAGCTGGCTGTGCGGTGACAGCAGTGGTGTCCTGCTGCGTCAGCGAATCCCAGAAGTTGCCTTGTTCTGCGGCTGTCGCCTGGAGGCATGGTATCACAATGTGCGAGGCATGGTCGCAGAACGGCCTCTTGGCTCGGTCTCATCTCTCCTGGAGCGATTCAAGGAGGTGTCCGAGGGGCCGGATCGACCCATCGCCATCCTCAGGCACGAAAGCAAGGGAAACCCAAGAGAGGGAATTCCTGGAGGTACAATCGTACCTGTCCTTTTAAGCCTGCAGCGCTTCACCGAGATATTGCGTGAAGTGGTTGAGGGACGGATCGTGAGCCTTCAGAGTGGAAGCTTGTCCGGGGTCTGGACACTGCAGTCTTACGTTGAGCCACGTTATGGGTTGCGATTCTTAAGTGTATACACATGCGATGCGCAGCTAGAGGAGAAGCACGATGCCTTCTCCCAGCCTTTCCAGAAATGCTACACGCTTGAAGGCGTGTCGCCTGAACCTTGGAAGGGCCGCTCCGAAAAGTTTCGCCTCGATGCACCTCAATTGGATGCCATCGAGTCCAAGACCTTGGGAATAGTGCGCTATGCGCACCGGTTTCACAAGATAGACCTCGAAGGGATCCTCCTGGAGTTCGTTGTTGATCAAAGTGGCCGACTCGCTGTTCACGCCTGCTGGTCCGCATCGATCTGCAATGCCCGGGAATCTAGGAGGTTCCGATCTGCATGGCCCGAAAAGCAAGGGCGAGTGCAGGAAGTGCCGCGGACTTTCAACGTGCCACGCCTCGAGGAAAGCTTCGAGATGGACTGGGACGATACTCTGGAAGAGCCAGAGGGCTTCGAGGGCGAGAAGGTCTCAGTGGATGACGCCAAGCAGAATGCCCACGCAGTGGGGAGGGCGCGGAATTTCCCAGCACTGCTTCTGGAATTCTGGCAGGGGGATACCTTCCTCGGAGAAGCTTCCTTCGGGCGCCAATGTACTGCCTCCAGCTCTGGACTCCGTACCCTCAACATCTTGCCCTTAGGTCACGCACCACCTCTGAGGTCGGATGGGCGAAAGCTCATGGCAGATGGGGCAGGGAAAGCCATTGCAGTGGTGTCCTTAAGGCCAAGCGAAGAAGGCAGAGACCTTCTAATCTTCAAGCTCGGTAGAGCCGAGGGTTTGCCTGTCATAGACCATGAGGAGAAGGTCCAAGCTGTTTTGTGGAACCTCGGATGCAACGCATTTGTCGGCAATGTGGAGTACGCTCCCACAGACCCTAAAAGGCCATGAGTTTCGCACTTGCCGGATGTCCTGAATTGAGCTTTCCTCTCCCTTTCTAACTATCCCCTTTTGATCCTCTCCGTCCTTGTGGCTACTGGCACTACTAGGGGTTCCAGCCCTTGCGAGCGCTTTCTGACTCCGTTTGTATCAGCCTTTTCTCGCGGACCACTGTAGGCCCTGCACACCTTGTTATCATCACGATACAGAGCGTCGTAAGGCAACTCTCTGGAGACTTGATTAAGGGGCCTGGTCTGAAAAGCTCAAGGTACGAAAACCCTTCTTCGGGTTGTGTAGGCCAGTCGTTTGATCTGTTTAGTTGGAGGCAGATGGCAGGTTTTACTGTTCTGTGATTCGTCGGACGGTGGTTTCCAGTTTCGCGTGTGATTTCTACTACATAATCACTTCCCCCATGTATTGAACACCCCTAATACCCGAAACACTTTTCGGGAAATCCACCTAACACCATCCCCGCCTTACTAAATCTGTTTGGAGATGGGTGGTGCAGGAGCAACAACAAGAGCAGGAGCTACAGCAAGAGCAGAAGCCAGAGCAGCAGGAGCAAGAGCAACACCAGGAGCAGGAGCAAGAGCAAGAGCAACAGCACCAGCATGAGCAAGACCCAAAAGGGACAGTAGAGCCGAAACCCTCCCCCCAATATTGAACACACTTTTTTCGCTTGCATGGTGAAGGGGGCGGCCCTGGCGGGAAAGGATGGGAAGGAAAATAGTGATCGCGGATATGTTTGGAGACCTGATGTTGCAAGGCTTTTCATCATTTGATAGGTTTTGACGTTACGCCGCAACTAAGCTTGGATGGATTGGGTGTCTCTGAAGCAATAAGCAGCTGTCGCCTAGGACTTGGCAGAATCCTGCCTACGTGGCAGTGTGGAGCTCATCGGATTCGGAGCCTGTAGAGGAGTTCGTGGATGGCCGTTGGGCCACGGTCCATGTTTGGAATGGAGAGTCGGTCGACCTTACGCTGCCTCCAACTGAGCCCACTGCCGACGATACCGCATCTTCCAAGGCACCGCGAAACTCTCCCCGGCCTTCGTCTGCAAGGCAGTCACCAACATCGCAGCACACCGTAGATGAGGGCGTGCGGTCTTATGACCACGTTTGTGGCGCAGAGCTGGCGGCCCACTGGGGGATGAGCGAGGACGGGATGCGAGGACACCTTTTGGCATCACAGATTTGGCAGCGCATGAAGCTGGACCGGAGCAATCGCTCTGGTTTGGTGAAGCGTCTGGCGCAGCAGGTCGTGAGCTTCCACAACCTGCAGCGGCAATGGGAGCTTTATCTGGAAACTGCCCATCACAAAGAGAGAGAAGCAGAGAAGAACTTTGCGATTGAAGAGAAGGCCCTGCAGGATGCAATGGCCAGGCGCGACGAGGTCATTGAGTATCACAAACAGAGAATGGTCGCTGCATGCCGAAGGCTGTACACCGAGTGCGACGAGTATCGAGAACGCGAGAGTGCCGAAGCCGTAGCGCTGGCTGAATCTCAGCAAAGGGTCCAGGAGCAGCGAGAACGCCTAGCTGACCTCTCGGACAAGAGCGACCACTTTGCAGAGTCACTGAAACAGGTGAGAGGCAAAGTGGATGCACTGCTGGCGGAAGATGTTCGTTTGCGACAGAAGCTCGAGGAGATACGAGCACAGCACTTGGCATCCCACCATGCTTGCATGAGGACAGTATCCGACGATCTCGCGGATCTTGCTACGATTAAAGCTGATCTGATGCGTAAACAGCGGGCGGCACGGAATGAGCACAAGCACATCTTAAAGATGGAAGACTTCGTCCGACGGGTCGCCAATCAAGACACAAAGTCCCTACGAACAGGTGGGGGCTTTGTGCTGAATAGCATGGCAAAGACCGAAGCGCAATTGCTAGTGCAAGAATTGTTCTTGGAGTGAAGCCAAGCTAAGGAGCAGCTTCCCCGATGAACGAAAGAAAAAAGTGACGCAGACCGCCGGAGTGCATATGCAGGTTGCTTGAGGCAATCGCGGTCTCTGTTGGCATATGATTGCTATAATACGGTATAATTCAATATATTACTATACTGTATAATATTTAATATACCATAGTATAGCAAACAATACAAATCATATTATAACATGAGTCTCGTGTGTGAGCCGAGGTGGAGTTGGAGCGCCTTCAACGTCAAACGCTCGCCGAAGACAGTCGCGAAACTGTTGCTTCTGCTTGCTGCTCGGTCACGTCGGTGTGAACGGCCTGGTTTAGGCTTCAGGGTTTAGGCTTTAGGGGAACCCACCAATCATAACAAATCCTCCTCTCTCCAAAATCCTGAGCAAAATCCCGCAAAACCTTACATAAGGAAGCAGGTCAGGCCGCGCACTATGCTTGCATGGGATTATCGGGGTCGCTTGTTTCTCTGAAGATGGACCATCTTTTATCTGCATGTGAAATGTGCAGACACACATGCCGGCAGTAGACATGGCAGGCACAAAGACGTGCATGTTCTCGAGGTGCAAGTTCGTGGAAGTGGAACTTGCCTGGCCTTAGTCGCGGCCTCGTTGGAGTGGTGCAACTTCCCTGAACGACCGGCGAAATCCTGGCCCGATTTGAGGACATCGTTCTCCTGGAATGTGGGGATATAATGGAAATTGGAAGTCGCAGCCCTGACGCCCAATGTCGTTGACTCTTCTGAGGCGAAGGAGGAGGCCCGGTGGTTGCAGAAGTACAAAGCTCACGCCGAGAGCCGCTCTGGCATGCTTTGCTTCGTCCGCTATGATGCTTAGAGGTCCAAGCTGTTCTAACGCGTGGCTGTGTCACACCAGCCCAAGCCCAAGCCCAGAATTGCTAGATTCTGCTGCTGTAGATGTTGCTAGCATGCCGGCCGTCAAGAGGCCATCGGATATTCAGGAAGCCTTGAAGTGTCCTTTGCAAGTCCCCCCTCCATCGCAAATTCTGTGCCCAGAAACATTCTTGCAGCGTTTCGCTTCTGTGCATGAGCTTATGTGGCCATGGCAGGATGGGGGTTTCGCTGGCGAGGTCGCGGACAGCTTAGGGGTTCGGACGACCTGCATCAGACGTGAGCTAATGCCATTTTGCGCAAGTTGTGGCAAGGCGCGTTGGATGGCAGTAGTTTGCCGGATGAAGTTGTACTGCCCTTACAGGAACAGTTGCAAGAACCATCAAGAACCCCAAGCTGCAACGGTCTTTGCTGCCGTGTGAGGTGGTTACACATGTTCCCAACATCCTTGGCACCATGCTAGCACCACGAGATCTCAAAGCAGTGCTGCCCTTATCGCTGTCGTAGCTGGGGTGACTTCCATGACCAGTTTCTCAAAAACTGCACGAAGGTTTTGGCCGCGGCAGATGCCACTCGTGTCGATGGAAAGCCCGCCTATCCGCCAGTCGTGTTGCACAGCACTTACTTTTCTCGTCGCGATCGATTTCGCACAGTGCATCATTTGTGCAGCCCTTGCTGGCGACGCCGGGGCGGGGGGGGGGGGCAGGGCCGGCAAGAAATGGCATTTACCTCAGGCACATTCTGGCCTTCAAAGCGTGCCGCGGTGCAATCAAGTTTGGAGACCCGTTGTCGCAGGCACTGTCGGCTTGTTTCCATGCGATGCAATTGAAACAAGAAACAAACCTCACTGGGCGTTTCTGAAAGGTGCAGATGCAGAAGCTGATTCGAGAACTGGGTTCGTGCAAGTTCCCATTCCAGCACAACCCTTGGTGTAATCAATCTGGAATTTGATTGTTAGTTTCAACAGCAGCATGGGATAGAGCCGTAGAGTTGAGGTGTGCGCATGGACGCCCCACGGTTTTCCCGCTGCACATGGGTTGCGAGCTTAGCCTCCTAGCTGCCGATCTTGTTGCAGGCTCCAAGCCAGTCCCCCTTGCGGCAGCTTTCGCTCTTGGCAGACGTAGAATCCTACATGTCAAGAGAGCATGGCAGCACCATGTAGCAGCGCTCGGAGCAATCCAGAAGCCATCAATGGCCATCAGCGACCCCGAAGTAACCCAGACACTCAAGCCAGCGCCCATTGACTGCAAGGTTTGCTGAGTAATAGATCAAACACATCGATGCTTCCACCTCTTCAAGGCTGGGTGTTTGTTGGGTGAGGAGTTGCTCTTGAGCGTTCGAGGATGAGAGTGCCGCATCTTGCGAAGCTGAAAAAGCTCTTTGCAGCAGCTGCCTGAAACAGCGGTCCGAGAAAATAACTAAACTTTTGGCCAATCGTCGCTTTTTTGAGATTTTATGATCATGTCGGTCAAGGCATTGCTGACCATGATGTTTAGAGCAATGCTCAAGTTCAATATCCATTATTTGTGATGGTTGCAAGCAGTCACTTGTTGGTACATGTTCAGCAGGATCGCACGGGTACCATGCTTGTCACTGCTTTTGGTGAGTTCCAGGTGCCTTTTCAGCTGTACTTTTCACCATTCTTCTGATATTGTCATACTCACAGTTTGTACTGAAGGCATAGAACGAAGAGTACGATGAACACACGGTGTTGTTGGTGCCACGCACAATATCAAAACTAAGTGTGCAGGACGCTGATAGTGCGAATTTGTTGAAATGATGCTAGCATGAGAGCAGCTGGAAATAGTTGTGATCAACGTTATAGATGGATCAGGGGCAGTAGTAGCAAGACCAATGTGCCAATGCTGAAATGGGTAACGAAAACAGTGCGAGAATACCAAAACTGCACAAGTGGCCGCAGAGAAGCAACTCGTGCAGGACATGAGAGTGACTACAAGTTGGTTTTTGTGTTGATGTTTTGATTTTCCCACGGCGAATTTGTTTTGTTTACGAGAAGTACCGGCTGCTCCGTCTTAGCATTCTGCAGCTGTAAACTCTTGGGACACCAGAGCAGTTTGCTATAACACCTTAAGTCTGGCGGTGCTTCTTGTTGAGCTTTGTTCGAGTGCGAGGTGTGTTGTCCCAACACTCCAACCTGTGCACGAAAGTGACAGCGAAGTGAGGAGTATACTGAAGATCAGAACTGCAATGGGTATCAACCCTTGGCCTTAGGCCTTTTTGCGCAGAAGCGTGGAATTTGGTAATTCGACATGCAATCCAATTCGGCGCACAAGTTGCAGTTGAAGCAGCGTGGTGCCGGTTTCATGAAGTTGCATGTGTTGGTAGTCCGGACTCAAAGATGGATGAGCCACTGACGCAGCTTCCCTGCCAAGAGCGAGTGCTGGCGAGTGAGCTTTCGGCACTAAGCACCTTACAGCCGGACAGCATGCAACTCAAGTGGCATGTACTTTGGAGCTTTGGGAGTACTCCGTGTTGGGTGTTCATGGCACTCGTTTCGATTTTTCAGGTAAGGGTTCTTAAAGGGCTCTTTAAAGGGATCTATAGGCTTCCTTAAAGGGATCTTCGGGTGTGGGGTTAGGGAGTTCTAGCCTTGTCAGAGCAGGGCCATGGCATGGAGCAACGTCCGCGAATTGAGATGATTTCCGGTTCCCGCCTCTCCGCTCGCAGCGTCACAAAGGTTGCCAGATGATGCCGCAGTTACTCTAGGTTCGGGAGGTCGGCATGTCCCGATGCAGATTTGTTCGACATTCTTACCGTGTTCATAGGCGGGTTGATGAATGCTTTATAGATAATATTGTGGTGGCTGCAGTAGGGCGTGCGTAGATTCAACCCCATCCTTTGGTACGCAAGGGTTTGTAGAAAAAATTCGACCAGAAGGTGTAGTGCATGCCAGTGCATGCCCCTACACGCACCACAAGCCCGTTGATGCTGCCCGGCTGGAACATCGAACAATGCATCATAAATAAGCGAACTGCGGTTCAGGATGTTTGATAGCAGACGCGTCGCATGGCTTTTGCCTTGCTTCTTTGTGACTGCGGTCGATGCTGCCTTGAAGCTTCTGCTGGAGCCGGAGGAGAGACGGATGCTAATATTGATTTTGGGGGTTCCTGATTATATCAAATAATTGTAGTATAATGGGCCCCAAACACCAAATTCTAATTCAGGCCCCTGTATCTTGGCTTTTTAGTCTTAGACTCCGGGGGCACGCTCTGGCTTCCAGGGACTTGAGATGATTGTCGCCATTCGGGCGTGATGTTTTTTGAATCAAGAGCCGAGGATCAGTGCTGGAGCTTTTCAGGGGGTGGAGTACCGTTGGAATGTGAACAAGTCGTTGCGAGTACAGGGGAGCAACGGCACGGTTTCCTGCATGAAGATATCTGGAATGCTGCCGAGGGAGACGGCCAGCAGGCTGTTGTCGTTGGTCAAAGGCAGTGCGTCATACGATTCCGAGCCTGATTCGGTGGATCAGATGCCAAGCTTCGAGTTCTATCCTATGGTTGCTGGCAGATGGGTGGACGAGGCTGTGAAAAATGAGTTGGACAAGTTCGCTCAGGCAGTCCTGCTGCCTTACGTGCGCCATGTTTACACATGCACCCACTGCACTTTGGCTGACATCCTGGTTCGAAGGTATGTGGCAGGGGAGCGTCGCACGCACCAGCTTCACTTTGATAGCCATGCCTATGTCACCGTGGTTCTGGGCCTGAGCTACCCGTCAGAGTTCGAAGGTGGGCTGTACATCCAGTCCGGCCCCCATGCCAGTTCCCGTGAGTTCGTGTTTTTGGAGCCAGGGGACGTTTTTGTGCACTCCTTTGACCTGCAGCACGGGGTTCGTTTGTGGAAGGGGACTCGCTACAGCCTCGTCTTTTGGATAAAGACGTCTTTGCAGGCTGTTGTGGACGGCACGGCGCCGTGGTACGAGGTTGCGGCAGGACGTGGAGATCCAGATGCTCTGTTCAACCTGGCAGGGCAGTATCTTGAGGGTACCTCTGGGCGAGATGTCAACCCGAAGAAGGCAACTGAACTGTATGAGCAGGCTGCAGCAATGGGACATCTTGGTGCCCAAACACACCTGGGGCTTCTGCTTGCAGAAGCCGATGGATCCAATCTGACAGCAAGTGCAAGATGGCTTCAATCGGCTGCAAAGGCAGGGGACGTACTGGGTCAAAAGAGCCTTGCATTTGCCTATGCAAATGGGCAAGGTGTTCAGCAAAACTTGACCCGCTCAGCGAAGTGGATGGCGCGAGCAGCGGAGCAAGACGATTTGGAAGCTGCCTACGTCTTAGGAACTATGTATTTGCATGGCCAAGGTGTCAAGCTGAGTCGTCCACAGGCCGAGCGCTGGCTGAGGCAGAGTGCCGAGGCTGGCTATGCGGAGGCACAGCGGGAGATGGCACTTTTCGAGAAGGACAAAGCATCAAAGTCACCTGAGAAAGTGAACTTCACAGCTGTCGCAGCTTGGCTCCAGCTGGCCGCCCGACAGGGCGACAGTGAGGCAAGACACCTCCTAGCTGACTTGTATTCTCGACAGAACCGACATTCAGATGCCCTACAACTCTGGCGGAAGCTGGCTAAACTGGGAGATGCACAGGCGCAGTGGCAACTTGGCAAATGCTACGCGGAAGGCAGGGGCACGAAGGCCATGCCAAAGAAAGCACGGGCTTTGTTTTCAAAGGCTGCTGCTCAGGGCCATGAGGAAGCTGCTCAAGACTTGGCCAGGATTTCGGGCTCCATGAAACCAAAAGGCAGCATCAGGGTCGACCCAGGCCTGAGTGATACTTGTAAGTGAGAGTCCAAGAAGGCCACACCCCGATCCCTTTCATCGACTGCGCGGCCCCCATGCCATGGCTCAGCTCCAAAAAAGCCTTCAGAAGGCTGAGCAAGCGTTGACAGCGACAGTGACAGCGACACTTTCCGTAAAGCCACGAAGATCTCTGATGCAACCATTTCTATGTTGCCTCGAGGACAGCCCCAGCTCCTTTGAAGCTTACGAAGCCATTGGAGGCCCCAAGCCACCCCCAAAGCAGCCCTGAGAGTTTAGGCCTAGGCCCTGCAACCGGCCGCAAGCATGGGAGAAGAGCTGAAGCGCCTAACTGCCTACCCACCAGAGGGGGTTGAGTGGGCTAACCGCGACCTGGCAATGCATTCAACTTTACAAGGGTCAGAGCTGTAGGTTGCAGGGATGGTTTGGGGTCTCGGGCGCTCGTCTGCCTTGCGAGCATTTAGTGGGAATAGGCCATGTTGACAGGGGTAGTTGTCAGCATCACTCATCCTGGTGATGGACATACAGATCGTGGTACATGTGATGAGGGCGATGATGGCTCGCAGCAAGGAGCTGCTGCTGATGATCATCATGATACTGTCTGCAGCGCTTGGCGCTAGGGGCTCATCATTGGTCATCGTTGACATCCCAAGACCCTCAGGTTTAATTTTTTTTCAGACCTTTAGTCTTTGTGGGATATAATCTGCTATAGAAGCCAAATCCTTATTACAACGAAAGTATAAAGGAGCCCAGAACCCATTCCAATTATTAAGGCCCCCCTGTATTAGGCTGGGCGGAGCTTGAGAATGCCTATGCGGAGCTCGAGGCGCAACGCGACTCGTTACAGCTCGAGGCGTGCTGGGCGAGAGGGCCAGAAGGTCCAACCAAGCTGTGAGGTGTTTTACGTCTGAGTCTAATCGTCACCGTTTTACCAAATTTGCAAAGCTTTGAGCTTGGCAAATCAGAGCGATGGGAAAGCCCTGTCAGGTGGATGGGTTGCGCCGAAGCCAGGACAGCCTTCAGGACTGCTTCGGGCTGGGTACGGCCTGAGGCCATGATTCAGCATAGAAGGTTTGACACTTGTAACCTATTCCCCGCATCCCAGGTTTCATTGGAAACGACAGTAGGTCCGGACCGTCGCGTCTCTTGGCAAGTTGGAGACATGGCGAGCTCGATGTTGCAACACACCTTCCTGCAGGAGGGGGCGCCAAGCGCTCCATCCAACGAAGAGCTCGATAGCCTGAGAGAGCAGCTAGAAGAAGCCAAGAAGCAGGCAGCGCTTGGAAGCCAAGACAATTACGTTCGACGATCAAGACATCAAAAATGAAACGTTGTAAAATGAGGTTTATTCTTAGTCTGATGCCCTCTTATTGTTGCTATTAGCGCCCATATTATCATGTGTTATCATGCGGATAGTACTTAATATGTTCGCAGCGAAGACTACAACTACATGGTCGATATTTCAGCTGTGGATTTTGCAGGGGTATGATATTCGAAATGCGATGAGACCTATTTGTATATATACACGTACACACACACACTAAAGAATATACACATGCATATAATAAGAGTACGGCAGTCTACGGGGATCTTCGAGGTTTGGGTCCGTCGGAAGCAGCTCGGCAAAATTCTTGAGAAAGCCAGAGATTACGAGAGTTTTGAAGGGCGAGGCCAGGACCCCTTACGCTTCGAACTCCCAACGGTTTAGGGTTTAGGGTTTAGGGTCTTTCTTGCCACAGTTGGCGTGTTTTATGCTCCTTCTGGGGCTTTGCGGTTGAGGGCTCCGTTCTGTCTTGACTTCCTGTGACTGTTTTTCCCCACTACCGTCACAATGCATACCAGGACACTGCAACATTTGGAGACAGTGCAGCTTTCACAGCCCCACACTTGTGCAATTCAACAATCCAAACTGTCGGAGTCCAACTTGAATGACAGTCCCGCCGAAGTGTGTGCTAAACTACTCAGCACTTTTGGCCCTCATCACGAACTCGTCAATCAAGAACAAAGCAAGACATCATCACCCTCGAGTTTCGCTCGCGAAGAACCCCAAATCTCGTACCGTAATATTTTGCAGCACGCGAGCTTCCTTTTTCGCATCGCAGGCAGACCTTCGGTTCACGGAGGAGGTGCGCAAGGAAGAGAAGATCAGCAGGTGCGGGTCAAGGTTTCCGGATGGGATTGGATCCGAGGCGAAGAGTGCATTAGATTCCGGCTCTGTGCGAGTGACGCTGGTGTTTAGAAGAACTTTCAGAAAGCAGGCCAGGCACACTGCACAGGGCCCTTGATTGCCAAAGCAACGCTAACCTCAGCCCAGAGCCCCAAACTCGCTTGAAGCCGTGTTTGGCATTCTTGGTGGCAGGTTGGCGATCGAGCTGGAGCAGCAGACGCTTCGTCTCTCGGAGATCAGCAAGCAAAAGTTCCAGCTCGAGTACGAGAAGACCAGGAGTCGGGTCTTGAGAGCCCCGATGCTGGCGCGAAGCATCTTGCGGCAAGGACTGAATCCGAGATCCTGCCCATCACTTCTGCCCGGGACCGACTGCAGAACGAGAAAGACGCCCAGGACAAGCTCATCGAGCAGTTGCGCAAGGAGCCATGGCTTAGATCTATGAGCGCCTTCGGTTCACCAGCTGTCGCTGCCAGAAATGTCCTGCCTTTTAGACGTTGAGAGCGGAATCTTGCTGAGGTAGTCAGGTAAGTCAGGTACAGAAACGGTGTTCGGCCGGAAAGATGCACCGCGGGAATCAAGATAAGGATTAGCAGGACGCAGACGACTATGCATAAGACAAGAAGCTTGTAGCCTAGCTGGCACGAAGAGCTTCTGCCACGTCGCCAAAAGTAGAACTCATGAGTTATCCGGGGAGGAGCAGGATCAACTCTTCAATGAGAAGTTCGAGATGGCGAGGAAGTTGCGGCGAGAATTGGAGGCTGTTTTCAGTGCGTCACCTCATGTGAACGGTTTTGGGGCAGGACCTGACTCAAGAGCTGTACCAACTCGCATCGGCACAGGCTGCACAGGCCGAGGTCAAGTACCACCAAAACGTCGCAGAAGAAGCGCGCGAGGCCAGGACGTTGTCCTGTGTGCGAAGTGATGTGGCTTCACGTGCAAGGTTGCGTGGCGATTTGAACTTTGGTGTTCCGTGTCCATGTGTAGTCCTGGCTGGTCAAGCCAGGCTCAGTACCACGAACGGAAGCTGAAAGAAGAGCTGCAAGTTCAGCTGAAAGACGAGCGGGAAGACTTTGCGGCCAAGGAGGCTGTGCTTGAGGCGGACCTGCAAACACCAAGCACCGAAGGGCCCTTAGCCTTAGCCCGCCAAACCCTACTGAAGAATAGGCTGAGCATTTGACTTCCCAGAAAGGCATCCTGCAACCCTGCCGCAGGAAAATTGCCGCATCAAGCAGGAGCAGTTGGATCGCACCACCCGTCATTGGCAAACTTGCAGAGTGCGGGGCCCCAGACCTTTAAAGCGCCGTCTTTGGAGTTGGTGGTCTCTGGATGTTCGTGGATCCAGCCGTTGCAATTCTGCTAATCATGTTAATGAGGAGTCGATCAATCCAACGCATTCAGACGGTTGAAAGTTGTTGTCCAGGTCTTCTGAACTCACGGTGGGCTTTACATGTTCCAGGTCCCTGTGCGCTTGTGTTAGGAATGTTCAAGCCGACCTGACAAACGGTATGACACACAAAGCCGAGCCATGTCGGTAAATTTCACCCCTTGATGCCATTCCCCGATTTCCTTTCCAGGAACAGCTCGATGACGCCGTGCGAGGGCTTGAACAGGGAGCTGAGTTTGAAAAGCAAAAGAGCCTGGCCTGGATTAGAAAGGGTTAATATCCAAGTTCTTGAGATTGTCAGATTTCGTTTAGGGCTGGCAGGGGGTTTGGGGTTTGCCACCAGAGGGCCTCAGTTTTATGCGAATACTGTAGGTATGGGCGCAGTTTCCTGCCTCGGAATCAGGAATGCCGTTCAAGCGGAGTTGGAGGACCTGGATTGGCTGCGCCAAAGGGAACGTGCAGCCTTGAGCGCTGCGACGCAAACTACCTGTTCAAAGTTCCAGCTTTCAGTCGACTCCGGCTGTCCTGTCCAGGAGCTTCGCCAGGAATACGAAAGCTTCAAGCAGGAGAGCTGCACTGAGGGAAGATGACCCATGCGCCACAAAACTGCCAGCTGCAACGCTGGCTGTAGAAGTCTACAACCCAAGGCGAAAGCTTCACACCTGAGATCGAAGGCTTGGCTGAAGCGGTGTGCACCGAACTCCAAATTAAACCAAACGGAAACCCAATGACCCACCGCGAAATAAAAAGACCGTTATCAAAGCCTCAAGCACCTCTAAAACACCACAGACACAGACAATGCCTCTGTCGGAACTGTTTCATCAATCTCCCCTTAACCTTCTTTTAAAATCCCTTATTATATAGTTCTCCTATTAGACTTAATTTTCCTATAAAGACTTAAAGAGTCCCTTGCATAATTCTCTCAAAAAAAAAGCCGCCACGCGAGGAGCACGAGGACTTCCTGAGGCGGCGGCTGCCGGGGGCCGACACCGGCGAGCTCCCCCGAGGATGGGAGGGCCCGGCGTGATGGAAGGGTTTAGGGGTTTAGGGGTTTAGGGTTTAGGGGTTTAGGGGTTGTTTAGGGTTTGGGGGTTTAGGGTTTAGGGGTTTAGGGGTTTAGGGTTTAGGGGTTTAGGGGTTTAGGGGTTTAGGGGTTTAGGGGTTTAGGGGTTTAGGGTTTAGGGGTTTAGGGCTTTAGGGGTTTAGGGGTTTAGGGTTTAGGAGTTTAGTACTTCGGGTTTGGGGCTTAGGGGTTTAGGGCTTAGGGGTTTAGGGGTTTAGGGGTTTAGGGTTTAGGGTACCAACTTAACTAGGGTATAGGGTTTAGGAATAGCAGCAAGACTATGTATGGGGCCCGGCGTGATGGAAACTTGGGTAGTTGTCGTTTAGGGTTTAGGGTAAGGGTAGTTCTCAAAATTCGGGTCCCCTTTGTGGGTCCCTTATAATACGGCACCTAGTTTTTCAGGGTACCCAGACAGGGACCCTAATTTTGACAACCACCCACACAAAGCGACAAAAAGCAACTAAGATAACAACACGACTATGTGTATTAACACGAGTTTTCAAAAAGTTCTCACGTTCCATGCGTGATAAGGAAATGTAAGGAGGAAACGGGATGTCATTACATGACTGAGTGACGCGAATGATGATGATGATAAAATCTGCTAGTCATGGCCCGGTTTGCTTTTAAATAAGAGTCCAGTTGGCACGGGCAGGGCCGAGGTTAAGCGGATTTTCGACCTCAAGATTTGTAACCCAGCATTCTGTGCGAGGTTTCGTGTAAACCCGAACGTTAAATGGTAGCTGCTGGGCCGAAACAGCCGTAAGGTAAGGTCACCTTTTGGTTAGCAGCTCCTCAGAAGGAAGTGCATATCGAACGGTGCATGCTTCAAGCCGAAGGGTTCCTGCAAGTGACCCCATGTAAAATGAGCCCCCCAGCCAGGATTCGAAAGCCTCACTGAGCTGGTCCGCATTGCCAACACCTCTCGGGAGGAGGAGCGTGGGCAGGGGGGGAAGGGAGCTGGGGTCGGCACACGGTGACCATTATTACGAGGATCAGAATTACATCTGATATCCGTTCGAGGCTTCTTCTCGGTATCTTCATCGTCACTGCGCACTCTCAGGCCTTGAAAGAAAGAGCAGCCAGAGAAAATCTCCAGCAGGCCCCGCTTGTCTTTGCTTCAGGAATTGGCCAATTCTGAAGCTCTAAGTGGGTTGGGTTCAAGGGGCCAGCCAAAGTCCCGAGGAAGTGCTACCCTGGGCTGAAGGTGCTGCAAGATATCGAGAAGGAGATTCGCCAGAGATACCCTGTGCTCATGAGCACGTGGCTCAGTATGGGTTGTTTCGTGCGTTTCGCATCCGGCAGGACTTGTAGGACTACGCATAGGGTGGCGTCGTTTGTGCCAGTATGAGGTCAAGTACAAGAGCTCCGCGAGCTCCGCAACCAGAATGCGGAGCTCAAGGAGCAGAACAAGATCATTTACGCCAAGGCGGCTTTCTGAATGTTGCCCAATTTACTCAGCAACACTTCCTCTTCCTGTTGGTACTGTTCTGTCAGCACCCGTGTCTCAGGACGGTCGTTGATATTGTGCCCAGACGGGGTTCAATTGTTCAGTAAATGCGATGTCATTGTGCAGTGCAGGCTCGCGAGTATGCGATTTACAATCGCGATGCAGAGGTGGTGGTGCACCTGCAACGCTATGCGGATTGGGTTTTGCCACGGCAAATGATGAGAGCATCATTGTTGTATTGATGCAGAGACACAGCAGTCAGAGAACTGTCATCCCTTTTCTCTACGTTCAAAGGGACATGCTTTTACACAGTCGCGCGAAAGCCCGGTAATATGCAAACAGTACTACCAACACGAATACCATTAGTTGCAGTGATATGTTTTGCAGGTAATACGAGTAATGTTAAGGATATTAGTCTCAATGCTACTTACAACATGGTGCCTCAAGCTTTAAACATCCGGCGATAAATGTGCGGGTTTTCACTTGGTGACTGGTCCACGAGCTCCATAGGGTTTAGGATAATATAGGGGCCTTTTTCATTAGAATAGGGTTTTGGGCCCACTGTACTGTATCTATAATGAGGAAGCCCCAAAATAGAATAGGTAATTCTTAAGGCCCCTATATTAGGATTCAAAGGTCAGCGCTTTCCAAGAACGTAGTAGCATTTAGGGAAATAGGGCCTAGTGCCTGGGGTCAGGGCTTTTACTATAGGTCTAAGGCTTGGAATTGAGGGTCTTACAGTTACAAGGACTGAGAAATGAAGCATTACAGTGCTTCTGCGTTTGGGTCGTGGCAGCAAGCGGCTTTGACTGTAGGATTTAGGGGGTATTGATTCTTTAGTTATCCTTCAGGTTTCGGCTTTGAATCGAGATTCCTCTTTGCTACCCATTGGAGCAAGGACTACAGAACTGGCTCGGTGGCCCGTCAGGAAGTATAGAAGGTCTTTGGGTTTAAGGTTTGGGGCCGTTCCAAGGGTGCTTCCATTGTTTCTCAGGGCCTGTTCGATGCATCCTTAGAGAGAAGTCTACTGCGAGTGATTCGTTGCGATTTGGAGCATGGGTTAATAAGTTAAGGGTTTAGGGTTTAGGTATGTTTAGGTACGGTTGATGATACAAATCCTGCATTACCCATAGTACGGAGTATAGCCAGCCCCATAGTCTAGGGTCCTTAAGGTAATGCAGGATTGATATCATCAGCCGTAGTACCTGGTACTCCTGATTCCTGATTGGTTTATGAGCATGAGCACTCCTTGCCAGATTCATGTCCTTTAAGACTCGAGAGTTTGGGAGAGCGTAACACTCTCTGCTGGGACAACACTGCTGCGTTACGTCTGAATCCTGCACCTTATTGCCGATAGACCAAACCCTTAAACAACAAAATAGAACTGTTGCAGCATTGAAGAACCCGTCCATAGGTTAATCCTAGACCAGAGTTCCCAGGCCCATTGCCTCAGTCTAACAGGCTTTCCGAGCTAACAGTAATTGGCTGGCGACAAAAAGTACAAAACCCAGACATGAGGGGGATTGGATGATGTTCGACGAAGCACAAGAAGAGAACACTCAGGAAAGTAGGACATATTTCAGGTATGATCAGGGGGCACTCATTGCTGGGCTCAGGGCAATGGCCTAGAAGTGCTCTTTTCCGAGCTATGGCCGGATACAGCCTGGACGCCACGTGCTGTCCTGACATCCCTGCTAAGAGCACGCACGACCGCAAAACTGACGAATGACAGACGGCTTCGAGAGCTGACGTGAGTTAGTGCCCAGGTGTGTTCGTTGACCATGTTCCGCGCAAGCCGTGGAAATCCCAATCACATCCGCTAGGCAGCCAGTCAGTCTTGCAAAGTCTTATATGTACTTCGCAGAGTAATCATGCAGAGCCAAGACATGTCCGGTGGTGATCGCAGTAAGCAAAGCTTCCTTGAAGGTGCGATCCTTGAGTGGGATGCCTGGTGTCTTTTGAATCGAAGCGTCCTGCCACCAGTTGCGACACCTCCTCTGCTAGCATTGCTGGAGAAGCATCCGTTCGGGGACTTGAGCTGCAAAATCCGTTTTCAGGACGATTCGACTCGCCCTGCTTGCCACTTTTTGGAGCTACACCGAAAACAAACACCATATCCGTGTCCTAAACCCTAAACCCAAACCCAAAGCCCTGAACGCCCTCAAAGACGCGCTTTCCACCCGGCAGACTCGCGCTCAGCGGGCCGAGCAATCGAACAAGATGGTCGAAGCTCATGCCGGCGGCCCCGTGTTTTTTTTCGTTTTTCGTTGTGCTTACAGGATTTTATAGGGCTTGTCGACTGCATAGGTGTTTAGGGCTTCAGGGTTGTAGGGTCATGGGGTAGCAATAGTATGCCCAAGGCCCCAGACACAGAGGGATCAAAGGCCTCAGAGTTTTGCGTTTCAGGGTACAACGGGTGCATGTCAAGTCGAGGTGCAATAGGAAGACGACCCAAAGCAAGACGACCTGCGACACCAATGCAAGCAATTGGTAACCAGTAATACCTGCAGCATTTTCCCGCAGTATTCGTGGTGTAGTAAGCAGAGTAAATCAGCATAGCAACGGCACTCATGACCATGTCTGTCAACCACGGTAAGGTAGAAAGCGCTACTCGTGTTTCTCGTAGAAACGTAAACATAACGTAACTACTTGCAGCGCAGCAGCAGTAAGACTGCACATCTTCGCGGTGCGATCTTTTCCAACCTTCGATCATTAAGGCCCAAGATCTCACGAAGCAGCTTGCCATCATGCTTTATGAGAAGAACCGGCGTGATCCTCGGATGTTGGGTTCTTGTTTTGGGATTTCGACTCCCTGAAAAATCGCAAGGTCCCCGAGGCTATATAGTCAGGTGGCATCGGTCGATAACAGAACGTGTGTTGCCATGGTTTGTGTTCCTCATCCGCCCGCGACTTCTGCGGCCGCTGCTCGGAATTATTTGGAGCTGGTGCATTCAAGTCAGGCGAGCGACCATCAACTTGGCTGGGACCTCACGGACCTGGTTCGCGCTGAACCAGGCAGACAGGATTGCACATTTGGTGGTTTAGGCCATTTTGCGGGGGTCTAAGGGAGGCATACAGCGGCATGCTTGTCATCACGCTTGGCTGTGCTGGGCCTCTAGCTAGAGGTCAAATGTTGACACAGCAGCCACTTGCGGCTATTGCGGCAGGCGGAGGAAGAAAACGAGTGGCCCATGACTTCTGTACAGGACAGACTTTGCTGCTACCGGGGGTGTATTCGCGCCTGTTGTGCGGCCTGCACGACTCATCCCGTAGCGTGGTTTGCTGACTTTCATCAAGCTGCTTACACGAGTTTGGATCTCTCACGCTCAGTACTGCACGAGGAAGTTGTCGAGCAGAACGTGTCACTTCGAAAAGCACTGCGCCAAGTAGAGGAACGGTCCGGGTCTCGGATTCCCGAGTTCAGGCTTTTTGCGTTTTGGATTTGGGTTTGGGTTTCGCGCATGAGCCGTCTTCCCGAGATCCATGATGATGCGCTTTTTCTGCGGCGCAGAACACTCGATTCTGACAGTCGACAGAATCCTGTGACGTGCATTAACATGCATTGTTAGAGGTTAGAGCGCCGGGGTGGAGGGGGGGCAGAACAGCAAAAAATGAGACAAAGGCCTCTAGATGTCTTCAGAAGTGCAACCTAGCTTCAATCTAGATGTGATAACTCGAAAATTTCCTGTGGGAACTACTGCCAGCCCAGCCCCAAAATCACAACCAAACCGGGAGGTTGGACAAGCTTAACTTGCAATGGCCTGGAGATTTGGCACTCTACGGCGATCAAGCTTTCCAAAGTCCCTGTATGCCATGCCTGTACCCACAGCTCGGGTAACCGAAAAAATTCCAGGCCCTGCCGTTCTTGAGTCCGCAAGCTCGAACCCGCAGAAAATAGATACCAAGGTGCCGGCGTGAGGATGTCCAGGAGATGGAACGTCTCCAGTCTCGCGAGGAGCAGTTTGCCGCCCGACTCGCAATCATTCGGGGTTCGGGCGGTTTCCAGGACACGGACGAAACTGCGGCATCTGCAGCCCTACCTTCTTGAACCCGAGAGATGTGAGCGCCAAGGAAGAGGAGCTCGAGCAGAAAGGCGAAGAACTCCAGAGTCTCCAAGCACAGCTGCAGGCTGGTCGAGTCTCAGGTCATGCTGCTGTGCTGCGCTTTGTCAATCGACCGTGCTGCTGAAGACTGCGACTGCTACGACGACGACTGCCGCTACTTACTCAGCACCTGTTTTGCCGATTGCCAGTCTGCCGTTTGTGTTACTACTGCGACGCCGATGGGCTACTACTACGTACTACTACGACGCCCACTAGTTACTCAGACTTGTCCTCGTACTGTTGCTCATCGCTAGTGCTGGTCGTGTGATACTGTCATCGTTGCTGTTGTTTGCGGTGGTGGCAGTGCTGGTGCTGGTGCTGCTGCTGCTGCTGCTGCTGCTGCTGCCGCCTGGGCTTGATCATGAAAGCTGTAGCCTCGTGCTTTTTGACGGGTTTCCGGCTGGGCACGGGGACTGTTATCTGGTCAGGGAAATGCCGAAGCATCGATTTGCGACTTGCGTGTGCAGGAAGTCAAAGAAACTCTTGAAGAAGCCGCACGCGATCGCGATGCTGCGGTGCGCAAGGTGAAGACGCTGGAGGTCCGTGGGATGCCTGTCTAGTCTAGACTCTAGACTCTAGACAGTCTTATCATGTCTTATCTAGCAGTTGGATTGCCAAGATATCCAGAATTAGAAGGACTCCCGAGCGAAACCTAAGCCGTCTTGGCTTGGGTCAGTCCGTGGACTGATGGGCTTGCTCATGGACCATGGGTCCTTTCCTTGAGCAATGGTCGCCAAAGCTGTCGAGAGAGTCCTCACAGTTGAGGCACGGGGTGCGAAGAGCACAGCAGCCCAAGACGGAACCTGAATCAAGCCCCGTAAACCCCAAACTACAGACCCCACGCTCGAAACCCTGAAGGATGTGGAGTATGCACTCGCCACTGCTCGGCATGGACATGTGGAGTCATCTGACGAGGCACATCCATGAGTGTTGAAAGGGTTCCTTAACGGCTCTGATTAGACGGGCTGCAGTGGAAAGACGGAACGTCTTGAATCTTTATGGTCAAGTTCAAGGACAAGAGCTTTGTTCAGAGTAGACAGGGGACCCGGATAAAGAACTCCGAGCATGCCGGGAGCCCACCATGAGATTCATGACCTTCGTCTTAAGCCCCAAGGCGCTCATGAAGCTTAAACGCCGCACCCTGAAGTCTAAACTGTAGTCTATAAACCTTATATATCCTACCCGAAACCCCAAACACAAGACTCTTTAAGCCCCAAACCCTAAACCCTTATCGACGCCTTTCCTGAGACCAGGAAACCTCGTCCTCCGAGCCAGCTTCAAAGCGGCGCAAGCCTGCAGCAAAGCAGCGCGAAACTCTCCAGGAGAAGTTTGGGGTTCAGCATTTGGCGTTTATGGTTCAGCGTAGGTTCAGGCATTAGGGTTTTGGGCATTCGGGTTGAGGTTTTTACGGCTTTGGGTTCAGGGTTTCGGGTTTGTGTAATATGAGGGGCTTCTGGAGATGAGAGTTGAGGACGGAGGCGGTTTAGGAAGTCTAAGGAGGCTCCTCGACATGTGTTACTTCCAGCTAAGAGTTAGTGTGCGTGAGTTCCCATTGTTTTGATTTGGTACCGTTCTACGAAGTCGCGGTTGCACGACACTGTGGGCTTAGGCACTGATGGCTGTACGAGGTAGTTAGCGACGACGCATTCCTGAGGTTCGACTTTTCCGAATATAACGCCTAACATCACACTTCAACACCCTCAGGCTTGGCACCTCGTAGCTTTTTGGACGAGGCTAGATAAATCGACGTCGCCAACTGCAGCGTCCAGGATTGACGTCAGAACTCGGAACCGATGCAGGTGAAGGTGCCTAGCGCTAGCGGGGCAATCCTGTGAGTAAAAGCCGTGCCTTCCGCATCAGGAGCCCCGCAAGGAGGACGGCAAGCGCCCCTCAAAGGCGCACGGGTCGTTGCGTTCTAGTCCGAGCGGTTGATGGTGTTTTTTTCTCCTGCCAGGTGTCGCTGAAGCGCAGCTCCAAGATGGAGGACCCCGCGTGGATCCGAGTCAACAGGGAGGTCGCCAAAGAGCCGGCTGAAAAGGGCGACTGGCTTGTGGACGGGCTTCTGCCCGAAGGCACGACACTTGAAGAGGCCGAAAGGTTGCTGGAGGAACGAAATGTCGCCGAACCAGGCTTCTTCTGCATGGCCAGGATTTGGGCTGGAGGTTGGGGTGGTCAATGTCGCTTGCCGCACCTTCCTGGGATAGAGTACTGTGAAGCTCACCAAGCACAAGTGAAACGCCAGGGCTACCTGACACACGGGCGTATGGATGGGGCGATCCCACCCAAGAAGCAGAAGGAGTTCGAAGTCACGCAGCAGAGGCTAAGAGCGCGCAGCTCTGGTTCCCAAGCTGCAAGACCAGGCCATGGGGGCAAAGATGGCCCGACCCCTACGAGCTTGCTGGACCTCCTGCGTGCACAGGGAGACTCAGGTCAAAGCTCCAAAAGCTCCGCGGAAAAAAGGTTGATCGCAGATATCCACAGATGAATGTTTTCACAAGCGAGATACGCATCAAGATAGTACAAGTGTAGGACTGTTGGCACAGAACTTGCGTGGCCTCATGGTTCAGTCGTGCCCGTCCTGTCAACCACAGATCCTCTGACCTTACAATCTCAGAAGCTCCGAATCCCCGAGCATGTCGTGCCCAAGCCCCGAACCTCCCAGAGAGCCCAATACCCCTTAATTAAGGAATATAGCCAAAATCATAATATGAAACCCTATATAATTTAAGCCATATATTCCTTAATTCCGGGGTACTGGGCTCTCTGGGCTCCAGCCAGAAATGCATCGGTTACGTTCCACGCTGCCAGGCCGGAGGTGCCAGTGGCCCCTTGGCGGGCAACTCCCAAGCGGTGGGTCAAGGACGACTTGGAATTTTAGTTTGAGCGTCCTCATAGCTTGGAGGCTTAGGGGCTGGCGGTTCTTTACGTGGTCTTTCCTCTTATCGCTGCTGTCACTGTTGCCACGACGATATTTCTTGTTGTTGTGGTTATTCTACCGGGTCCCAGCTGTGCAAAGAATCCGGACAAAAGGAGGCTCGGGCAGACGCATTCACAGCGTTTCGTGGAAGTCCAGGGATGACTTCGGATTTGGACCCTCAGAGCTTCTGGAGCGGGTCTACACAGCTTGCAAGCTTGAGACGCATTGTGATGTCAGTCCCTGCAAGCAGGATCATGCGTCTTGTGAGGGCTGTGGCACTCCTTGGAATAAATAGTCATCATGTTGATTCTCATCCATATTCATGTCGCTCCGACAGCACACGCCTGCTAGGGTGCAGTGTCCAGACACAAGCAGTGCATAAGCAATTCAGAATTTAACCTGTATGCTCACGTCGGAAAAAATCGGTTGGATTGTGGTCAGACAGGTCTGTGTCAAGAGAGGTTCTTGCACTACCACAGTATTTTGCACTGTGTTGTCACGCGCATTATCTAGACAACTCATATTTATTACGTGGCTCATTGCTAGTATTAGTACGACCATCATCAGTATTATTTTTTATACATTACATGATTAGTATTTTACTCTTTTCCTGGCTTGGCCGGCTGTACCCCGGCTTGCGGGCCAGGAGCAGCTCCAAGCGGCGCGTCCGCATCGCCTGGATCTCAGGTCTGAGGCATGACGGTTTAGCGGTTTAGGGTTTTAGAGTTTAGGGTTTTGGAGTTTAGGGTTTTACAGTTTAGGGTTTATGTTTTAGAGTTTATGGTTCAGAGTTTAGGGTTTAGGGTTTTGAAAAACGAGGTTACTGACCAAAGGTACGACGACCCGCAGCCATAACATGCGATGAGGAGCACGAATACGAGTCAAGGTGGGTTAGCTCACTGAAATGCAAGTGCATCAGACGTCCCTTGTGATCAATGCTAGGAACCAAAACTGCCGAACTCAAGACTACTTTCCTCCTCAATACCGTGACACGCATTGTTGCTGATGATGGCTTGGATTTGCTGCTTTGATCTGGCTCTGCATCTTCTCTGTGACATGTTTATCTCTGTGATGCGCATTGTTCGCCTTGTCTTGCATAGGTTGTGCTACTCCCGGCAGCGGGGATGCAGGTTTCGAGCCTTGTGGGCTTGCTTCGGGGTGTTGAGATCGAGGCTTTGGGCTCGCCCTCCACAGGCAGCAACATTTCTCCCTAAATTCTTCCATAAAGGGAACTCCAGAAAGTTGGAATATGGAATGATGGCAGGATCCCCTACATTTTACCTTAAAGGGACTATGATAATGACATTCCAACTTTCTGGCTTCTACTGTGTAGCAAGGCCTGAGCACGATCTCCCGAAGCCGATTCAACCCAGCTTGAGGCCAGAGGCGCTCTCTGAGCGGGAAGCCCTGCGGCTCAAGTGGGAGCGGGAGGAGTTTTGGGGTTGCTTGCAGGGTTGGGGGTTTAGGAGTTTTGGGGTCTAGGGTCGGGCGAAGACTGGGACTCTGTACTATGCCTCCAACGCCCTGAGCTTTTCAGACTAAGAATTGCGGTGAAGGGCCTATAAGAATGGTAACCCAAGTAATCAGACGCGGAATGAGAAGAGGTGCCGAATCTTCGCTTGCAGTGGGGTTGGGAAGTTGCTGCAGGCCATTCTAGGCTGGCTCCACGACTACAACTAAGTCAAGGCAGTCTAAACCCTGCCAAAACCTCAAAGCGAAGCTTTGGCCCGGTTTTCAAGCGCAAACGTGCAAAGTCCTCCGAGCGCACTGTAAACTTAACACCCGCAGACTGCACCCTGCAGCCTAAACCTCCTACCCCCTCAATCTCTTTTCCGTGACTCGCTAAACCACTAGGCAGCTTCCAGAACTCCCAAAACCTCAATCCCCAAGTAGCATAGAAACATCATACCTAACCCTTCCAGTAACCCTTATGGCGGCTTGTTAGTAACCCTTAACCCAAAAGCGCTCTCCAGGAGCTCTCCGACCGCTGCGAGCGCCAAGCTGCGCAGCTCAAAGACCTGGAAGCCAAGGGAGCACAGGCAGCGAAGCCCAGGATCTGCCGTAGAAGCCTGAATATATTATTCAGTATATTTATTTACAATACAAAATGAGATATATACATTTTATTGGTATATTCTACTATATGTAATCTAGCCAGAAACAGTACTCTAGTATGATATTGCAGGGTGCCTTGTTCGAACCAGGGCTCAGGGCTTAGATTGATCAAGTTGGTCTTCCTTGCGGGTGGGGATTGCTGCGGCCCTTTGGGTTTCGTACATCTTCTTGGCGAGGGCTGTCGGGTCGATTCGACGAGAATCTCAGAAAGTGGGTGCCGACCCGACATAATACCTATATAGGAAGCAAACCAAGGCAACAGTGCAAGAACAACGGTCTGAGTCAATGGAAAAGTACATGAATAACAGCGACGACAGCTGAAGTCCCCTGTTTGCGGGTGTGCAACCTATCGGGAAGCCAGCTCGAGGACTAGACCTTCAAGTCCTTCAACGACCCCCAAAAACCTGGGCTTGCGATTTCTTCTCGCTGCTGCTGTATGACCGTTACATGTATGTTGGCATAACATGGCATAACTCGGTCCTTTGCCCCCTAACCTCGAGTCTAATTGCTTGCAAAAATCCTCCAACTGCCAAGCTCTGAATGCCAAACTGCGAGTTGATGGTGGCGCAGGCTGTGCGTGATCTCGCCGTCGGCGATGCGAAGCTGCAGTTCGAGCGGCAGCGACGCAGCGACTCTGAGGCGAGAGCTCTGCTCCATCGTGGTGGAGGCTTCAGGATTTCAGGAACCCGTGACATTGGTCGTTGATCGAATTTTGGTCTTCTGCAAGCAGCTTTTATGTGCAAGTGGATCCCTGTAGTGCATGATTCATCTACTCTGACAATCCCCGCTGGGGTTCCCTCTGGTCGATATAACATGGTAGCACGGTAAAGACCCAGCAAGGACTATCCGGTCCTCCGGTAGCTCTCTGAGAGTCAACCCTTTACATGATGCACCAAGGGACCGTGCGCTCCGATCGTGTTTGAAGGCTTGAACAGCTGGCCTCGGATTTGGGGATCCCCTATAGCGGTTCGCAACTCCGAACCCGAAAAACTGCGCAGATAAGAACGACGAATCCCCAAAATCGTAGCACCGCCCTGATTCTCAAACTTCCAAAGTCTATAGAGCCTCAAACCCCGAAACCGAAAGCCTCGAACTCGAAACCCCAAAAACCTGAAAGACATCCGAAGACCCTAAATTTCGACAGCTTCCCTCCCTGAACCCACGCTAAACCTTAAACATACCCTAAACCCCTGAACCTCTCCTTCGGTGCCCTGGCAGGAAGCCTCCAAGCGCTTGGAGGCAGAGCTCAAGGAACTCAAGGAGCGCTTCAGCCAGCGCAGCCCCGAGCTGCGGAGTTTAGGGTTAAGAGGGTCTGGGATTTAGGGGTTAAGGCTGAGAAGGTCTGGGGTTTAGGCTTAAGGGTTAAGAGGGTCCGGGTTGGGCTAAGGGGGTCCGGGATTTAGGGCTTAGGGTTAAGAGAGGGCTCTCACGAGGGCTTGGGCTTCGGGGCTTTGGGTTTAGGGCTTAGCGTCCAGGGTTTAGAGCTGTCAAGAGGGCTAAAGGTTTAAGCGTGTTGAGGATGCAAGGTCGGGGGATCAAACGGTGCGAAGTTGAATGGTGGGTGGGTTTTAGTGCCGTGGTTACAGTATGGGTTCTTGCTGCCTGGCGCTTCACCGGTTTTTGTGTGCTACGCCTGCTACGCTTTCAGGGTTGCCGGCTGACGAGAGTGGTCCCTGGTCCAGATTTCGGGATGGCGTTTTGAGGTTGCGGGTCTGGAGGGCGTCGTGATAGAGGCCATCCCAATCGTTTGTCAATTCGTAACAAATTGACCGGAAATCCGACGTCGACTTCAGTTAGGCGTTTGATTAAGATGCTCTTCACAGCGACTCTGACCAAGCTATGTTCTCTTTGTGTCTGATCTCATGCTATGTGCGTGTGAATGCGTGTGAACATGCCAGCTCTGTGCTTGGTTCTGCCTTTCCCAAACTCAACGCAATTATTTATGTGTATGACTTGACTTGCCTTGCTTCTGTCGTGGCATTTTGAGCTCTGTGCTTGGTTCTGCCTTTCCCAAACTCCACGCAATTATTTATGTGTATAACTTGACTTGCCTTGCTGCTGTCGTGGCATTTTGGACCCTCTTCCACGGCCCCCGAGGTCTCGTGCCAGGGTCTTGCAGATTGAGTACATCGAGGGCGAGAGCCGTCGACTCGAAGCGGAGAATCGGAGCCTGAAGGACAGCTCCGGGCACCTCCGAGCTTCGACCCTCCTCACGGAGAGTCGTCTCCGTCGCGCAAGAGTGTAGGTCTTTCGTTTTGATACTTACGTGGCTCGTCTTGGAGCTTTTGTGATGTTTGCACCTCATCTGCTCGTCATCAGGACAAGCTGCATGCTATCGAAGCCAACAAGTGCCTTGCCTGAAGATGCACGGCCATCACGTCACTCGTACCTTCACTCATGCCTGTGAGTTGCAGAATCGAGAATTAGAAGATGTCTTCTTTGTTCGATCGGGCGTGCGATATTTTCAGGGTCCAAGCATGCCGTGTATAGCCTGACGATGATTTCACTTCGCGACTTTGTCAAGGCAGATCGCGCCACTTCAGGAGGAGCTGCTCGAGCAGACGAAGCAGCGTTGCTTGTCTCAGTGTTGCAGCAAGTGCCACCCTGACTTTGACTAGGCACATGCCCCCTGTGCGGATATTGGGTTTGGTGCTTGTTGTCTTAGAAGAGGTTACCTCAACATGCCCCTGCACTACACACTACAGAGGCAATGTGGACCTGGAAGCAGACCGGAATCTCCACAAGAGCAAAGCGGAGGAATGGAAATCCCTCTATGACGCTGCAGCCTTGGTCATGCTGTGTAATTAAGCGAACAAGCAGATGGACTCGGTGTCTTCGCTGAGAGCACATCCACGCTGGTGTCACCTGCAGGCCTGCAAGTTCAAGCAAGAGGATTTCGAAAAATGGAATGCCAGACTCTTATTGATCTGCTGCCTTTGCTACCAGCCAGCTGCAGATGCAGAGCTGTTCGTTGTGCTGGTGCTAGTGCTGACGGCGATGATGTTGGACCGGTGGTAATGCTTGCGGTGATGAAGATGACCAGTTTAGCGTGGATTGCTGGAAATACTTGGCTTGATGTCATGCCTGAATTCGTCGATGAAGGCACAAGAAGCGGAGCTCAGCGGAAAGATCGCAGAGCTCGAGGCAGCGTTGCCCATCGGAATTTAGAGTTCAAGGCTCAAGACGTGGAGGTTAGGGTTTAGGGCTTTTGGGGCTTGCGCCTAGACTGTGTCCACATTGTCTCAATTTTCGTGTCTAGCCTACGCTGAATCAGGGGTTATTGATACCGAACTGTCGAACCATTGATGTCCAGCTGATTCGGACATCGAGCTTCAGCTTTGAGGCAATGCAATTGCACTTTTCGGGCCTCTGTGTGGACTAGTGAAGGCACGACGGATGCTTGCAAGCAGTACCAGGTAACACACCGTGAAGGTCATTTGCCATCATCATCATCATCGTCGTCATCATCATAAAGACTAAGTCGTAGCCGACGTCAGAGTCACAGCCCGTCCTCTGTTCGTCGTCGTTATCCGTACAGGCCAGCCTCAAAGCTCTGGAAATATGCAACTATCAAGCTATGTCAACTGGAGCTTGGTTGAGGCTGCACCTGAATGGCTTAGGACATCAGGCGAGCAGTTCGGTTTGGCTTGAGTCGGTATATCAAAGGAATCTGCTCAACCCTCAGTCAAAGGCGTTTTAATCCCAAATCTGAGCCGACAGGAAACCCTCGGCCAAAAGGAGGCAGAGACGCAAGCCCGCCAGGCAGAGTTCCAGAAGTCAAGGATAGTATAGGGACCCGCACACAGGGTACCTGGAAGCTTTTACACGGGAGTTTGGTTGGAAACATACCCAGGTAAAGGCGGGGCTTCCTTTACTTGCACTTCAAGTGCTGAGAGCATATGCGCTTGAGCAGGTGGGCTCTGCCTGGAAACTCTCATACTCATACAAGATCACCTCCAGGGCCCGGAACCTCTCGGATTCGGAAACTGACCCATTGTATTAAGATATGTCGTCGCAGCGGCTGTGAGGAGTCCCCCGCGATGAAGCCCAGAACCTTGACACCTACTTTTGATTTTAGTGCCGAGGGGTGGCGATGGCAAGATGAAATTCATCGCTATGCATGGCAATGACCGTGCTGATTGCAAGTTAATACTGTCGTCCGGGTGGCCTTGGTCACGATAGTACGCTTTGGGATGAAAGTTTGGCCCTTCTCTTGATCATGACCGTCAGTGTTCCCCTTTGCTCCTCACTGTCATCACCATCTACCACGTCATCGTGACGACGACGACGACTACTACTGCTCCTGCTGCTGCTGCTGCTGCTACTACTACTACTAGTCCTACTACTACTACTACTACTACTACTACTACTACTACTACTTCTTCTACGACTTCTGCTGCTGTTGTGGCTACCACTACCACTGCTGCTTCTGCTGCTATCATATGGTTGAAACTTTTCACTGTTCACTGTGCTTTCGCTTCCTCCTTAAATTTGCAATTGCCGTGCTTATTCTGCCGACTCCCCGCTTTCGAGGCGGAGCTGGAGGCCGAGCAGACGCAGCTGAAGGAGGAGCGCGAGAAGAACGATGCGCTCACGAAGGCCGAGAAGCGGGTGACGTCATGACAGAGAGCGGGGAGAGATGAACTGGGTCAGTACTGGGTCAGAATGTTGATTTCTGGATGTTAGGGGTTCTCACACTGGAAGACAAGAGAATTACAATCATACTTTCCATAGCATCCTATAGGATAATGCAGTCTAACCCAGCACAATTAGTATAACATCATATGGAATGTGCTCGAACACCATATGACATAATTATTCTAAGAGGTTGTAAGAGAAAAGTCGTCTGCCGTTCTTGATGCGAGAGACCAGCGAAGCTCTGGAGCCGACGCCCAAACCCCGGCAAGCTCCGCAGTGGGTGTTGGGGTTTACGGGTTTAGGGCTTAGGGGTTTAGGGTCTGAGTGCAGCTCGTCATTTTCACGCAGTTGTCCTCGAGTTTCACCTCGGCCTGCACCTTGTTCCTCCGAAGCTGTGCGAGGCGCAAGAGGATCTGGAAAAAGATCTCAAAGAGAAGGCCGCCTTGCCATTGCGGCAGAGTAATACAAGCCTGCTTTCGCCGGGAACGAAAAAGGTGGAAACTAAAATAATCGGGAGCGGGGCTACCGACGATGAATGCTTTTGTTGCAAACCGGAGCCAGCGTTCCGTTGCATGGTCAAGTCTTGGACAGGACCGCCTATCGCAGGAGGCCGTCGGGAGCTTACACAAGAGTAAGGGAAAGGAGCCACACGGCAAGGTAAGCCGAAGTTGAAGTTGTTCTGCAAGAAGCGCTGCGCGCAGAACTTGAATCCTCGATCTCCACCTCCAAGGTGGCCCAACAGACCGAGCTGAACAAGAAAGTCACCCAGCTCGAGGCTAGAAACGCCCGAGAGCTGAGCTTGATAGTTCTACGAGTAGGGAAGAGTCAGTCGCTTAGCCTTTGTGTTTAACCGGGTGGCTTAGTCTCTGTACGCCACCGGAGATTTAGTACTTCACATTGACACTGCTATCACAGGAAATGCTGCATTGTCTAAGCTTCTTCTGGTCATGTTGTGCTGATGTATGGTCTGTATGGTTTTGCAGTTGTGTCAATCATGCTCGTGGCGCTGGCTTGTGAGATCAAGCTTGCACGCTTTGTACTTTCACGTTGTGCAGCACTGCAGCCTTGTTGCAACATGAACCAGTAGCGAACCATCTCCGTGACCGGGGGAGCTTGGATGCCGATGTGTAGACAACCCCTATACACCTCGTAAATCCGACGCCTCCCCAATTTGCAGGAAAAGCTGGAGGAAGAGAGAAAGCAAGCTCAGGCCGTAAGCAAGGTGCAGCCTTGCTCATTCGGCTGCTGTTGCGCCCTAAACCCTCGACCCCAAACCGAGTTTTGTGCCTGAAGCATGCGTAACACTGAGTGTCTCCTTCGAGAGTTCTGCCCCTGCACTGGACCTACTCGTGAGATTCCGAAGAGATCTGTCTTCCTTGTTTGTACAGGGAAGCGCTTGCAAGGCCATAGTCCCCCTACACCCCAAGAAGCAGTATCGCGTTCAGTCTGTCGGGCTTTGTGCTGAACCCTATGCCGTAAATCGTACTATAGTGGCCTTAATGATTACCTATACTATTTTGGGGGGTCCTTATTAATATACTTTATTATAATGGCGCCCAAAACCCTATTCTAATTACTAAGGCCCCTATATTACACTCCAAGCATTGGGTGTTGGGGCTCCATGAAACTTCCCGTCGCAGATGCGTGATGACCTGGACAAAGAGATGAAGGATCAGGCCTGGCTCTGGCACAGCGTGTAGGCGTAGGCTCTATCGTATAGAAACGTGGCCTTAATAATAATAAGAAGAAGAAGAATAATAACAATAATAACCTATACTATAATTGTGGACGCGCCCCTAGCGGCAGTGGAGTCCCTCAGAAGAAGAAGTATACTAGAGTTATATAGTATGATGGCCCCCATAAAAAGGTGCCAGAGGTCGTTTGGCTCAGGCTTCCGGGCTTTAGTTTTGCGACTTTTGGGGAGGGGGTTTTGGCTTTGGCATCATCGCGTGTTGATTGAGTGTGTCAGGGAGGGAGGCATATTCATTATTAAGGATTTCGAGATTCAGAAACGAAAGCTCGTCATTTAGGGATTTCTGATATCGGCTCATACTCTTAAAGCATGAACGCCTAATCCATACACCCATAAAGCATAAAGCCATACACGGCTTTGTCTGGGCAGTGTGAGTCTTTTGGTTCAGGGCTACATATAATAATATGGGTTTCGGAAATTCTATCTTCAGGATTCAGGGGGTTGACCTGAAACAGGGTGCCTTTGAAGTCCGATTACAGCTTACACTTCTATGCATGGGATACCCCAAACGAGCTGCAGGAGAAGCGGCTCAAAGCTAATGATAGCTTGAAGCAGCGCGGGGCCCAGTGCAGAGAATAAACGGCCCTGTTATCAAGAGGCTGAGGGTCAAACTGGTATCTGTGAGTCTCAGACGGTGGCCAACGGCAGCAGCATGCCGGTTGTGGTGTATCGCCATAATTAACTTAATCGTCACTCGCAGTGCTCTGCAGAACATTGCATTCCGTGCCAGAAATCCCTCGTCGGTTCGCATCCTTGCCGAGGCTTCACTCCAAGCGAATCGAATTGATGACTGCAGCGGCCTCAGACATCAGGGCATTTTTCCAGCGCGGACTTCGCACGGCGTTTGTGATCGTCAACCGCCTTCTAGGCTCAGGGACACCACTCAGGACGACTACGTACTGCTACTTCGTGATGCTCCAGTATTGGACATGATTGAACAATCCAGTTGTGGTCCTGGGCCGCCGGCTGAAAACTTCACGGTATAAGCGAACGTAGGTTCAGCACCTCGCTTCTCCCCACCATCAAGTCAAGGCGAAGATCCTTCTTAAGGTCTGTTCAGAGACTTTCGAAGCCCCAACCCGAAAAGCCAGACCCAAACCCGAAAGCGAAGCTGCAACTCTACATCTCGAAGTCAGGCTGAGAAGAACAAGCTCACCGAGGAGAACACGAAGCTAAAAGGGGACTTAGCAAAGAGCTTTCCACAGGCCAGGGTTGTTGTTGGCGGCCGCATTTCGTTGCGCCGTGCCCGGTTGCTTTACAGTTTTTGATCGGGTGTACTGTAACTTCAGAGCTCAACTAGGGTTTAGCTGCAAGACCACGCGAGGAAAAGTGGGACTTGTCTCGCCAAGCAATTTCAGCGGGCCTGTGTCCAAGTGCGAGGCCGAAAAGACAAAGCTGAGTGAGGAGATCTCCAAATTGAAAACGGAGATGTCAAAGCGAATTCCCGAGGCTAGTAACAGTCATGCTTGCAGCAGTCTGTCCAACGAAACGCTTGGTCGATGCATTCTTTCTTATCCTTCAATGGTACTCGTCACTGCGGCTGCTCGGGCCAACAGTCGGTGCAAGCAGGGAAGATTCTCACTGAACACATGACATGTGGGCTAGCCTGGCAGAGCTGGGCAGCAGAGCAGAATCATTTGCGCAACTGCGAGGCGGAGAAGGTGAAATTGACGGAAGAGATCCAAAAGCTAAAGCAAGACGCAGCAAAGCGGCTGCCCGAGGCCAGTGCGGGAGCATGTCACGGACAACTCCAGTCAGGTTAACGCAACATCTCTGTCTTGCGACCGGCGGGTTGCTGTAGGCGCACGTGGACAGCCATCCAGGGCTGTTTGGGCTAAGACGAAGGTTTGCTGAAGCTGTCTTCCATGTTTCAGCTGATGAAATCTCTTGTGAGATGTTGGCATCTATCGCATCGATCGGCGCTCAATCAGTCTTCCTCTCATCATGTGGAGTCTCCGGAGCCTCATGTTTCAATGAGATCGTCGGCCAGCTGCCCCCTTTCGGTCTAACTGTTACTACCTAGCCTAGAATGGCTATCGACATCGCTTGCGAGTCGACTCCAAGGCAGCTGCACATATCTTTTGTCCTGAAGCGAGAGCCCAAAGGACCCAACGTACCGAGTTTTGTGCTTTCTACTTCCTTCTGCAAAAGTGCGAGGCCGAGAGGACAAAGTTCACCGAGGAGATCGCAAAGCTGAAGGCGGAGGCGGCAAAGCGACCGTCTGAGGCCGGCAAAAATCGCCTTATGGGCCTTTCAATGACTACACTAGGCTTCCGCTACAGAGTTCTCTAAGGTTATTAGAAAGGTTTAATCGAGGGCCCTGAATAATTAACTTAGAAGTGTGTGCTGGGGTATAATGCGATTGTGGTGATGATAAAGACGAAGGCGCAAGAACTAGCTAGCAATGCTCGAAAGCACTGCAGTGACGACCACTACCTGGACCGATGTGACAATAGCCAGAGCACACCTGCCGTAGCTGTGCAACAGTGCTCCGCAAGTCTGGTCTTGCGGAACAAGAATCTGATTGAATACACGGGTAGAAGACTTCACACCAAAATTAAGTCGTTTCAACTCGGACGGTCGACCAACCGTGGTTCCCAGTAACTCTGTCTCTCTCTCTCTCTCTCGCTCCGATGCGTCGTGCATCGAAATCGTTTGGCCCACTGCCGGTCAAGCAACGCCGTTTCCGAAGAGGTGTGCCCGAACTCCGAAGCTAAGCCAACCTCTTGCGCAAGCCCGTTCATGAGCCCGCTTTATCCATAGTTCCCATCTGTATATACAGCCATACGGACATGATGGCATAAAGTTCGGGCATCTCAAGCGCAGATGCGGATCTTTAGGAAGAAAGTCTTCTGCGACTGTAGGTCCACAGGTCTCCCTCATCACAAGCCTGATGCTACACCAGCCAAACGTTTGCAGATCGTGATCACCGCTAGCTTGATTGTGTAGTTTCCGGGTGGTAGCTTGTGAGGCCGACAAGACCAAGATGACGGAAGAGATCTCAAAACTCAAGGTGGAGCTAGGAAAACGGCTTCCGGAGGCCAGATTCTCGGGGTCGAAGGACTCGTCGAGATGAAACGAGTCTTGCTGGAAGGCGGAGAAGATCAAGCTGAACGAAGAGGTCGCAAAGCTAAAAGCCGAAGTAGCAAAGCGGCTTCCGGAGGCCTTCATTGATCGCCCATGATTGCCTAGCTAGTGAGTCGACGTTCTTGTTGCTCCTAGCTCGACTTTTCCACGACTTGCCATGGTAGTTATAAGCGTCACTCATGTGATGACACAGAATCTCATGAGCCGACTAATGTGCCTCATCTCCGTCGCCAGAAGGCATTGTAGACTGAGGTTGCATGCAGGTTAGGTCCCCCTTCTCAAGTCCAGGCCGAGAAGACCAAACTCACAGAGGAGATCAACAAGCTCAAGGCCGAAGCAGGAAAGAAGGTCTCAGAGGCTCCAGCGGCTCCGGAGGCCAGATTCTTGTTGGCGCCGTTGGGGCGCTGTTTTGCAAGTGTGTCTTGCCATTGAAAGTAACATCAGGTGATGAATATGCAGGCAGCTGTTGCCGATCCTGCCTCTCCTCCTCTTCCCCCTCCTACCACTACTACTACTGCTGCTACTACTACTGCTACTACTACTGCGACTACTACTCCTACTACTACTCCTACTACTACTACTACTACTTCTACTAGTACTAGTAGTAGTAGTAGTAGTAGTAGTAGTAGTAGTAGTAGTAGTAGTAGTAGTAGTAGTAGTAGTAGGAGTAGTAGTAGTACACACAGCGGTGGGAGGCCGAGAAAAGCAAGCTGAGCGAAGAGATCACTCAGCTGAAGGCCGAGCTCGCCAAGCGACTACCGGAGGCCTTTCGAGGATCCAATCTTTCGTAGTAGTTTGGGGCGGATTCCATCGTGTAGAGACGGCCGCCGCTGCCTCGATGGTCAGCGTTGTCGTTCTTAGTCTGAGTCGCTGGTTGAGAGGTTCGAGGCATGGCAGGGGCTCACACTTCCGGGTCATTTGTCTTTAGACGCGATGCGTCGGCGAGTCCTTCCATGTTAAGAGCTTCGCAGTTTTGAGACCTAAGGGGTTTTGGAGTTGCCCGACCTGAATCCTAACGGTCCTAAACACTGATCCCATGTCAAAGCTAGCCTTTGGCTTAAAGCCTGCACCTGGGGCAACCGTAAAGGTCTCCGAAGAGGAGGAAACCTTATATAAGTTGCAGTTTAGTGTTCCTACTCTTCTCATTGCTGCAAATTGTTGGTGTGATTACGAAGGATGTTCTTTTCCGCTGTTTGGGAGTCGGGCTCCACATCTCCCCCACCCTAGGAAGGCTCTCCAGACGGAAAGGGCGATGGCGATACGGACGTGGTTTGGTCACCTGGGAATTGAGACAGATTCGATTCAACTCGGACCTGGTTAGGCCGAAAAGACCAAACTGAACGAGGAGATCGCAAAGCTGAAGGCTGAGCTTGGAAAGCGTCCTTCGGAGGCCGGAGTGTGTCGCAAGCCTGAAGATTTTGTGATTGATTGCGTCCAAGCAAGAGAACGGTCGTGGCAGGCCGAGAAGACAAAGCTAAACGAAGAGATCGCGAGGCTGAAGGCTGAGCTGATGAAACGGCTTCCAGAGGCGAGCTACTCCCCAAGATGCAACGGTCTCGCCGTTTCATGGGGATAGTGGCCGGCACTGGCCGTGCTGCGCCACTTAGCATAGAAAGCCCTTAGTTTGCCTATGTTGTCATTTTTTTTCGGAGTTGTTTGTTGAGGGTAACTGCGGGGTTAGATGCATTGCCAAGCTGCTCTCGCAGCTTAACTGATGTCAGTTTGGGCGACATGTAGTTTTCAACGGCCAAGCACGCACGAAATCAGAGAGCGCGGGAGGCCGAGAAAAGCAAAATGGTCGAGGAGATCACAAGGTTGAAAAACGAAGTTGCGAAGAGGTGCAGCCCAGAGGCGCCTTGGGCCTCCTCTGGAAGCTTCTGTGGGGGTTCTTCCGATTAGGGATGCCTGGTTTCGGGAAGTTTCAAGGATCCTACCATTTTAGGATTTTTCTGGGCCTACATTAAGGATCATGCCACCTTGTCTGCATTTTCTGGTCAGAAGGGCAGTGCGGCAGCTCGCAGGACCTGAAAGTGGTGCAAAAGCAAGGCGACCTCGCCATCCACCTGGCTATGGAGTACAGGAAGGCCAACAGTTGCGTAAGCATGAAACAGGCAGTGCATCGTGCGGCGCTGCCAGACACCACGATGCAAAGCATCATGCAATACAAACCCAAAGCTGCACGGTCATGCAAACGCACGGCGGAAAGTTCAAGCATGAATCGCTCCTCTGCTGCTAGGCCGTGGAAGCCTTGCTTGCGGAAGCCGCATGCTCAGAGACTTTTCTCTTGTGATCTTCTTGGAAGCATAACGGCACAAGACCGTCCCGTGGAGGGTGCACCTGGTTGTGTGAGCTCGTTGAGACAGTTCCCTGCCAGAACTGAATCCTTCTTTAAACCCCATTAAAGACTTCAGGCCCAAGAGCCCTTGAAAGCCTGATCACCCCAAACCCTCTTCGCGTTACGGCCCCTTGGACCCTAAAAGCCCAGAGCCACGCCACCGTCGACGCTCCGAGGCTGATAAGAGCCAGGAAAAGCCCCCCGAGACGAAGCGGCACGCCGAGATTCCTCGAGGGACCGGCTACTTAGGGGTTCCTTTAAAGGGATCCTTTAAGGGTTCCTATAAGGGATCTATAGGGTTCAGCGAGTTTCCGAAAAGAAGGGGAACCCTATCTTGGGGGTCCCTATAAAAAGGATCCTACTGTTTAGGGTACTATATTAGGGTCCCCTATTTTCGGAAACTCCCTTATGATGGTCATACTATGATTACGGTGGTTACTTATAATGGTGACTATACTGGCTATACTGTATTGGTTTTACTATGCATGATGGTTACTTTTATGGAGATCATGGTGTTGCTGTGGGGTCATTCCGCGAATGGTAGCAAAGTTCAAGCTCTTCCTGCATTTGGGTGCCTGCTTTGAAGCTTCCCGTCGCTGCAAAGAGTGTGCAAAAGGACTCCATCTTGGAGCGATTCCCGAATCCGTGAGGCTGCAGCCAGCTTCCAAGCCCAAAGAGACGGAGGCAAGCTGACGGTGTGAAAACGTTGGTGCAGCGACATTTCAGCTCTTGAAAAGCAGTTGCTGCTTTCATAATAGTAGAGAGTTGGTCCAAGGAAAGGATACGTACAAACGAGAGCAGTGAAACACGAATGCCACCCTTTCCGCCTGGCCTCAAAGATGTTCTTCTCACGAAGTTTCAGCTCCCTTGAATCTGTCAGACTGGGAAGACGAACACAGAGCCTCTTTCCCACGTCAGGCGCCGCCAGCTGAGGCCTCCCAGAGTCCGGCAGTCCGAACCTAAGCAGGAGAATTCCAGGAAAGTGCTTCGGCAGTTTACAGTCGAGGCTTCGACGACATAGGGGATTCGGGGTTCTCCCAAAGTAGTTCACCCGTTCCGGGAGTGGGTTGAGCTATGAGGGTTCAGGCCATCGGTCATGGGCCAGGAACGCCTTGCTCAGTGGAAAGGCACCGAAAGAGAGACCGACAGACCTTGAAGAGAGGAAGGAGCCTGCCAATCAGCGAGATCAAGGTACGGAAGTCGTCAAAAGCATCGCAATTATTCCGGCTTTTGTCACTATAACTATTATTTGCAATCCTCCTAGGTCCAGTCGGAAACCTGGGTAGGCCAGGTAGGGTTGTGTGGATCGGAGTTGGAACGATCAGCATGTAGATTTTCGGGCTCTCAGACGGTACCGTAGTCTGTGTCAATTGGTACCAGGTCGACCCGGGGCTAAAGCTGTCGGAGTCGGATTTCGGGCCGTCATGCCTTTGGAGAACACGGGTTGACGAACTCGAGAATTTGCTGCAGCTCTAGAGTGGAACTGAGGCTGCCCAAGCCGGTGCAGGGAGCTCAGCGGGCACCCGGCAACCCTCGATTCAGGACTGTAGCACATTCCCTGAACCCTTGTCCAGTGCCTAAACGGTCAAGGGACTCCTAAGGAGTTCCTGATGTTTCCTTTTATTGGGTGCCAGTGGCAGCTTACAGCGCACGTCTACTCATTTCGCACACGGGAAAGGATGAACCTTTCGCTCCTCCGAAGGTCCAAGCATTGACTTGCAGATTCTTGCAAACGCCAGGCGTTTCGTGCGTTTCTCCAAATCCAGAGGCCCAAAATCACAACAAGAACCCTCAACATATCCCTCATGTAAATCCCGAACCCCTACCTTCTTGTAGCGGTAAACCACACTCCTCTAACCCTGCACTTCAAATGCACTCTCCAAAAGGCCAGCTCTGTGTTAAACCCCTAGAACTCTAAGACCCGAAGCCGCGCCTCTCAAGCCCATAATAACAAGAGTAATAATAATAGGAGTAATAATAATAGTAATAGTCCCACAGGCCTCGGCACTGAAGCATAGCCCATAAGACCTCAAATCCGAAATCTTAAGCCCTGAACCAAAATCCTGACCTCTAAAGCCTGAACCCTGAAAGCACTGCACGCCAAGGGCACCAAGCGCAAGGCAGAAACCCCGGGTCCGATGCGCTTGGATCAGCTCAAGGAGGCCAAGTCACAGTCTCACGAGTACCAGTGTGAATTTAATATTCTAACAATCGTAATCATAATGTTATACAGCTCATGAACGATGGGGGTGGCAATGTAGAACAGGCCTTGTGTGCCTTTCGTTCAGGGCTTTGGGTTTAGAGGGTTAGGGTTTTGAGGGCTTGCAGGGCCGGCAGGACAAGGATCTCCAGGCTTTAAAACGACTGAGGCTTCCGTAGGATCGAAGGTTTTGAGTGTCGTGTTTAGGGTTGTGGTTCCGTGTTGAGCGATTTTTGTGGGGTGGTGCAAAGCAGCTGCGCTGGTGAGCTGGTGTTCTTAAGGCACTTAGTCGTACTATCCGTTGCAATAACTTGTATCATCGTCTAGCCGTTGTTTTGTTTGGGAGATGGCTTCCCCAGCCCTCCAGGCCCTCAGAAGAATCAGCAACATGATTGTGTTGAAAAGTAGTCATAGCTCAGTTTAGTTATGGTATACTACCCTACCCTGCAAATTTAGCAGTACGTTGCACTCCGTCATCCGAGGCGGGTTACAGCATAGCGACATTCGGATCTTCAAGTTCTGAAACCCTCCGGAGAAACTTTATGCATGCCACGTCCAAGGCCAATGTGCAGGCTATGGTGGAGGAACGCGCGCCCAAGGCTGTGCGCAGCGAAGGCACCGCAATGCTCGATGGCAAAGATCTTGTAGCGCAGATGCTTGCGTCAGACGGGTGCAGTGCTGCTTGACAATCTTACAAGACGGACGTCATACACGTGCTGTAGAGAGATTCAACCGCCGCCAATACCGGCGCATGCACGACATGCGCTCTCAATGCTGAGCGGTCTCACCATAGGTCCTTGATTCATTGATTCGGTTCCAGACCCTCAGGTCCTTGAGCTCTGCTCCTGCTAGGTTCTTGGTAAGGAATTCAGTTAAAGTTACCATAATCGGGATCTATAGTAAAGTAATATGATTTCCTTTTTATCGTAGCTTAAGCTATATCCCTTAAGAAGAACGCAAAAAATGGAAAAGCATGGAACAAGAGCACTGCCTGAAGCTAAAGCTGCAAGGCTCAGCGGGGCAAACCGCCACTCCGCCGCAGACGCCTGCGGTGAAGAAGGCTCCAGTTCCGCCAAAGGCTCCGACGATGGCTTTGAGATCTTCTTGAGAAGAATACGGTATGGTATGGTACAGTATAATATAGTACTATATAGTCATATAGTACAATATGGTAAAGTATGTGGTATAAATTCGAATCATACCGCAATTTTGTACAATATCAGAATGTACCAAGAATCTTTGGGGTCGGGCTTGCTCTTGGGTCGAGCGTGGGTCGGATAAAGCGCACTGTCCTTCCGAACCCTGCAGCCACTTGCACTCTCGGCTTTGTGTGGTCTGGTGCTATGGGTCCAAAGCGCTCCTCTGGGAGGCCGCGCCGGTGCAGCCAGGCCAGCCTTGATGGCATATGGGAGCGTTAGAAACTAGGAACCCAAACGTAGACCCTCAATAGTGGGATGATTAGACAGGGCCGCTACGCAACATGATCAGGTGTTGCGCCACCTGCCAGGCTCTCAGCGCAAGCAAGGCACTGTGCTGCCCTTGAAAAGCGGAACCGGATTCCCAAACCTTCATTCAGCTGCTCGTGATAGCTCCTGGCCGAAGGTCATAAAGACCCAAACCCTTCGTTGATCCATAAGGCCAGCAGCGGACCCGCCCCGGTTGGAAAGGCATCGGCGAATGCGGGGAAGTTCGAGGTTTGTGGTTTCTTGGCTCACCCTCCTTGAGGTCAGGGCAGGGGCTTCAAAATGTTTCGGCCTGTGCTTGAGGCTTGTCCTTTCAATCAGGAGCCAGCCATCTACCGTCCTTCAAGTTGCGTCGTAGCCGATTCTAGCTTGAAGTCCCAAAGCCCCCTATGAGATCCTGAGAGGGCTCAACGCTGAACTTGGCAAACGTCGGAAGAGGAGTCAAGCCGGAAGCATCTTGAATTCAAGAAACCTGTTTCAGAGGCCGGCAGACTTTGTAGGGGGTCTCGAGCCCTGCAGACCCTATACACTATACACCCCAGATATAATCGCTGCCTTGGAGTCTTAAAGCCCAGAGCCCACCACCCCTTGAGCCCATTACCATCCTTCAAAGCTGATCCGTGAGGTGGAGGGAGCCCCTGCCGCTTCTCCATCCCTGACCCCAAGAACTGCCTGGCACCCAGGAGCTAAAGGGGATTTCGGGTCTAGGGCTTAGGGCTTTGGGGCACAGGGCAGGAGTCAATCAGATGATGGGTTGAGGCCACATGAGGCACAGGAAAGTGGTTGGGACATGTGCACACCGAGTTCCCGGGAATGGCTCCTATCACTGCGACACCCCACTTCCTGTGCCGTTCGCAGCAGTCACAGCAGAAGGACTAACAGTCCTGATTCTTGCCCAAGTTGTCGCAAGTCGGACACCGAGTAGTCAAGCTCCTAGCAGTAGAAGCCATCATGACAGAAGGGCCGTTGTCACTGCGATGGTTAATGCTACTGTCTTCCTGATTCTTGCTCTCAGTAGCACTTGTTGCGAGCGTCATGGAGATGTCGGGGTGTATATTGGCTAGTTACTCGTCTCGTTGGCATGACTCGTCGTTGTCCTAGTGATCGTCGCCGTTGTCATCCTAGTAGCTTAGTAGCAGTAGCAGTCCCAGTAGTAGTCGTCGGAGTAGTAGCAGTAGTAGTCGAAGAAGTCGCAGTAGGGTGAAAGTATCACCAGCTCAGCCGGCCCTCGGCGGCCCGACGATCTTGCGAACCGACGAAGTTGCCTACTGCACTTGGTCCTAGCCCCAGTAGTCTTATCATTGCAATTTCTCTTCCCGAGGCTCCGATCCAAATCGATGATGACGACGCCGCCGAAGCTGCCGATGCTCCGCCTGCAGCGCCTCGTGAAAATGCGTGGAGTTTCCTTACCCCGCTCTGGCTTTCGGGGTTTGGTGGAGTCAATTCGGGTTTGGGGCTTAGGGCCTAAAGGTTTATGCTGGAGATGGTGGTATCGATTTGGCAAGGCTTTGAAGTTTCGCATTGGTGAACGTTCCAGAAGTATGATGAGACTGCTCGCTGCTGCTTGCCAAGGCACCGATGTCCTGAGCGAAGAGTCTGCACCACGTTCAGCTGGCAGGTTCTCGGAAAAAAAGAAGAAGGGACACATGCACGCGAAACAGACGACTTGCCTCCCAGGAGGCTTTGCACGAGAATTTCCCATACTGCAGCCTGTACCCAGACTGCTAAAGCAGGCTTGCAAAGCTGCTGCATGTCTACATGACATGTTGCCACGTCTGGCTCAAGACTTTCGTCTTGGACAATGACAAACAGAAACCTACAGCCTTCAACCCCAATACCTACTACTACCGACTACCTACTACCCTGCTGCTGCTACTACAACCAGCACCACGACGACTCCTTTTACCACTACTGTGGCCACCACCACTACCAACTACTACTACCACTACCACTACGACTACGACTACGACTATGACCACGACTACTACTACTACTACTACTACTACTACTACTACTACTACTACTACTACTACTACTACTACTACTACTACTACTACTACTACTACTCGAATAATACTACAGCTTCTGCTTGGAGACTTGATTGCTGAAGCGCCATGGAGCAAGAGTCTTCCGAGGGAGACTGGCGAAACCGCTGCTCGGCTTCTCTGAGGCGGCGCTTGACGGTTTAGGGCTTAGGGGCTGCGTTATATATAGGGGGCTTAAATGATTGCCTATACTGTTTTGGGGGCTCCTTATTACAATAATTCTAGTAGCATGGGCCCCCAAACCCTATCCTAGTTATAAAGGCCACTGCATTTATTAGGCTTTGTGCAGGTCTTGGCTGTTTCAGGTCTCAGGCTTAAACGATTCAGGCTTCCTCGTGTTGGCTGTTTCTGGCTGCAGCTTCATGGAGAGTCCGAACAGTTACAGCGAGTGTCCGTACAGTACCAAACGAAGCTGGCTTCACCACGTAGGCCACTATCCGTTACCGAGTCTAGGAAGATGTTAATTGCGAATGTGCTTCGGAGGCTTCAATCACAAGCCCATCTCAGTTCAGCGAGTGCACATGCAGCAAGAACATGCTGAGCTTAGCAATGCTAGCAGCATTCCTAGCCCCGAGCTTGGCAACCTTTCACATCCGAGGTTGGACCGCGCTTGAGAATGGCTTTGCCATGCTGGATGCTCGTCCCGATTTGACATTATGTTCATCACTTGATGGATCTTGTTTGCCTGGGTAGGGCGCCGATAGTAGAGATAGTGCAGGGTTGTGGGTCTGGTGAAGGGTGTGCGGATGTGAGATCAAAAGTGTGAGTTGCTGAGGATCAGGGTCCCAAGTGCTGGGATTTGGCGTCATGGATTCGTCTGGACTTGGACACATGAGGGCCCTCATGCAAAGCATTGGGGCAAGATTCCGGCAGGTTTTCTGCTCATGGTATCGGAAGACTCCTATCCTGATCCAAGCCATGAGCCCCAAGTCCTGAAGCGGATACTCTCCAACCCCAATCTAGGAAGCCTTGTTGCAATCAAACGACAGCCTTTTGTCTTAGTAACAGCGGAATTGAATGCTGCGATGCATGTTAGCATTTCCACTACCATTATTGTCAATTACCATTGTTCTTATAATTATAGCTGTTATTGTCAACAACTGTTGTTCTTGCGATTATTTCTATTATTGTTGTTATTCGGGTTCTGGAGTCTCTGGCCCTAGCCAAGGAGGCTCAGCGTGACTCGCTCCAAAAGGAGCTCGCCGAACTACGCAGTCAGCCGCCACCCGAGGCTTGAGAGAACACCGTGTTAATATATATATATATATATATGTATATCTATATATATATATATGTATATATGTATATATATGTGTATATGTATATGTATATGTATATATATATATATATATGTATGTACTTATGTATGTACGTTGGCACCACAAGAAGGATCTTCCAGCTCAACGAGACATATAATGAGTGCGTCGAAGGCTTCAGGGTTTAGGATCTGAGAAACTACGATCTTGAGAAAGCAAGGCCCTGAACTCCAGACTGGCTTTGACAAGTCGGAACATGTCTACCACATTCAGGGAGAGCTTTGGCTGTTTTGGGAGTCCAGCATGATGCCGCAACAATACTTGGGATCATGGGACTAGGGTTATAAAGCACCTTAATTAGGGTTACAAGTGGATATCACTATAGACTGTAGTTACCTTTGTTATAACCCTACTTAGTCAGTCCCCTGATCCTTTAAGTGCTGTGCCATGCCTGGGAGGCGGCGGTGGAGAGGAGGGTGGAGGATAGTTCGGTCCGCCTGCACCGTTTCGGTTCGAAAGCAGAGTAGAAAAGGCCTTCTAACTACGTAGGTCTGTGTATGTGTCTGCTAGAATGAAGAAACCTTGTTTGCAGACCCATCTGCAACAGCAGACTCATCGCAGACAACATCGGCAAAGTGAGGATCCCAAGTTGCACGGTGTCCCGAAGCAACCGCGTAGGTACCTAAGCTGAAGCTTTGGGCTTTGCCCGCCGCCTGTAAGACTGCACCGGCTCGGCCATGCAGAACGAGCAGTACGAGCAGTGGTCAAACCTTGACCTCCGAAAGCATTGGAGCCTGTTCGACCTTCAAACTACGCCCGATAAAGAAGGGAAACTTTCCGCGCCTTTGGTGCATTTTAGATTCACATTTTCGGGTTCCGGGAAGCTTTGGCCTAGGAGTCCGATAAACGGTTTGGCGAAAGATTCCCAAGTTGAAACCCCAGAGTTCGAGTTGTCATCCCAGGCATTCCGACAAGGCAACCTGGTGCTGGTTTCCGGATGTATCACGACACTATGTCCTCAACAGCTCAAGGACAGTGTAGTGCTTGGGCTTGGGGTCTAGAAGGGGTTTGAGCTTACTGTCACCGGTGTGTCGAGGCAAACATGGACCATCCGATCGGCTATCTGCCGACAGCCTGGACGCCGGAGCGGAAGGTTCCTTTCACATCTCCTACACACGTCTCCCGGTTTGAGGGCATCAAGCAGGTTGGCACAAGCATGATGATTGTCCCGCCCAGAGCGAGCTCCTCAACGGCGCCGGGAGCTCCCAAGGTTTCGGTGAGCGTTGTCAAGACTCTTGGCCGGGTGGTCCAGATGCTGTCCTTCTGAAGAGTTTGTGGAAATGCTGGCGTTCCCACACTTGTTCTTTGTGTTCTCGCTGCTGCTGCTGCTGAACCTCCTGCTCCTACTACTGCTACTACTACTTCTACTACTACTACTACTACTACTACTACTACTACTACTACTACCACTATGACGACGACGCCGAAGACGACGACCGCTGCTGCTGCTACTACTACTACTACTACAACTACTACTGCTACCACTACTACTGCTAATAATAATTACTGCTACTAGCACTACTCTTGCTACCGCTGCTACGACTGCTGCTACTATTACAACCACCACTGCCACTACTGCTACCAGTACGACTCCCACCACTCCCACTGCTATTGCCACTGCCACTGCCACTTCTATGGCTATGCTGCGACTACTACCGCGGCTACGACCAGGACCAGTACCACTACTCCTGCTGCCCCTCCTACTCCGACACATATATGTAATAACAGTCATCACAACAACTACTACATCACTGCTGCAACTACCGGGAAACGGTCACTCCAGATTGACCACTGAAGCGGCTTCTCGCCCTTGAAGCGGACTGAGTTCTGAGGAATGCCGTGCCAATGGTTCTGCACCTGTCCGGGCTGGCAATCCACCGTGGCAGCGTTGATGACGAGGATACTTGCCAGCCGCTTGTTCTCAGAGAAGAGCGGGCAAACGTGGACGTGCGAGATATCAACTTTCAGAACAGCGGGGCTTTGAGGCCGAGATCGTTTGAGGGCACGATGATGCAGGATGATCTGGAAACGCCCCGTTTCAAAATCGAGGGCAGGATTGTGCTCTTGCAGGGCTCATTTGATGCAACAGTCTTCGGGTTCGAGAAGCAGACCATCGCATTCTTGCCGGAGGGCTTCCGCCCATGGCGGACGGTTCGCTGCCTGGCGCCACTGCCGCTTCACAGCACTGTTCGAAGCGTTCTCGGAACGTTCTAACTTCTAAGCAACTTCTAGAAGCGTCTCGGATGTAGCCCCTTAGGCTGAAGAGGCGGCCCAACCAAAACGGAGAGCAAGACATCGAAACCGAGCTCCTGGCAGATGAATCTCTGGCAGTGACGATCCACACAAACGGACACATTGCCGTCGAAGGAGGCAACATTCATTCCCTGGACAAAAAAGGCCGCATGCGGGTAGTGCCGCAGAAAAAGCGTGGCTGGCTGTACTTGGATGGTGTTCGTTTCATCCTCGCCAAAGGTGATCCGATCGAGGTTTCTGCTGCCCTGGCAGAAGCGAAAGAGAGGAAAGTTTCTACCCTCTTCGCAGATGATGAGGAAGATGCAGTGTCCTACAGGCAAGGCAGTATCGTGTGTCTTGAAGGGATCTTGCACTGGCCCACCGCAAAAGGCACACCACATGCACGCAGAGCTCTTGGCTTTCTTCCCAAAGGTCACTGGCCAAAGCAGCGAGAAGTCTTCTTCACGCGCGGCCATACCTTCGAGGAGGAAGAGCGATGCAGGGTCGACATTGACCGCTACGGCCGAGTGTTCTGCCCAGAAGGTGGGGCCGAACATGGCAGAGTGAATCTGAGCGGAATTATCTTCAAGGCTGCAGACACTATGCCGGCAACATGCCCGCAGTCCCAAGATTGGGATGAGCTGTCAATCCAATATGGCACTGTCAAACAAGATGCTGACCACGGCTACAAGTTGCTGGAATCTTTCATCCAGACATGCACAAAGAAGGAATGGGCCTACATCGAGCACGCGATCTCACAGCAGGTCACTGGACGCAAGCTTCAAACTCCATGGGGCCAGGGGATTCAGCCAAGGGGCGTTCAGAGGATTAACGAGCATAATCTCGATGAGGACATGAAGTTTCTCTGGGATAAGAAGATCCGCAAGGTCGTGCAAGAGAAGCTGGGCATCAAGAACCCGCACACGCTGTTCCAGCTCTCCCTGCCAAAGCTGCAGTGGGTTTGTGATCTTTTGCGAGAGGACAAAGTGGGTTTGAAGGACAGGGAGTTGGCCAACCTCAAGAACATGCACGAACAGCTGTCAGAAGTCTGGGAAATCTCAAAGCACGGCGACCTCCACTTCAAGCTTCTGAGAGCCCCCCGGCTGTCAAGTGTGTGTGTTGTTGCTCTGATAGAGCAGCTTCCTTCAATATGATGGCTACAAGGCCAGGAATTGCGGACACAATGCAGCCGATGCTAAGTTAGGCACCGTGTTACGTGCAAGGAGGCCAGGACCACGCGCCCGAATACATGACAACGACACCCGGGCAAGCCACGAGTTTCCCAGATACTGGTGGAGTAGGCACGAGGGAAAGATGTGTCGCTCGTAGGATGTCGTGATTAGCACATAACTCTTGCGAATGCTTGCGTGCCGAGCCGCTTCCTCGTGAGAGCACAAAGAGACCCCTCTTCGAGAACCTTCACGACCAAATCGAGCTCTGTAGCTGGGGATCGTTCTGAAGCTCCTACCCACCTTCTAGCTCAAGCGAAGTGAGTGTGCTCCCTGTCCTATCAGTTTGGCCAATATCGGGGATGTAGGAAACGTCCGGTGCCCGAAGAGAAGGCTACACCACACCACACGGCTCCCACTTACAGTAACTTGTCTTGTTCCTCTGGAGGTGAGGTTTAGGTTTTGTTAGTCCTGCCATGTCAACACAAGCCGTACTGCAATGTCTCATCTACCTCCCGAGGACACCGCGGTGGAGATTGTCGATCAAATGGTCGCGAGGTGGGATTTTGATGCGCAGATTGGCGGGCTCCTGACCAACGACTTCCGGGCACCTGATTCGATCCTCCGGGACTAGGTAGATACGCTTTGCATTCTTGGACTTACGGTGTGGCGAGTGTAGAAGTTAGTTTGGGTGGACAGGTATGGTATGGTGGGTACTTAGATTCGGACCCTGACCAGAACAGAATTCGAACTTTCTTTGCCACTTCCTCGGGTACCTAAGGATCAGACATCTGTATCCAGAGCGCCTACGCGGGGAGGTTGCCAAGAAGGTTAGTGTGATGAGCAACGACGACAAGGTGAAGTACGAGGAGATTTATCAGTTCTTTAGGAACTTCGAGACGAACGGAAACACGATGACCCACTGCAGCCTCATGGGAACAACGGATACCTTCACTGCTACGGGCAAGTGGTTTTTCCCCGACACCCCAAGCGTGCAGAAGCAGCTCTTTGAAAGCATTGCATGGCTCTACGAGAGAAACATCTTCCATTACATTTCCGAACGCCAAACATCGGTGTTTCCATTCATTGAGGATTTCGACATTGAGGCCACCTGTGGCATGATCGCCGAAGTTGTGCGTAGCTTTCTTCACTCAGTTCCAGTTGCTTCCTGATTAAAGCCAAGATGGCACTTCCAAAAGCAAGCTTGTACAACTTAAGGAACTTGAAGAGCTAAAGCGCAGCAACATGGTTTTGAATACTTCAAGCCGAAAGTGCTAGGCATCGGACGGCTACTGCGAGAGAGACCCTAAAACTGGTCATTCACCTCCTCCTGACGGCGACATCATTTACCGACCAGGGAACTTCAGCTGCAAAAAGCTCCGGAAGGCTTCGCAGTCAGACTGAAGTCTCAAGCCCGAGGCAGAACAATGGAGACCCCGGGGAGCTCATACGCTGGCGTGCCATGGCCATCCATCACTTGCTCCTTTGCTCCAAACCTTTGGGCTGGACCAGAAGTCTATCGGACTCGATGCGTTAATGAACTCCTACTACTACTACTACTACTACTACTACTACTACTACTACTACTCCTACTACTATTCCTACTGCTACTCCAACTGCTACTCCTACTGCTACTGCTACTGCTGCTGCTGCCGCTGCTGCTGCAGCCTTTTGCCTGCTGCTTACTACCACTTTGCTGCTCCTGGTCCTGCTCCGGCTCCTGCTCGGGCTGCTGCGTTACTGGTACGGCTGGGCTGATCATGGCACTGGTAGTGGGGCTGGTAGTAGTGCTGCTGCTATTTCTACTACTACTGCTTCTTCTGCTGCTACTACTACTACTACTGCCACCACGACCACTGCCACTGCCATTACCACTACCGCCACGACGGCTGACTACTACCGCCACCTGCTGACCACCAGACACTTCAGCAGCCCATGTACACGAGCCAAATGAAAATTATGTGTCAGTCATACTTCCTATAGCAATCACTCTGGTTAAGACTACTTCGAGAGTCGAGACTAGAGACAATCTGCATCACACTAAAAGATTTCCTCATTGCCACTCATCGCCACTGGCATTGCTATTGGTATGTTCATCAGCATGATTGCAATCATCCTTGCCACCTTTATCGTCTTTGGTCTAGGTGCTGGTGCTGGTCCCGGTGGTGGTCCTGGTCTTGGTCGTCGTCACGCTGGTTGTGGTCGTAGTCGTCGTCGGCGTGAGAATCATGTTGTTTTGATAGGGTTGCCGCACTCACAGTGGAATGGCAAAAGTTTCAGATTAATTGCAAGCAGTCGGGTTCAGTGTAGCTCCATGAAAGAGCGCTGCCTTCGGTGCTTCTGCCTGTCAGATGGACGTATTTGGCCGTCGATTGCTTTACACGTTGGCCGAGACAGTTTGTGTGCCAGAAGGTTCCATGATCCCCAAGCCGCTTGGACCCTACCCTACCCTGTATATTCACACTCCTGTTGTTGAGCTGTTGCGTCCAGTTTCTTGTCGAGGTTCCCGCAAATGGCACAGTTGCGATGCTTAGTCTACTCTGCATCAGGCAGGGCTTCTTTCAGTGTTGAAAGGGAGTACGGCTCTACGGGAATTGGAAGTGAATATTTCGGGAAGTGGAGTTTGGAAGCATCAGTTCAGGCTACAACAAGGGCAAGGACCGGCTGAAAGCGTCTTTCCATTTGGTCTGGCCCGACCTGATCGTCGAGCCTGCCACGGCTGCGCATTTGCGTGAAGTGACTTTGGAGCTCTTTCACGAAGAGTCGCGCAAGGAAGGATCATTTCTGCAAAAGCTGCAGAACAAGCTGCTGGGGTTCTACCACTCAAACGATTGGTTCAATGTCTTTGACAAGACGACAATCAGCGCCACAAATGGTCTGCGACTGCCATATAACGACAAAGTATCGTCGATTTACCGAGTCTTGGCATTCACTTGATAAATCCATCATGCGCAGATTCCCAAATTCTGACTGGACGTCGTGGCGGGATGTGCTGATGTCCGAGATGGAACATAGCAACACCCAGGTTTGAGTAGCAGAAGATGCAGGCAGAAGCACCTCAAAGTTGACGGCTCAACTGTCTGAGTATTGCGATGCACCCCTAAGGAAACCCGGAGGACAAGATCAAGGTTGAGAATGGGGAAATGGCGAAGGGCAAGGCGCCCAAGAAGCGTGTCCAAGAAGGCCGCTATTCCAAGGCGGAAAAGGGTTGTTTCAAAAGCTTTTGAAGCACAAAATAGGGCTTTTTAAAACCCCTGAACCTTATGTTTTTTAAAACCCTATTCCAAGGCGGTCGGAGAGCTGGTGTTCACCTTCGAAGCGGATGTGGCCACCGGCTGTCAGGCTCGAAGTTGCAGAGAAGTGAGGCCCCATTAATAAATGTCCACTTGAACTCGAGTCTAAACTGGCACTCTGAAGGAAGTTTGAGCCCACAGAACTTCCAAGACACGGCTCAGGATGACAAGATCGTCTCCGCGAAGTGGCAGAACACTGACAACAGAAGTATTGCTCAGTGGATTCAGATGGGATCCTGCCGCTTGGACATGTCCGACACGGAGAGGACTGGCTTTTTGGGGAAAGCGCCCGAACGTCTGGGCAGCCGGTGTCCGGGTCTTTTGGTCGTGGTGTCCCGGCGTCGGGTTCCGTTCCGGTCGCGTGTCTTGTCGTGGGTCTTACGATGTGGTCGGTGTCCTGATCGTGTGGCGGTCGTGGTCTGGTTCGTATCCCGGTGGGTGCATCGCTCGCATTCGGTCAGTGTGTCGTTCTTGTCTCGTTCGGTGCCCCGGGCGTGTGGCATCTCCCGGTCGTGTCGTGGTCGGCATCTTGGTCGTATCGGGTCAGGTGGTCAGGGTCGAATCCCTGTCGGTGCATCGCGTGCCGTTCGTGTTTCGCGGTCGTGTCCCGCTATTGTGAAGTTCGTGCGCCTGTCATTCGCTCACTCAAGGCTTGGGTCGGTGTCCCGGTGGTGTCTCGGTCATGTGACATGTCCCGGTCGCATCGTGGCTGGTGTCTTGGTCGTCGTATCCGGTCCGTGCATCGCTAACAGTTCAGCAGTCACGTCTTGGTCGGTGTCCCGGTCGTGATCCGGTCTGGTGAAGCTCGGTGTGCTGGTCGCTCTCCCAGTCGGTGTTTGGGTTGGTGTCCCTGTCGGTGTCCTGATCGTTTATCCCGGTCGTTTCCGGTCGGTGTTTGGATCCGTGTCCCTGTCGGGGAAGCTGGGAGTAGGGTTCAGTTTGATATAGTGCTAGGTTGTTTCCAACACCTCGCCAAAAAATGGCGTTAGCGTCACAGTGCAGTGCGCATTTTGCCATAAGCTGCAGCAGCCGCAGGAACAGCATGATCCAAACATCCGTTTAGATGTCCAAAGACATGTGGTTTTAGTCTGGGAGGATTACGCTATACAAGCTATTCGACCTCTTGGTCGTGTCCTGCCGTTGTGAAGCTCGGTGTGCCTGTCGCTCGCTCAGTCGGTGTTTGGGTTGGCTTCCTGGTCGTGTCTTGGTCGTATCCGGCCTGTGCATCGCTCACATGTCGGCAAGTCGTGTCTTGGTCCGTGTCCCGACCTTGTCCCGTCTTGCGAAGAAGCTCGGTTGTCTTGGTCCGTGTCACGGTCGTGTCCGGTTCTTGTAAAGCTCGGTGTGGTCGTTCTCCCAGTCGTCGGTGTCCTGGGCCCCAGCGTTAAGAAGTACGATTTGTTGCCGTTGTTTGTGGTTTCGGAGTCATGCCCCAGTGCTAAGAAGTACGATTCGTTGCCGTTGTTTGTAAGAAGTACGATTGTTGCCGTTGTTTGTGGTTTCGAAGTGGTGCCCCAGTGCTAAGAAGTACGGTTTGTTGCCGTTGGTTGTGGGTTTGGAGCGTGGCCCCAGTGCTAAGAAGTACGGTACCCCAGTGCTATGAAGAACGATTGTTGCCGCTGTTTGTGGTTTCGAAGTGGTGCCCCAGAGCTAACAAGCACTACTTGTTGCCGTTGTTTGTGGTTTCGAAGGGGTGCCCCAGTGCTAAGAAGTACGATTTGTTGCCGTTGTTTGCGGTTTCGAAGGGGTGCCCCAGTTCTAAGAAGTACGATGTGTTGCCGTGGTTTGCGGGCTCGAAGTGGTGCCCCAGTGCTAAGAAATACGAATTGTTGCCGTTGTTTGTGCAACGACTTCTGATTGCCATCGGGGTCCGCAGCTAAGTTAACTTTTCCTAAACTATGGTGAGGGGCACCAAGGGAGTGAACTTGGTTATAACTTCAACAGTTCTTCGAGTCCGAGACAGCTCTTTTGATCCATCCTGATGCATGTGATGAAATCCTTTTGAATACTTCTAAGCCCTTGCTTGGAAGAGCCCGACTCGAAATTAGTCGAAAAGTTGTTCCTTAGGATCACCGCCATCAGCCCTCACATCCAGAACGAACAGGATGCAACCAACCACTTCTAGGAGGACTACTCCCTGATTGCGAGGATTCAGCCGACGCAGGTCTGTCCCACCAGAGAGGGCAAGCGACTTCTTCGAAAACTGAAGAGGAGTCGTGAGGGCGACTCTTTTGAATTAAAGCTTTCCAGTGCCTTTGATATTTAGGAAGCATCTGAGGTGAACGTGGGGCCTGAACAGTACAGCTACCATAAGTTTTACCACCCCATTCTGCTCTAAAGGTATGATATACCCACATGCCCCAACAGCCGTGCTTTACATCTAAGACTCTTCACCAGCTAGAGCTACCTGGGTTTGGAAAGGAGCAGAAGTTGACGAGACCTGGATTGGAGCATTATGTGATAGCACAGTAGAGGCCCCAGAATGACGCAACCTAAACCTCAGCCACTGTGTCCGTGAGAAGACATCTCGTCGTTGCGATTCTGAGGTGATGGACCCGATCTCGATCTGGAGCTTAGTTCGGACGAGGAAGGGTATGCTTTGAAGACACCACATCCAAACGTGCCTCGACCTGTCTTGCAAACAGTTTTCGGTGATGTGATAGGCCAGGCACGGCGAAGACAATTCATCGAGTCACAGAGTTTCGACCAGGTGCGGCGGTGCGAGCTGTCGACTCTCGAGTTCGTAAAGCTGTTTGAGGAGCAGCTGGGGGGCGAGTTGGACGATTTGGACTTGGATCAAGAGGATGGCAACAAGGAGCTTGCGAAGATGCTCCGAGGATCCTGGGTCAGTGTTACCCCGAACCAAGCAGTGTGGAGAGGGCCCGCCAGTGAGCAAAGCAAGGCCAAGTGTCTTGGCTGGATGCCGAGCTGGAGCGTTAATCGCGGAAAGCACGTTTCAGCGCCTTCGATGAGCAGACCGCTTGAACTGGTATACGTTCGAAGGTTTAACAACAAAGATGTGGGAAAGATTTTCGTGGATGGCCCGACAAGGAGGAAGCAGTTCATCCTAGACATTTTAAGAGGCTGTGGACCGGCTGTTATGAGGGATGATGTTGCGGTGGTCCAGCGCTACGACCACACAAAGTCCAGGTGGCGCTGAGCCAAGCCACAGCGTGCCCCCCTGCTTGAGACAAGAATGGGCCATAAGTTCTAGGCACCCACTGCTGAAGCAACCGATGATAGGACAAACCAGCTGTAGCTAGAATCACGTGGCGAACAGGGAACACTGCTACTGCTACTGCCGCTGCTTCTACTCCTACTCCTACTCGTACTCCTTCTACTCCTACTCTTACATCTACCCCTACTCCTCCTCCCACCCCTAGCCCTACTGCTACTGCTACGCCTACCCCGACTCCGACTTCTACTCCTACTGCTGCTGCTTCTACAACTCCTATTCCTCCACCTACGACAACAACAACTACAACTACAACTACAACAACAACAACTACTACTACTACTACTGCGACTACTGCGACTACTGCGACTACGACGACTAGTACTACTACTACTACTACTACTACTACTACTACTACTACTACTACTACTACTACTACTACCACTACCACTACTACTACTGCTATAGGGGGGATGCATACGACCGCCACCACAAAGACGACTGCTACTGTTACGGACTCCGTTACTGCTACTGCGACGGGCATGCGGACTACGACATCGTCGTAACGACAAGTCGTGGTTGTCGATGCTCGTCGTAGGCGGCACCTTTAGAGCAAGCATTGCCGATAGTAGCCGACAGTACGAACTATCACAGGGATAGTACGATTTAATCCGGAAATCTCAACCTTAAGCCCTAAACCAGCATCAAGGTTGGACGTCACGCCTCTGTCGAAGCGTGGGCTCGCAATGGGCTTGAAAAAGGATGAAGACGCACAAAGGAAGATTGTGGACTCTGCACAGGTGGTTCTCGTCAATGCGTACAGTTGCGTTTGCTCTCCGGCGCTCCGGAAGTCCTCATGCCTGGCGCCTGCCCGGAGGGAGGTGTGACCTCCGATCCTGTTACATCCAGGATGCGGGTAGGCTTCATCCAGTGATGCACCAGATGGAGGATGCAGAGCTGTGCGCCCTGCAAAAGATCACCAGCTCCATCTGCGCATCCTGTGCAGCAGGATGTTGAACCTCAAGCCCACAACCGAGAATCCATTGATGCTGCTCGTATTCGTAAAAGTTGTCTAGACTCGACCCTAACCGGCCCTTACCTTTAAACTCTGCTTGCAATGCTAGACCGACAAGCAGCACACCGCAAACCTGCAATGACCATGACAATGAACATGCGATGATCTTGAACACGCCATCCTTGTAAACCCCAAATCGAAGCTCGAGACTTTGCCTGAAGCTTTGCCTGCCTTGAGCGAGTGTGAGTGTCAGAATCGAAGTCCTGTACTGTTCTTGCCGAGCGACACGCATCAATGTTGGCCGGCCCTGCTTCTGCAGGAACCGGCAGATTCGAGCAGCTCCCAGCTGAAAGATCAGCTGAAGGCCTCACAAGTCTCTTCATGATTGCATATTGTATTGTGTTATAACGCGTTATTGTGTTATGTTATGTTTCTATCAGACAAAAATGTTCTATTCTGGTGCCTTGCCGTCATGCTGGGTACAACATGCTGGGCAGGAGCACTAATATTGGCACCAGTCCCAACATCGAAATGTTTGCATGTTGCTGCGAGCGTATGGATCACTAGTGGTGCTTTGCATGCCGTTTGATCCTCGCGGGTCTTTCGGATATTCAGTGCCGACTGCCCCAATCTCGTGAGGAGCTGAAGCGCAATGCCGAAGCACAGCAGCAAGAGATGGACAAACAAAAGGAGCAGTCCTCCAGGCCATGCCGTCACGCCGTATGTGGGCAATTGGCGATTGGCATCGTGTGTTGTTCCCAGGCTTGCCAAAGATCTGCAAGCCCAGCTGGCTGCAGTTTCAGAGGCCAAAGAAAAATCGAAGGCTGACGACGAGCTCTCCAGGCCCACCGGGGGGCCAGAGCGTGCGAGGGGAAGGGGGCGGGAGGGGCAGCTGAAAGTTCGGGTGTATCTTACTAAGGGTTCTGCGTATTAAAGTTCCTATGTTGCAGATGTCTTTTCTGCTTTTGCGGGTTGTTTTGGTTTTCTCTCACTTGGCTCTACCTTCGTCATGCGAATCCAAAGCCTAGTTCCTTTTTGATGACATCCCCAAACCCCTCGGCGACTGTTACTCCAGCTCAAGGCTTCACTTTCACGTGGATGCCCCAAGCCTGGCTCAGAGACTTAAAAGTATATCAACTAAGGAAGAGGAATTTTGACTAACATTGATGATCCTGTTATCCCGAATGAGTCTTCAGTAATTGAGCGACCTTGAGGGGTGCTTGAGTTCTCTGGGTAGTGCAGCTCAGAGACCACATACTGCAGGTCCAAAGACCTCCCAGAAGCGGAGAAGGTGAAGCCGCGGCTCGAGTTGGGTTAAATTTCTGTGTGCCTGGCTTTTGGGGGGGTGGAATTTGGAGTTTGGCTGTGGCGGTGGGGATTGTGGGTTTGCCTCACTGGAAGGGTTTATATTATGGTCGAGTTTTAGTATGTTCGGCTGGCCGGAGCAAACCGCAGCCCCAGAACCGACCATTGCTGCTCACTCCATCCCATGATTTTGGCGTCTCGCTCGGCGTGCTGTGTCCAACCTGGTACTAGATCTTCGGTTTCATACACCAGGTTTGGGATGGGGGATGGTAAGGCTGTTGCCAGAAGAGATAGGCGCTTATGCACTGGCGATTCCGGGAAGAGTTTAGCAAGTCTTGGTCTGGAACGGAAGGTTACGGATTTCCACTTGCGGACAGTGTTCGATCTTAAGGGGGTTCTGGGTCCCTTGTCGCAGACGAAGGTCAGAAGTATTGGCTCCCAAAGACCGACAAGGGCTTAAGTGATGTTGCAACTGAATGAGGAATAGAAGACGAGAGTTGAGGTCCCGAAGGCACACAGCTGCATTCGATTCTGCAGGCGTCTGGGGAGTCCAGCGCGGAGCTAAAAAAGCAGCTGGAGGCCAGATTGCCTCTGGCGGCCTTGACTGTTGGCTCCGTGATGCTTAGGGGCAGCTTTTTACCTTGACTTGGGGGACTTAACGGCTGATGGCACTCAATCAGGAGCTGAAGCAGACTGCCGAAGCACAACGGCAAGAGATCGAAAAGCAGAAGCAGGAATCCTCCAGGCCTTATGAGCGCACTGGCAGAGTGGGTTGTCGGTGCCTGTTGCCATCGGACGCCCGTCAGGTGTATACAAGATCTACAAGCACAGCTGGCTTCGCTTGCAGAGACTGCCAAAGAGAAGCAGAAGGCTGATGAGGAAACCTCCAGGCAGACTGCTGCACTTGCCGGGTTGTCTGCGTTCCTGAATTAGCCTCGGGTATCTAACCGTCATGTCCCTCCTTGACCCTGCTGATGTTGAAGACATCAATCACATGCTTGCCCACTACCATCATGGCTTGGGAGTTTTCGGGCTCAGGCTGTCACCTAAGGCCAGCAGCCCCGAGCATCAACTCAGCCCCTAACGGCGTAACGGCCTACTAGCGGCGTGCAGCCCCCTCTGGAAGGTTTGAGGGCATTGCTCGATTCAGAGATGTAAGCCCTCAAGGAAACCGCCAATAGTCTCGAGTCTGTGCTGCAAAACGAGTACCCTGCAGGACCAAAGACGTCGCAGAAGCGGAGAAGGTGAAGCTGCGCTTCGAGTTGATTTTGATTTCGGGGTGTATAGGTATTCCCTCTCCCGCTGCGCTGGTTGTCGTGCTGTCTTGATGACTCGACGTAGGCCGGTTGTTCTTCACATCGCGGCAAGCTTTGTCCATGCTGTTTTACAGTTTTACAGCTAAGTTTCCGATTGACAGGTTTGGGATGCACAGCGGATTTCCGAGAGTGTTCAGCACTTGAACCGAATCTGAAGGTTGGCGAGCTAACGAGTCTGGTCATACACGGCGCACACAAAACCCTTCGGCAGTCTTGCTGTGCCTTTGAAGTTTAGGGGCTTTTGAGTCGCTGCTGCAGAGGAAGGCCAGAAGCATAGCCGTCAAAAGACTGGGCTTCAGTCGTGTTCCATGGTGATGTCGGGGATCAGAAGTGCAAAGTTGAGGCCCAAATGGCGCCAACAGATTACAAATAGATGCAGCAATGACAGCTTGAACCTCCAAAACTGCGACATCGCGCCATGAAGCCACTTGGGTAGTTGTCAAAATTATGGTCCCCTTTTTGGGTACCCTAAATATTAGGTGCCGTATTATAATAGGAACCCCACAATGGACCCTAATTTTGACAACCACCCACTTGTTGTTTTGAAGAACCTCCGATCACACCTGGATTCGATTCTGCAGGAATCCGGGGAGTCCAGCGCAGAGCTCAAAAAGCAGCTGGAGGCCAGCAGTGTGATTGCGTCTGGCGGCCTTGACTGTTGGCTCCGTGATGCTTAGGGGCAGCTTTTTACCTTGACTTGGGGGACTTACCGGCTGATGGCACTCAATCAGGAGCTGAAGCAGACTGCCGAAGCACAACGGCAAGAGAGCGAAAAGCAGAAGCAGGAATCCTCCAGGCCTTATGAGCGCACTGGCAGAGTGGGTTGTCGGTGCCTGTTGCCATCGGACGCCCGTCAGGTGTATACAAGATCTACAAGCACAGCTGGCTTCGCTTGCAGAGACTGCCAAAGAGAAGCAGAAGGCTGATGAGGAAACCTCCAGGCAGACTGCTGCACTTGCCGGGTTGTCTGCGTTCCTGAATTAGCCTCGGGTATCTAACCGTCATGTCCCTCCTTGACCCTGCTGATGTTGAAGACATCAATCACATGCTTGCCCACTACCATCATGGCTTGGGAGTTTTCGGGCTCGGGCTGTCACCTAAGGCCAGCAGCCCCGAGCATCAACTCAGCCCCTAACGGCGTAACGGCCTACTAGCGGCGTGCAGCCCCCTCTGGAAGGTTTGAGGGCATTGCTCGATTCAGAGATGTAAGCCCTCAAGGAAACCGCCAATAGTCTCGAGTCTGTGCTGCAAAACGAGTACCCTGCAGGACCAAAGACGTCGCAGAAGCGGAGAAGGTGAAGCTGCGCTTCGAGTTGATTTTGATTTCGGGGTGTATAGGTATTCCCTCTCCCGCTGCGCTGGTTGTCGTGCTGTCTTGATGACTCGACGTAGGCCGGTTGTTCTTCACATCGCGGCAAGCTTTGTCCATGCTGTTTTACAGTTTTACAGCTAAGTTTCCGATTGACAGGTTTGGGATGCACAGCGGATTTCCGAGAGTGTTCAGCACTTGAACCGAATCTGAAGGTTGGCGAGCTAACGAGTCTGGTCATACACGGCGCACACAAAACCCTTCGGCAGTCTTGCTGTGCCTTTGAAGTTTAGGGGCTTTTGAGTCGCTGCTGCAGAGGAAGGCCAGAAGCATAGCCGTCAAAAGACTGGGCTTCAGTCGTGTTCCATGGTGATGTCGGGGATCAGAAGTGCAAAGTTGAGGCCCAAATGGCGCCAACAGATTACAAATAGATGCAGCAATGACAACTTGAACCTCCAGAACTGCGGCATCGCGACATGAAGCCACTTGTTGTTTTGAAGAGCCTCCGATCACACCTGGATTCGATTCTGCAGGAATCCGGGGAGTCCAGCGCAGAGCTCAAAAAGCAGCTGGAGGCCAGCAGTGTGTTTGCGTCTGGCGGCCTTGACTTTTGGCTCCGTGATGTCTCGGGGCAGCTTTTCACCTTGACTTGGGGGACTTAACGGCGGGATAGCACTCCTTCAGGAGCTGAAGCAGACTGCCGAAGCACAACGGCAAGAGAGCGAAAAGCAGAAGCAGGAATCCTCCAGGCCGTATGAGCGCACTGGCAGAGTGGGTTGTCGGTGCCTGTTGCCATCGGCGCCCGTCAGGTGTATACAAGATCTACAAGCGCAGCTGGCTTCGCTTGCAGAGACTGCCATTGAGAAGCAGAAGGCTGATGAGGAAACCTCCAGGCACACTTCTGCACTTGCGGGTTGTTCGTGTTTCTGACTTAGCCTCGGGTATCTAACCGTCATGTCCCTCCTGCTGGCGCTGAAGACACCCTTCACATGCTGCTTGCCCACTACCAGCATGGCTTGGGAGTTTTCGGGCTCAGGCTGTCACCTAAGGCCAGCAGCCCCGAGCATCAACTCAGCCCCTAACGGCGTAACGGCCTACTAGCGGCGTGCAGCCCCCTCTGGAAGGTTTGAGGGCATTGCTCGATTCAGAGATGCAAGCCCTCAAGGAAACTGCTAATAGTCTCGAGCCTGTGCTGCAGAACGAGTACCCTGCAGGACCAGGGACGTCGCAGAAGCGGAGAAGGTGAAGCTGCGCTTCGAGTTGATTTTGATTTCGGGGTGTAGGTAGTCCCTCTCCCGCGGCGCTGGATTTCGTGCTGTTTTGATGTGTCCCGTGTGTCCCTTGCTATCACTCCACACTCGACGCAGGCCGGTTGTCCTTCACATCGCGGCAAGCTTTGTCCATACTGTTTTGCAGCTAAGTTTCCGATTGACAGGTTTGGGATGCACAGCGGATTTCCGAGAGTGTTCAGCACTTGAACCGAATCTGAAGGTTGGCGAGCCAACGAGTCTGGTCATACACGGCGCACACAAAACCCTTCGGCAGTCTTGCTGTGCCTTTGAAGTTTAGGGGCTTTTGAGTCGCTGCCGCAGCTGAAGGCCAGAAGAATTGCCGTCAAAAGACCGGAATGGGCTTCAGTCGTGTTCCGTAATGATGTCGGGGATCAGAAGTGCAAAGTTGAGGCCCAAATGGCGCCAACAGATTACAAATAGATGCAGCAATGACAACTTGAACCTCCAGAACTGCGGCATCGCGACATGAAGCCACTTGTTGTTTTGAAGAACCTCCGATCACACCTGGATTCGATTCTGCAGGAATCCGGGGAGTCCAGCGCAGAGCTCAAAAAGCAGCTGGAGGCCAGCAGTGTGATTGCGTCTGGCGGCCTTGACTGTTGGCTCCGTGATGCTTAGGGGCAGCTTTTTACCTTCACTTGGGGGACTTAACGGCTGATGGCACTCAATCAGGAGCTGAAGCAGACTGCCGAAGCACAACGGCAAGAGATCGAAAAGCAGAAGCAGGAATCCTCCAGGCCATATGTGCGCACTGGCAGAGCGGGTCGCCAGTTTTGGATGTATTGATCTACTCTTTGTGGTGTGTTGTGGCTGTTGCCGATGATGCAGTGCATCCAGTTGGTAAACCTAGGCAGAACTTCACTCCAATGACACGTCTTTAACCCTCATGTTGTGAATGTGGGGGGGGCCTTGAGGTGTAGGATTTAGCGTGAATGGTGTTCGCTTCAACATCGACCGTCGACCCCTAACCGAAGATCAAGCCTAAACCTCTATGCCTAGGCCGGTACACCTTGGGCCCTCAGGCCCCCACCGTTTCAAAGAAAGAAAGGGGAAATGATCACAACCCTCTCTCCGAGAGCTCCAGGGCGAAAGACCTCGCAGAAGCCGAGAAGGTCGAAGCACGGGCTCGAGTTTGCTTCGGTTCTCGGGCTCCGGACACTGTTATCGCATGTGCCTTCCAGTCCGGGATTCCGGCTTCATTGCAGGAGGGTCAGAGTCTGGGAGGTTTTTGGAGAAGGTGTGGAGGGGGTTAATTACAGGTCTTCACCAGTTTGGCGGTTTTGGCACACAGCCAGGTCGCAAAAGAGAGCGCTATCGAAAAAATGAAGAAGGACTCGGTCACCTTCTTCAGAGAGATATCACCTTTCAAGTACCTGTTGGCGAAGGAGTTTGCAACATGATTTCTAGACCTGCATGTGGAACACTCCCAATTTAATCAGCAACTACTACACAGGGCAGACGGTGCATGTGTGCATTTCATGTTTTTTTCCGCTTCTTGATCCTGCAATACTGTAGCGGAGCAGATGCGAACAACGGTCTGAAAAAAAAAGCTACAGGTGGCAAACTCGGGTACTGCACGTGGGTTCCTGCGGTATGAAATGGCGCTCATGGGCGGTCCAGCTTGCTCCACCATCGGACAGTACAGCATTGTCACTGCCGAAGAGCATAGCCTCACGAACATGCTCCCAGCTTTGCATTCCATGCAGTCTTCGCATATTTCGGGCCTCGCAGGAAGCTGCAGACCTCGAGAAATCTCGGAGCGATGAGCGCGCAAAGGTCTTTCAGCTGAATGCCGGCCTGGTGGACAGAATCTGGGATGTTTTACGTTGTTCTCATCATGGAGCTTTTTCCTTTTCGCCGAGGTTCGGCCTTCTGTCCCCATCTTTCTCCAACTCCTGCTCCTGCACGGAATGCTACGAGCAACCACAACCTGAATCACAGAACGGCAGCAAGATGAGCAACAGCAATCAAAGTGCCAATGATGTTGACAATTTTGCACCACCTGTACGACATGCATACATCAACAACGACTGAGGCCGATTAAGGCGTCAAACCCTGCACCCCCTAATTAATGTTGGCAGCCAGGACCAGTTGAGAGGTGCAGCCATAAGAACAAATCCGGCCCGTAGCTTTCCACCGCAGTCGTTAACAAGGGGCCGCAGGGAATCGCCAAAGCAAGTTTATGAACACTGTTGAAAGGTTCTGTCCATCCACAGTACTGATACTGATACCACCAGAACAGCAGCAACAACGACTACTTTACTACCACTACCACTACTACCACAACGACCGCGACTATTACTACTTCTACTGCGTCCACTACTGCGTCTACTACTACTAAGTACTACGACGACGACTACTACTACTACTGCTACTGCTTTTGCTACTACTACTGCCGCTATCACTACCACCCCTCCTCGGTTTGAGGCTTTGGTGTTCTGAAGCCTGAAGTTCTAAAGGCCCGAAATCACTTCGAATGCGACGCAACACGAAAAGCACATCACAGAAATCCATGTGCCAGCGGACTGAAGCTACCACTACCAGGCTACCACTGTTACTACGAGGACCCGACAACAGCTGCTGCTGCTACTGCTGCTGGCGGTACTACGGTAAGACTGACCATTAGTCCTTCCCTTGCCACTAGATTAACCTTTGTGACGAACGAGAGCCAAGGAATGACAAAAGATCTGGAGGCCAGCTCAAGCACGGTGCTTCTGCTGTTAGGGTTGAAGGTGTAGAACGTAGTGTAGGGCTGTGGGGTTAAAACATTCGAATTTAAGGATTCAGGACCGCGAGGTGTTCGGCCCGAGGCGTTTCGGAATGCTTATGGTTGGTTTGGTATTAGGTTCTAGATGGTTGCGGGTTTTTGGGGCCCATGCTACATACGGTCATCCCTCACTTGCGAGGATATGCATATAGCGGTACGGCTCTTTAGTGCTGCAGCTCTCCATGTTCCTGAACAGTGACTGTCTAGTACCGCTTGCAAACGCTCTCATGGTTTCATCGTCACTGGCCCGTAATGACGTGGCTTCTGCACAGGATCTCGAATCAGACCAAGCATGTTCGTGGCAGAAGTATATCTAGTTGAGATGACATCTCCTGGAGGCAGCACGCACGGAGAAAGAAGCCGTGAACCAAGGTAAAGAGGCAGCGAGCAGGGTTTGAGGTTTGGGGATCTGGGGTTGTTCTGGGGATCTGGGGTTGTGAGGTGGTTCAGGCAGCGGTTCGCATGCAAGGTCCGTGATGCCAAATCGACACTCCCTTGCAGACGGACCCTCCGAAGACCTGAACCCTGAGCACCTGAGGGTAGGATGTCCGTAATGTCGACCCCTACGGGGGGCGACAGAAGGTGCACTCATGTGCACTCGACTCCACTCGATTTCAATTCCTCATCTTGTTTTCCTCTTGCTTCCTCTTCGCGCTGGGACCCCGGGCCTTTCAATATTTTGCAAGCCGCCCGTAACCCCTGGGAGAGGTGTGAATATGCCAGCCCAAACACATCTGATTTTCGATAGTGTGGCCACTGACATTATTGTCATTGGTACTTTTTCGCATCATTAACTATGACTGGTCTAAAGGGTCAGAACAAGCCTTCACGACTGGAGTTCGTGTCCAAATAACCGAACTCCAGCAGCCCTCGGCCCCTGACTTTCCTTCGGCAGATCGGATGCACGAGTTGAGAATCAATGTACTTTCCTCAAGCCTTCCGAAGCGGAATATGCTGTAGATCTCTCCGGCAACATTCGAGCTGGGGCAAGGCAGCCGAGCAAAGGCTAGCGGAACTAACTGACCGCTTTGCCTCGGAGCGTGCCAAGTTGGAGGACTGTCGATTGAGAGAACTTAGGGTCTAAGGCTTGAAGGTTCCCAAGGATATGAGCTCTGCCACACATATTCATGTTCGTACTGAGTTCAAAGGTGTTGCACTTCCGCGGTGGAAGTTGTTCAGGACTCAATGCGCGAGGAGAAGAAGAAGGCGGAGAGCGCGGCCGAGAACATGCAGGCTTGGTTGCTTGTGAGATTGGCGGCAACAACAGCCCAACCAGAGTCTCATGCAACCAGAACGGTTCAGTGTGGAGAAAAGCAGAACCCAAGCTGCAGCAAGGGCATCCGTAGTCGTTGCTGGCCGACATGCGTTTTCCTGGCCGGAGGCGCAGCTCAAAACTGCGGATGCGGCTGCTATAAAGTCGAAGCAGCTCACTTGCATTTGTCGTCAGATGTGCAAGGTTGAGACTCCAAAGTAGTTGTTGTCGGTTTCTCAAGGTCCGATCAGGCCGAATAGTTTGGTGGGGTGGTCTGCCGTGTCTCGGGCTGTGAGAGGTTTAGGAGGTTCTGGTACTGTTGATGGACAAAATCCTGCATTACCCATTATAAGGAATATACCATAGTTCCCATAGTTTAGAGTCCTTAGGGTCATGCAGGGCTTTTGTCCATCAGCAGTATGAAGTCCGAGTCTAAGCGTACTGCTTAAACAAGTACGCTTCCAAACGCCCAGACAGCTAAGGGAGGAGCTGGGGAAGGCGAAGTCACACTTGGAGGCGCCCATGCGTTGGGGGCCAGACCAAGGGCAAGCTGCCTGAGAGGCATTAGCATGCTACAACGAAACTGAATTAGTAAATATATCATCAGTCTACACATATATATATATAATGTTATATAATGGGTCTACACCAAATACTTCTCGTGCCACATTCCTTTGAGAAGCCCAAACCCTTATGGGCCCCAACAGACCAGAGGGACCTGAAGACATCGCAACAAGAATAGCTGTGCTTGCCTCTTGCATCGTTCCTAAGGCTAGCAAACATGTGGGTGGTTGTCAAAATTAGGGTCCGTTTTTGGGTACCCTAAATATTAAGTGCCGTATTATAATAAGGACCCAAAAAGGGGACCCCCAATTTTGACAACTACCCATGTATGTTCAGTTGCGTAGCTTTTGCAGCATGTCTTCCGTCCTCAACATTGCGCGCAGTCCCTTTCCTTCGGGCCAAATACTCGCCTCGAAGTAGATCTGGTCCAGGATCTCCAGGACAAGCTACAGATTCTCCAAGCGGAGAGGGACGAGTTGTCCAAGAAGCTGGAAGGTGCAATATCCAAATCAAGTCTGCCAGCAGGCGCCGCGGGATGAGGGGCAACCACGGCACGTGACACGAACAGCATGCCTAGTTTGTCGGTTCGTAGTTCGCCTCAGACATGAGTGTGGAAGACAGTTTGATACGTCAAAGCTCGAAGCTCCCAAACCCGAAAGCAGAGCCAGAATGGTAGCTGTGGAAGTGAGAGAGATCATCGCTCGTGATGATAAGTTGATGACGAAGAACATGTAAAGTCTACAAGCAGATCCTGATCATCGCACTGCTGAAGCCGAACTGCTACTGCAGGCTGCAAAGATGTCGCCGACCTGGTGCGCCAAAGGACGGCCTCGAGAGAGGAGGCGCAAAATCAAAAGGGCCAGGGCTTTGGGAGGGTGCTTGAAGCAGAAGATTTATGATTTGTGTTTCATTCTTGAAGCTCGGGAATCAAGTCCTACCTTATTTGGGGGTCCATATAATAAGGATCCTAGTATTTAGGGTACTATATTAGGGTCCCCTATTTTCGGAAACTCCCTAAGATTTCTAAACCCTAAACCCTTCATAGAACCCTTACAGATCCCTTAAAGGAACCCTTAAAGGGTCCCCTATTTTCGGAAACTCCCAAGTGTCAGAGCATCCAAAGCCAACCGAAGCCCGACCGCCAGGCCGCGGCCGAGCGATTGGCCCGAGAGCAGTACCAGCAGGCGAGCTCGTACTTCGCACTCAAATTGAAATATCTGTATAAATATAATATAATATAATATATTATATTATAATATATTATATTATAATATAATATAATATAATAAATATAATACAATATATAATATAGTATAATATAATATAATATAATACCTACCAAACCCTTGAATCCGTAGGCCTAAGTCCCAATGTAGCCCTTAAGCCGACGCTGAAGACCAGAGTCCCAAAGGAAGCACTTCCTGGCGTCCCAGGCCTTGGAGAAAGTCGAGAAGGCCATCCAGCATCGCTTACCCATCCTCGTGAGTCCAGGGCCCGGTCGGAGAATAAAAGGGTTTAGGGATGGTTGGGGTTCAGCTTAGGGTATAGGGCTTTAGGATTTAGTTTAGGGGGTCGGGTTCAGGATTTGGAGCTGTTTGGAATAAATTGAATAGGCTTCGCTCAGTGGTTCCACCAGGATTCTCGAAAAAGAGTTTCGGGGTTAAGAGGCTTTAGGGTGAAAAACTGTAGGGTTTGTATATTATGTTTGTATCAGAGATGGTCAATTTACACAGGGGTCTTACGAGTTAGGCTAGACTACGGTTTAGGGGTATAATATAAATCAGATTCGATGATCATCTTGAGAAGCCGTAAGGAAGAGTCATATTGCTCCCTCGGCCCCTTTTGCTGGTAGCATGAGAGAGGAGAGCTTTGGTGGATCCGGGTATCAGAGTTTACGGCTGTGGGGTTGGACGCTTCTGGTTTTTTGTTGTGCTGTAAGGCTTTAGGAACCTGAACCTCTCTAGCGAAAGGCTGCAAGCCAGAGAGTCCAGCACCGATTCATCAGGGAATACACCTCGGAAGTATAGAAAGCTCAACATTATGTATGACTAAAGGCAACTGTTCCATGCTTGCCTTTTTTGGGTGCTCTCTGGAATCTCCGGGCTGCCTGCTTTGCCCAAGGCCAAAAGCAGGAGATCGGTCGCTTCAAGAGCCGCGCGGCTCTGTTGACGAAGCAGAACGAGGATCTTCTGGCGAGAGTCTGCCGGCCGCAAAGCATGGAGCCAAAGTAGGCTGCTACGACAAAAAAGGGAGTTTGGGTGGCTCATCTTCAAGCTTTTGGAGTGTTGAACCCCTTTGGAGCCTGTCTGGGTCTTCGCCAAGCAAGCCTTCATCGCTGTAATTGGTTCTCTTTCTTGTAGTATAGGGGCTCTAGTAACTAGAATAGGGTTTGGGGCCCATTATGGTACGATTATATTAAGGAACCCCCCAACAGAGTCTAACCTGGCCAGAAGATGTCAACACTACGGGGCCCGTTAGTTCCCGCAGGGAGCAGCCCACAACGTGTTTCTGGCAATAAGGAATAACGACCACGTATAGAAAGATCTGCGGTATGGTTCTTGTGGTATATGGCTTCGGAGCAACATGGTTTTTTCTGAGAAACAGGGGCCCGACATAAAGGTACTCAAGCAGAACCTCCAAGTAAATACACTTAGTTTTAGTCTGTGTAGTCCAGATGAAGCACCGCCATCCCCTGTTTTCTGAAACGACAAAACCTCAAGATTCAAGGACTCAGGCTGGCCTTGGAAACCAGGGCGAACTCTCAAGTGAAATCACAAGCACGGTACCACGTCGAAGTTGCCCCCTGTAGGGTTTTGGGTTTTGGTGGCACCGCGGCAAAAGCGTGAACCTGCGGCGCTGTAAGACGACCCGGAGCCCCTCGAAGTTGCTCTCCAACTCACCAAACACGACGGTTCGTAGGCCCTCTATCTGCCTCAAACTGCAAGGGATTCCCAGTGCATCAGGTGAAAGAGCTGGAGGCCAAGAATAGCGACGCCGAGGCCTCGTGCTCGTGTTTCACGATTCGGGAGTGTTCAAGATTCGTAGGCTACGGTAGGTTCGAAGGTTTTTGGAGTTTGCCAGCATGTTTGAGGATCAAACTTCGGGCGTTGAGGATCGAGGCATTCAGCGTCTAGCGGGCGATTCTTGTCATGTTGTAAGCGATCTTGCGCATCCGTGCTGCGAGGGCGTAGGGGTGATGTGGAGCGGCGGCAGGGCTTGGTGTCTGGAAGCATCTTTTAGTGCCCCGCGGCCTTACAAGGCATATAACCAGGTTGCACAGCTAACAGGCTGCTTTGTAACTCAAGCGCTTGGCATGTGGTCCAGGACCTTCGGGGTTTCGTATCCTAGAGATATCGACTTATATAGCTTGATGCAGGCATGCTTGTGCTTTCAGAAGTACAGGGGATCTGGGCCTCCCCGTGGTCGACCAGGCCCGCGCAACGAAGGCTACGGAGTCGAAGAAGCTCGTGGAAGATTACGCGGCTGACCCAGGATGTTTTTTTCTCATAAAATTGTGGATGTGGACGAAGACGAAGCTACGGCATGAGTTGTGAGTTTTGACACACTTAGTTTTGCTATGTGTGTGTGTGTGTGTGCTTGGCAATGCTGCAACAGAAAACCATGATGCTTGTTCGCATCAGTTAGCCTTGGCCATTTGTGCCCAGGCCCGTGATGCCGCCCATCAGCTGGCAGTTCTTCTCCACGAGAACCGTAAGCTCGGCACTCACACTGCAGCTGTATGCATGCCTATGATGACTACTGCTGTTTCGGATGATGACGATGTGGTGATATGGCAAGAATCATAATGATCAACTATCGCTTGTGCCAGCAGCAGTTCAAATATTGTGGAGCATGTCGCACCTATGTGGCTGCATGTCGCAGGCGGCACGTGGACAATAATCTTCAATAATCCTTATTATGCAGATATGCATGTACGTCTGCATGCGCAGTTTCAGTGGTCGCATATATGCACCGGCTGTATTCGGACATGCAGTTGAATGCGTCCGTGCAGCCTCTGCCACACACAGACACATGTTCATGTAGCTGGACAGGCTAGGCATGTACGCACTTCTTCGTGCAGTTCTTGACACGGTCATGCACCTACTTCTCACGTACATTCTCCCATCATGCCATGTGGCAGTTCAGTTCATAGCATCAGTGTGGCCTGATCTGCGTACTCCGGGATCCCGAGGCTGACTGGTTCCCTTCCTGCATCCGAAGTGACGATGGAGGCCTTTTGGGTTATGATTTTCCGATGGTTTTCGTATGTTGCCGCCAGCCCTCCTAAATCGAGAGGAAGCTTCAACTTGGAGCCACTTGAAACGAGGATACCGCGAAATCAAAACCTAACGATGGAATCTAGAGTCTGTATGAAACTGAGGCACGGGAGGAGAACAGAAGAGCCTTCCGCACTGTGCAGGACAATCGTCGCCGCCAGTAGTAGTCTGTGTTGTTTCGGATCCATCACACGGGACCATTCTTGTTGACCTGCAAACAAGACTTTTCTAGGAGCTTGTGGACCAGAATCTCTCCATGAGAAACTCCATCAGTCAGCTCCTCCGTGAGCCGCGTCCTCAGCTGAATCGTCGAAGAGCAGAGCAGCGAGCTGAGAGGGCTTGTAGCGTTTTCAGCCAGCAGTGAAGGTCGCAGGAAGAAAGAAAGGAAATGCAGCTGGCCAACGACCGCGAGAAGCAGCTGGACACCGTCCGTTTTCCTGCCGTACGGGCTTGGATGCTAGCGTCTTTCGGTTCTCTGTTGTCGAGTCGGGGAGAAGGGTGTTAGGCTTGAGATGTAGCTTTGGGTACGCCCTGTTGATAGTAGCAGGTCACATGTCGCGGACCGCAGAACTTGAAGGTCATCCTTCGCCCATGTCTTGTAAGAAGCAGTGTTTCATAAAACAGGACCCTCGCAAAGCAACTTTTTCGCGAGGCTCCAATGCCTTGGTCAAGGAATCTGTGCATAGAGCCCTGATGGGGTGGAGGACAAAAAGCTGAAAGATCAAGAAGAGAAATATACCGGCTTGTTCGAGGACTGCCGACGTGGCTCGAGTGTGTTGCTTCATGCGTGAAATTGCAGGACCACGCAACTTGAGGGTGAAGTAAGTGCTCGTTTCAAGACTCATGGCCGCAATCTCGATCCTTCGAACCCCTGAACTCTAGGACCGGCTGAGGCATGAACGCAGAAGGCCGATCACAGCCAAACAGTGCTAGCAATAAACCATCGTAGCTGCAATCATAATGTGGATAGCTAACCATCGCAATCCTGCAGACAAGCCTGCACGGATGCAAACATCAGGCCAACAGCAAAGCGTTCGAACCTATATTTGCATACAATCATACCAGGGGTTTGGGAACCCTAAACCTGTCTGGAATCACAACCTTAGATGCTCCCAAGCTTCACCAGAATCAGAAGGCACTGAGCCAGGAACATCCTTCTGCCCCCGTAAAGCTCCTCAGATGTCCAGGGTTACTCTCCGGCCCCCTAGATCCTCACAAAGGGGAGCAGGTTGGAAATTGTGGTTCCTTGTTGGGTCCTCTTATCAAAAGCCTCGTGCCTTGCAAGCAATGAAGCAGGAGCAAAAAGCTCAGATTCGCAAGATTGAACAAGAAAGAGATCATGCGCAAAGCGAGGCCAAGGAGCGAGGACGTTCGACTTTCTTCAGGGCTGACAATGGTCATTCCGATTACAGTCATTCTTATCATGATTTGTTCTGACTGGCTTCTATCTCTCACACTAGTGCTGGAAGGTTTGCGCCTCTTCGGATTTTGTGGTCCAGGAGGTGTTTCTGAAGCGTAGGCTCACTTAGGCACCCGCAGCTTTGCGATCGATACGTTTCTTCCTTCAGTTGGCCAAGATGATAGGAATGCAGCCTTTGTACAATAGAACTTCTTGTCACTATAATTTTTCCTGCTATCGGTCTTAGGCCTGCTATGAGTGAGCATCAGTGCTGCTGGGCCAAGGCTACATACTACCTCTGTGCTGCCAGTACGGTTGTGATTGATAATGTGGCTATCGTTTCATATGTTAACCCTCATGCCACGTCGGCTAGCTGCTAGTAGAAACATCATTGCGCGTGCTGTTTCTCATGCAGGAGTTGCGGTAAGTGCAACAACAGCATGTAACATGAATGGTGCTGCCAAATTGTGCTGCGAGAGGCTCCGCACAGAGAATAGTCATATATATATATATATATATATATGCATACACATTTACATATATGTTTTTATAGAAAATTTGCACATTTTTTGTAATTTCAGGATTTTCCATTTTATGGAATTTTATATACAGGTTTTTATGATTTGGAAATGACAGTGGGGTAGGGAGAGGCGCCTGGAAGGCCTTCGAAGTGGAAACGAGCAAAGCACGCCAGGTTTTACAGAAAATTTCCACGGCTTTCATTTCTTGCAGATGAAGTAATTACACTTTTTGCCAACATTTAAAACATTCCCTTGCTCGTTTTGCACTTTCCAGTTTCGGATGCCTTCCGCAGTCTTCCGCTGCCCCGTTGTCTTTTCCTCGGAACGTTTCAGAAGAAACATGTAAGTTTTCCATAACATATTTCCCGGCAGCTCTGGCTTCTGTCTGACGACCCAATGTCATTACAGCAAGGGTGGCGAAGTGTTCGTAGGAGTAGTGAGTAGTGGAAGCAGTATCTGTCATTATTCTTGGTGGTGGCTCCGCAGCAACAGGAGTATTCTCACCAGCAGTGTTATGTGTCGGAGATGCTGGGTAGGGGACGACTGGCTTGTGCCGACAAGTTGACGTAGCCAACTCGATGGTAAGGTTAACTTCATTGCGTAACATAGCGAGAACCACGGTAGGACGGATCGGGGTCCTCACTGTCGCCATAGCCCCACCTCGATCTGGAGTCAGCCCTTGATTTAGCAGGCTTGGGTCGGGGGCTGGAGCACCGGATCTGTTACATGCAGCAGGAGACCACGAAGCAGCGAGAGGCAGAGGCTGAAGCGCGAAAGGCAGGGATGCCATGAGCCGCGCTGTGCTAGGAAGCCTGAGCCCCCCCCCAACAATCCGCCTAAAGCTGGCCCATAACAGCAATTCCCAGGTTCAGATCGAGGCAGAGCAGAAGACATTGAGCGACGAACGAAGCAAAAACGAGGAGCTGAGCAAGGCTCGCTTTGCTCCGGCTTGAAACTGGCAAGGTTGTTCCGTGAGGGTTGGGAACATTACGGTACACTTTTCACCACCAGCCTGTGCTAGCTATTCTAGCCATCTAGGCAGCTGTCCTTTTCGAGCTGTCAGAAAGATCAGGATGATCATGGTTTGCTGTTGTAATAAGCATGCCTACGATGACGACATTGTGCCGTGGATTTTCGTTAGTCGATCTTCTGGGTCTGCGATGCATCTTACACGGCAGTAGGATGGCTCCCGGGCCACCCTGTCCCGTGCGTATCACAGCAACCGTAGAGACGTAATTCAGTTGGTGTCGGTGCATTTTTAGGTGTTACAATGGGCACGAAAACCCGCTTGACAGCTGATAGAGGCGCTAGCAACGAGAGAGTCAGGCACCGCCATGGCCAGTGCTGAAGTCGTTGCCTCTCACGAATAGCCGAGAACCGCCAAGGCAGCTTCAACGCCGTTCCGCACAGGACCCCAAGCAAAGCAATCTAGACCGCGAAGCCCAAAGCACCACCTCAACAAGCCTTCGACTGCCTGCAGCCTACAGTCGTCAAGCTCCCTGCTGGTAGCCACTGAAGCTTCCCGAACCTTCCTAAAGGCCCTCGAAGGCCCAAACACCCAAAGCCTGAATCCACGCGGTGAGGCACGCGAGTCTCTGGAAAAAGCGATCAAAGAGAAGGCCGGTGTCAATGTGGTTTTTGCAGCTTCTGAGTAGACGGTCGCGGGCTTTCTGGCTGCTCCAAGTGCCAGGACCAGCGTGCACAAGAGGCCGCCAAAAAGGCAAGTCAGTGCACACGGCTCATGGTGCAGTCACCAATCTAAGCAGCAATGACAGAGATAAAGCCATGTAGGCTAGCAATGGAGACTTCAGTGTTGTGTGATTTTGAGCGGAGACTTCTGAAGTTCAGTGAAGTTCAGTGTTGCGTGACTTTGAGTGCTAACGATGCTTCTGTTCTGCCACCTCCGGCCCTGTACATGAAGCAAATACGCTGCCCTGACCGCCCTTTTCAAGCATGTGCAGTTCGCAGGCACAGGAAGAGCTTGACAAGGAGAAGAAGGAGAAGGCGTCTGACTGCCTGCTATCAAGACTTGCATTTTTGTAACTCTCAACATTCTGCAAGAGAGTCACCCATCCCGTTCATGGTGCGGTTAGCCGCGTAGCCCTGCTCGGCGAGAGCAGAGTTAAGACACCTCAATGCTCGTTCCTCTCTCTGGTCCAGGAACAACAAGCACAAGAAGCCGACGGGAGCTTACACTGGGACAACATGTCTGGGTATGGCAATGCAAATGTATTCTTGGATCATGAGTCTGCCTCGTGTTTGAGTTGTTTTGGATGGGGTTGGCAGCTTGTGTTTTTGCTTCCTAGGCCACGCAGCAGTCCGAGCTGAACAAGAAGGTCACTCAGCTCGAGGCAGCAGCTCTCGAGAATGGAGCGGGGAACAGTTGCACTTTGCACGCTGTGGCCTTCGCTATGGCTATGGGCCTCGATAAAGTCTGGTCGTCCCAGTGGCTGCAGTCAACCCAGGGTGCTTTAGCAAAAGAGTTCCGAGACGAAAGATCAAGTCACACATGATGCTGGCAAGAGACAAGCGAGGTTCATCGAGCGAGAATTTCTCTTCTCAGCATGGTTCGAACACCTTGGTAATAGTCTCAAAATGCGATCCTACTCGTTCCTTGCTCCCCCACGCTCGAGGATTATTGCAGGGATCTTGAGACTGTAGGCTGTTGAGACGAGGTGTACTAGTTACAGGGTCTACATTGCAGGACACCTCGCTTTTGATGTTGCATGAAGTCCGCTGCACAGGCTACACTGCAGGAGGAGCGCGGCAAGGTCCAGACCCTGACCAAGGCAACACCATGTACATAGAATTGGAATAGATGCCGGTGATGACGGTGATGGTGGTGGTGGTGATGATACTGATGATGATGACTGGGGATGGTGATGTTGAAACAGTGACGATCAAGCATGACAAGCCTCCAGGGACAACTTCAGCGATCATTTCAATCTTTGTGATCAGCATGCCGTAGCAAGAGAGGAATACGAGCAAGAGCAGCAAGTCAGAGTTTTCGTTGGAGTTACACAGTGGGGAGGAGGCCCTAGCAGCCCTGGCAGTCCTCTCGTGTTGATAAGCAATGAGGAAATCGTCCTACTGGTAGTTGTATGTGACATTCGGAATGTCAGAGCCCTTTTATGACGCCATCAGACGAATGGAAGCCATGGTCGCGATCACACTACTGGCGTCCATTTGCTATACGCTTTGCATTCTAACTGCAGGTGCGTGACGACTTGGCCAAAGAAGCGAAGGAGCAGGCATTCAGATTGCCAAAGCAGATTCGGATGCCAGCCACACATTGCCTAGAGCAGGCGATAGAAGAAGTGCGCGACATCCACTAGCCATAGAACCTGCTCAGATTGAGTTGCTGCAGGAAAGACGTGCCAAGCAAAGTGAAGGTCTTAAGGCGTTTCGCCCTCAGGCAATTAAGTTCCATTGCTGTTCTGGTGCAGGTGTAGGGCATGCGTTGCAAAACCCTACCAGAGCTAAGCCCTGCCTTCCAGAAGTTTCAGGTTGCACACCAAGAAAATCGATGAACTGACCGCAGTTGCCTCAGATGGCTTGCAACATCAAGCCGTATAGCTGGTTGGTGGGAGCTTCTTCGTGGCAAGGCAGGAGCACGGAACTTGTCGCTAGTGTCCAAGCATCCGAGAAAGAAGGGGCGAGGGAGGAATTAGCTGTTTTGAGCGGAAACAGCAGCCTGTGCATCGGTGGACCCCTACAGTGCGAAAACACTAGGGTGATTGCATGTAGCACCTTCCTAGCAACGATGGTCACAGCCACACAGATCCAGGCGAAGTTGGAGGCGGAAAAAAAGCAACTGGAAGACGAGCGGAGCAAGACCCAATCCATGACCAAGGCGCGAGTTGCATTCTTTGCCTCAGGTTGACAGTTAGGTATCCTCCATCCCGATCCCTCAATACGGACCTATCTCTTCGGCTGTTCACGTCTGAGAGGCACAAGAAGATTCTGCAAAGGAAGCCAAGGAGAAGGCCCGATGCAACCGATGATCATTGCAGTACGGCTCCTAAGACTATTCTTACCTTTGGTTAGTAGGGAATGGCAGAATGGTAATAATAGTAGTTATAGTTATAATTATAACCATATTATACCCTATTCCTCCATTCCCTACTAACCAAAAGTAAGTATTGCTGTCCTGTCCCTCGCACATGCAAGGGCTCACAACACTCCGAACTCCAGAAGAAGTTCACGCAGCTGGAGGCAGCCATCGATCCGAGCTTGTTGCTTTCAGAGGAGGATGGCTCGCGAGCAGCGTTTCCATAATGTTTCTAATAATAATGTATCTACTATAATGTTTCTATAATGTATCTATAATGTGTCTATAGTGTTTCTATAATGTTTCGACAATGTTTGGTTGGTTGTACGGCCCTGAAGGCCACACTGCAGGAGGAGCGGGGCAAGACTCAGGCGATCACCAAGGCGCCGCCGATGAGTATCGACTTTGAGTATCGTTCTATGGCATTGACATGTTAGTAAACTAGAAGTTTTCAAAGATGAAACTGCAGCGGGAGGATTTCGGGAACAGTTGCAGCTGTAGTGGCAGCAGCAACAACGAAACCAGCCGTCGTCGTCGTCGAGTCGCAATTGCCGTAGCCGTAGCCGTGTGGTTGACACTGAGCTGCGGCAGCCTTGAACAAGACAAGTGTGGCGCGGGTATCACGGCGATAGTGGTGGTGATGATGGCGGTGATGGCATTGAAGGTGATGAGGACGCATCACGTTTGCCTAAGCTTTTGATAAATATCTGGGTTCGGCCGTCATGTGTGCATGATGCAGAAGACTCGATGATGGCGAGGCTGATGACGGCAGTCGCTGTCGTGATGATCAAGATGAGGATTTCTAAGACTGAGATCCCCATGCCCTCAGATATGCCGAGGATCCTGATCACAACAATGCACTGTTGGGGCTAGACGTAGAGACTGACGAACCGCACAGATCCTGCCAGAGGTTCTGCATGCATTGCAGGTTCGTGACAACATGGAGAAGGCAGCCCAAGAGCAGGCGTTGCACCTGTGAGCATGCTCAAAGCGTGTGCGTGTGACTCTCAGATCATCTCATAGTCATAGAAATCACAGAGCCAGCGACGTTTGCCATCAATCTACAGCCTGCTCTAGTTAGTTCCTTCATTCGAAGTAGAGCTTGCACATAACTGTGCCCGGTGCCCGACTGCCATGAATCCCTACAGGAGAAGAAGCTTCAAGCCAATGACACATTGAAGCAGCAGCGCCCTCGGAAAGGGAACTGCTCCGGATCACGGGAGCCACGCTGCAAGGGAAGATAAATCCAGCTGCAATCTGTTACCACGTCTTTCGAAACTGCCCAGATCGTAACCCGGAAACCCGAAGCCTTCGACGCTTCCCAGGTTGCAGATGAAACGCGTCGACAAACTGGAGGCCTGCTTTGTCGTACCAAGTCTCATCCCACTGAAGGTACCATTAAGGGCTCCTTTCATAGCTTTTCTAGTGGTTGCGGGGTGCCCAAACAGAACCAGCTTCGAGCGTGTGAGGGCTAAAAGGGTTTTTGGGACTCAGGTCCCAGCTTGAGGGTTCAGGGCTTGGAGCTAAGAGCTAGCCGGCTTTGGGGAGTAAAGTCTGATGCTGTTAGGTGTGTGGGTTAGGGGGCCTGAATCGAATCTGGTTGTAAGCCCTGTGAAATCAAGCCCTGAAATCCTACAGCCCTAACGCTGTGAAGCCCTAACCACCCAAACTCCAAACTAAATCCCCGCGTTCTAGCCCTGGTAGAAAAAATGCAATCTCTAGACCTCGTGTTAACCACCTTCTAAAACCCCGGCAAGACCCTGAGGAAGAGAAGAAGCTCTTGACCGAGCAAGTGGCGAAGCTCAAGGCTGAAATGGCGAAGCGAGCGCCTGAGGCCTGTCGCGTTTTGCTTTATACGGGAATTTAAACGGCTTTATCGGGGTTTAGGGCTCAGCGGGCTGCGGAGGACTTGAAGGAGGTTCGGTGTTGGGGCTTCAGGTTTGGGGTTGAGGACTTGATTTGGGGGTTCAGGGTTGAAGATTAAGAGGCTTTGGGCCTTTGAGTTTCAATTCTACTGATGTTGTTGATTGTCCTGAAGGGCGCTCTTAAAGGGTTTCTGTGGGGCGTGGTAGGTTGTTGTTTGTTTGTTTGTTGCAATGGAACTGTGGGTCCACATATTGTTTCAATAACTCGTGCCTGACAGGGAAGCTTAGTTCTTGACGGGCGGATGGCAGGTTAAAGCGCCGTTTGCCCGAATCCTGCACCTGGGTGGTTGTCAAAATTATGGTCCTTTCTGGGTCCCTAATAGCACGGCACCTCATATTTATGGTACCCAAAAAGGGGGCCATCATTTTGACAACTACCCACCTGGAGGATCAGAAGGAGCTGAAGGCCGTTCAGAGGCAAGCTGACCTGGCGATACACCTTTCCATGGAGTACCGCAAGGCGGGCCCAGCTTCTTACCTTTGGTTAGTAGGGAATGGAGGAAGGGGCCTGGGGTATAATTACAACTCCTATTACTTCCAATCTTCCATTCCCTACTAACCAAAGGTAAGCCTTCGGTAGCCGTTTACCCACTCACAAAGACATGAGGTCAACCACAGCGGAAAGTATTGGCTCCTGGTACGAACCGTAGTGCTGTCTTCCCCGTGACGCAAGATAGCAAGATTCGCTGTTTTGAGGGGGCTGCTGTCGCAAGTTGCAGAAACTCGTAGGTTCATTGCTATGGTATGTCGAAAGGCAACCAAGACTTGTAACAAGAAACCCAGAATTTTGGGGCTGGGGTGGTGTAACTCAACCCTGAAGCGCATAGCCGAGCCCCGGCAAACCTGCTAAGCCCAAAGGGGCAAATTCAATTCCGAGCTCTTCTCTTTCGTCGCCAGGCTGTGGAAGCCTTGCTGCCAGAGGCCGGACGGGAGTTTCTCAAACTTAGGTTACCCCCCCTGCGCCCCCCTGCCCCTGCCCCCCCCATGCCCACCTACCCCTCGCCCCCCCTTTCCTGTTGGGTGTAGACGGGTAAGCTGCTCTTGCCCCGGGATGAACCTATAATTCATTGAGATAAAGCAATGTCCTTGTTTAGTGTGATCGGGTCTTCGGACATCTTTGCGTTGTTGGAGCCAGTTTCTTCCCAGATCCTAGAGGTGACGATCAGTCAACAATCCAAACCTGCCGAGCCTCCATGCACTTCCGCTGCAGGTCTTGGGGCGTCAGAAGTTTTCGGGTCTTCGGGGATTACGATTCTAGGGTTCAAATGGATTCGGAATCAGGTCACTGCCTCTCAGTGCGTCTCCGTTTCGAATCATGTACAGTACTTGAAGACTGACTTGTGCGGCGTGTTGTGGGGCTTTTACGGTCTGGCTTTGTGGGCTTTAGGAAGTTTAGATGGTTTCAGATTCGTTGTGAGAGGCTTTGTGTGAAGTATTCCCACTCCTCCGAACCCCTTGGCTTGAGCATACCTGAATCTACGAGCCCTTTAGGACAAATTAGGCTTTGGAGTTTAGGAAGTAAGGTGTAGGAACTGCAAATGTCAAGTTGGGGTTATGGTCTTCGTAAGCAGGATTTTGGTGGTTTGTTTTTGCTTTCAGAAGCATGACGCCCGCAAAATGATTCAAGGATGCCTCTAGTAGATTCTCTAGATCCCAAGGCTGCATGACCCTCTATTCTACAGACAGCATAGAAGCATCGATGCTTACGAGGTGAACAACTCTTGCAAAGGATCCGAAATCCCAAAGTACACACACAATACACGCGATACATCTTGAAGAACAGAACCCAGAATCCGCCAGCTCCTAGGCCTTACACCTGAACCTCGTCGGGTTTAGGGCTTTAGGGTCCCTAAACCCTAAACCCTAAACCACCCTAAGCTGCTGAATCTGAAGAGCAGGTTGCGGGCGGCCAAGGCCTGACTGCGCTCTGCTCTTTTTTTCGAATGGTCTGCACGGTCTTTCACACAATGTCCTACGGTGATAAGGACTTAATATGGCTTTAATAAGGGCTTAATATAACCTTAATAAGGGCTTTAATAAGTATCCCAGGACGTTCCAAAGTCCACAGAATTGAGGATTTTCAGGATCTTCCCGGGTTGGCTCTAGTTCCTCTATGATCGGGCAGAGCTTGGCTTGTTTGGCTGGGATTTCGCATGAATGGCCCCCTCGACATGCCTTTTGATAGATTCCCACGACTATACGATGAACTTCAGAGACTATGAAAGCGGCGGCGGACAATGCCTACGCCGGCCTCAGGGTTTAGGGGACCAGTGAGTGCAGCCGTCAAGTCCTGTCAGACGCTCTCGCGGTACAGCATAAGCCCGCACCGCAGCCGGCACAAGAAGCCGTGGCGGCGAAGGCCAGGCCTCCGTTCCTGGAAGGTTTGGAGCAGGTGCCTCCATAGGAATTGAGCAGCTGCCTGCATAAGAATATAATGCACATTATGGCTATGCGCTTTCAAAGTAAAGCATGAAGTCCGCAGTGCCTTCAATGGGTTGCAGACAACCAACAACCGACTTGCGGTCTTAGAGACGTCGTCCTTGGTGGCGCACCGCGCGTTGAGGATCCCCAAGTGCGCGACTGCCCGAACTGGGCAGAACGGCAGGCCGAGAGCAAAGCAGCTGAAGTGCAAGAGGCACAGCCAGAGCAGGCCTGGGCTTGTGTTGGGCCAGCCACGCAATCTAAACCCGCACTTCTTAAAGCCGGTCGGCCAGGTAAGGGGGTAGGTTTGGGTCAGAAGTTCTCGATGCTGACATGAACGAGGCTGCACGTCGCCGGAAGATTCCACTTAGGGAAGTTGCCCAAATGCGGAGCGAGCCTTCGTAATTCAAGAACTCGACGTTTCGAGCGTGGCCAGCCAGACAGGCCGAAGCCAAAGCAGGTGAAGTTCAAGCAACTCAGCTGCAGCAGGCCGGGTCTATGTTTTTGAGGCCCATAGACCCGGGTTCCCCACAGGAGGCCTGGCGTGGATGTTCGCTTTTCAGCCCGCTTGATACCAACGGCTTGTAAGAGGCGAACGCCATTCCACGTAGAAAGGGGGATGGAAAGTGTGCTTTAACAAGAGTGTCTCGAGGCCAAGTTACGCTAGCAAACCTGCCAAATTTCGGTTTCATGCTGTCATTGGAAGCCGGATCCTCATAGGATTGCACAGTGCCCCGATGGCGAGGCCGAAAGCAAAGCAGCTGAAGCGCAGGAAGCGCAGGCCCCGTCCAGTTTTGACTTTCGAGTCTCACAGGGATGCAACAGACTAAATGCTTCTGGGACCACAGTCGGGATGAAGCTTTGATATCTCTGGCTATCCCATAGTTCTTCTTGCAGCCATGCTTCATTTCGGCTTCCGTGAGGCTGTTGGAAGTATTTGGAAGTCAAGTGCATCTTAGAAGGTTCTCGATGCCATTACGAACGAGGCTGCAGGTCGTCGGAGGATTCCACTTCGGTTGAGCAGTCGTCCAGACGCGGAACGAGCCTTCGTAATTCAAGAACGCGACGTTTCGAGCGTGGCCCACAGACAGGCCGAAGCCAAAGCAGGTGAAGTTGAAGCACCTCAGCTGCAGCAGGCCGGGTCTCGGTTCGGTTTCCCCTAGACGTGTGAGGCCCATAGAGTCGGGTTCCCCACAGGAGGCCGGGCGCGGATGTTGACTGCTCAGCCCGGGGCGCCTCGCAAAACATGCCCAAGCGTGCAACTTGACACCAACGGGTGTTAAGACCTGTCAAGAGATTTGACGTAGAGTCGCGCCAGTGTGCTTGAGCAATTAGCAAGAGTGTTGAGAACCTGCCACATGTCGGTTTCGTGTTGTCATTAGAAGCCGGATCCTCATAGGATTCTGCTGTGCCCCAGAGAACCGATGGCAGGCCGAAAGCAAAGCAGCTGAAGTACAGGAGACACAGCCTGCGCAGGCCCCGTCCGGTTTTGATTCTCGAGTTAGTCCTGGACCTGCATGTGCGTTACAGTGACAGAATGGATTTCGCGGCAGAGGTCTTAGGTGGATGTCCATGGTAGATCGTTGTGGACGACGGTCATGCACTCCATTCAGCACAGGGATGCAATTGGCTACATGCGGATAAGTGCTTCTAAGAAGTGGCACCACCGTCGGGATGGAACTTTTGCTCTAGCAGAGTGACGAGTTGCAGTATCGCATAATGGCCCGTGCAACCCTGTTTCATCTGGGTTCTGTGAGGTCGTAGGAAGTGCCGTGCATCTTGGGCATCCCCAGATACTCAACTAGGATGTTGCAACACTGTGGGATGCCCGAACTGGGCAGCGCGGCAGGCCGAGAGCAAAGCAGCTGAAGTGCAAGAGGCACAGCCAGAGCAGGCATGGTACTTCTGGTTAGAAGGTTCTCGATGCCAGCACGAACGAGGCTGCAGGTCGTCGGAGGATTCCACTTCGGTTGAGCAGTCGTCCAGACGCGGAACGAGCCTTCGTAATTCAAGAACGCGACGTTTCGAGCATGGCCCACAGACAGGCCGAAGCCAAAGCAGGTGAAGTTGAAGCACCTCAGCTGCAGCAGGCCGGGTCTATGTTCGGTTTTCCCCTAGACGTGTGAGGCCCATAGAGTCGGGTTCCCCACAGGAGGCCGGGCGCGGATGTTGACTGCTCAGCCCGGGGTGCCTCGCAAAACATGCCCAAGCGTGCAACTTGACACCAACGGGTGTTAAGACCTGTCAAGAGATTTGACGTAGAGTCGCGCCGTGTGCTTGAGCAATTAGCAAGAGTGTTGAGGCCAAGTTGCGATAGCAAACCTACCACAAGTCGGTTTCGTGTCGTCATTAGAAGCCGGACCCTCATAGGATTCTGCTGTGCCCCAGACAACCGATGGCAGGCCGAAAGCAAAGCAGCTGAAGTACAGGAAACACAGCCTGCGCAGGCCCCGTCCGGTTTTGATTCTCGAGTTAGTCCTGGACCTGCATGTACTTTACAGAAAGGATTTCGCGGCAGAGGTCTTAGGTGGATGTCCATGGTAGATCGTTGTGGACGACGGTCATGCACTCCATTCAGCACAGGGATGCAATTGGCTACATGCGGATAAATGCTTCTATGAAGTGGCACCACCGTCGGGATGGAACTTTTGCTCTAGCAGAGTGACGAGTTGCAGTATCGCATAATGGCCCGTGCAACCCTGCTTCATCTGGGTTCTGTGAGGTCGTAGGAAGTGCCGTGCATCTTGGGCATCCCCAGATACTCAACTTGGATGTTGCAACACTGTGTGATGCCCGAACTGGGCAGCGCGGCAGGCCGAGAGCAAAGCAGCTGAAGTGCAAGAGGCACAGCCAGAGCAGGCCTGGTACTTCTGGGTTAGAAGGTTCTCGATGCCAGCACGAACGAGGCTGCACGTCGTCGGAGGATTCCACTTCGGTTGAGCAGTCGTCCAGACGCGGAACGAGCCTTCGTAATTCAAGAACGCGACGTTTCGAGCGTGGCCCACAGACAGGCCGACGCCAAAGCAGGTGAAGTTGAAGCACCTCAGCTGGAGCATGCCGGGTCTAGGTTCGGTTTTCCCCTAGACGTGTGAGGCCCATAGAGTCGGGTTCCCCACAGGAGGCCGGGCGCGGATGTTGACTGCTCAGCCCGGGGTGCCTCGCAAAACATGCCCAAGCGTGCAACTTGACACCAGCGGGTGTTAAGACCTGTCAAGAGATTTGACGTAGAGTCGCGCCGTGTGCTTGAGCAATTAGCAAGAGTGTTGAGGCCAAGTTGCGATAGCAAGCCTGCCACATGTCGGTTTCGTGTCGTCATTAGAAGCCGGACCCTCATAGGATTCTGCTGTGCCCCGGACAACCGATGGCAGGCCGAAAGCAAAGCAGCTGAAGTACAGGAGACACAGCCTGCGCAGGCCCCGTCCGGTTTTGATTCTGGAGTTAGTCCTGGACTTGCATGTTCGTTACAGTGACAGAATGGATTTCGGGGCAGAGGTCTTAGGTGGATGTCCATGGTAGATCGTTGTGGACGACGGTTTTGCACTCCATTCAGCACAGGGATGCAATTGGCTACATGCGGATAAGTGCTTCTAAGAAGTGGCACCACCGTCGGGATGGAACTTTTGCTCTAGCAGAGTGACGAGTTGCAGTATCGCATGGCCCGTGCAACCCTGCTTCATCTGGGTCTTGTGAGGTCGTAGTAGGAAGTGCCGTGCATCTTGGGCATCCCCAGATACTCAACTTGGATGTTGCAACACTGTGTGATGCCCGAACTGGGCAGCGCGGTAGGCCGAGAGCAAAGCAGCTGAAGTGCAAGAGGCACAGCCAGAGCAGGCATGGTACTTCTGGGTTAGAAGGTTCTCGATGCCAGCACGAACGAGGCTGCACGTCGTCGGAGGATTCCACTTCGGTTGAGCAGTCGTCCTGACGCGGAACGAGCCTTCGTAATTCAAGAACGCGACGTTTCGAGCGTGGCCTACAGACAGGCCGAAGCCAAAGCAGGTGAAGTTCAAGCACCTCAGCTGCAGCAGGCCGGGTCTAGGTTCGGTTTTCCCCTAGACGTGTGAGGCCCATAGAGTCGGGTTCCCCACAGGAGGCCGGGCGCGGATGTTCACTGCTCAGCCCGCGGTGCCTCGCAAAGCATGCCAAAGCATGCCAAAGCGTGCAACTTGACACCAACGGGTGTTAAGACCTGTCAAGAGATTTGACGTAGAGTCGCGCCAGTGTGCTTGAGCAATTAGCAAGAGTGTTGAGGCCAAGTTGCGATAGCAAACCTGCCACATGTCGGTTTCGTGGCGTCATTAGAAGCCGGATCCTCATAGGATTCTGCTGTGCCCCGGACAACCGATGGCAGGCCGAAAGCAAAGCAGCTGAAGTACAGGAGACACAGCCTGCGCAGGCCCCGTCCGATTTTGATTCTCGAGTTAGTCCTGGACCTGCATGTACTTTACAGAAAGGATTTCGGTCTTAGGTGGATGTCCATGGTAGATCGTTGTGGACGACGGTCATGCACTCCATTCAGCACAGGGATGCAATTGGCTACATGCGGATAAGTGCTTCTAAGAAGTGGCACCACCGTCGGGATGGAACTTTTGCTCTAGCAGAGTGACGAGTTGCAGTATCGCATAATGGCCCGCGCAACCCTGCTTCATCTGGGTTCTGTGAGGTCGTAGGAAGTGCCGTGCATCTTGGGCATCCCCAGATACTCAACTTGGATGTTGCAACACTGTGTGATGCCCGAACTGGGCAGCGCGGCAGGCCGAGAGCAAAGCAGCTGAAGTGCAAGAGGCACAGCCAGAGCAGGCCTGGCGGCCTGGTACTTCTGGGTTAGAAGGCTCTCGATGCCAGCACGAACGAGGCTGCAGGTCGTCGGAGGATTCCACTTCGGTTGAGCAGTCGTACTGACGCGGAACGAGCCTTCGTAATTCAAGAACGCGACGTTTCGAGCATGGCCGACAGACAGGCCGAAGCCAAAGCAGGTGAAGTTCAAGCACCTCAGCTGCAGCAGGCCGGGTCTAGGTTCGGTTTTCCCCTAGACGTGTGAGGCCCATAGAGTCGGGTTCCCCACAGGAGGCCGGGCGCGGATGTTCACTGCTCAGCCCGCGGTGCCTCGCAAAGCATGCCAAAGCATGCCAAAGCGTGCAACTTGACACCAACGGGTGTTAAGACCTGTCAAGAGATTTGACGTAGAGTCGCGCCGTGTGCTTGAGCAATTAGCAAGAGTGTTGAGGCCAAGTTGCGATAGCAAACCTGCCACATGTCGGTTTCGTGTCGTCATTAGAAGCCGGATCCTCATAGGATTCTGCTGTGCCCCGGACAACCGATGGCAGGCCGAAAGCAAAGCAGCTGAAGTACAGGAGACACAGCCTGCGCAGGCCCCGTCCGGTTTTGACTCTCGAGTTAGTCCTGGACCTGCATGTGCGTTACAGTGACAGAATGGATTTCGCGGCAGAGGTCTTAGGTGGATGTCCATGGTAGATCGTTGTGGACGACGGTTTTGCACTCCATTCAGCACAGGGATGCAATTGGCTACATGCGGATAAGTGCTTCTAAGAAGTGGCACCACAGTCGGGAAGGAACTTTTGCTCTAGCAGAGTGACGAGTTGCAGTATCGCATAATGGCCCGTGCAACCCTGCTTCATCTGGGTCTTGTGAGGTCGTAGTAGGAAGTGCCGTGCATCTTGAGCATCCCCAGATACTCAACTAGGATGTTGCAACACTGTGTGATGCCCGAACTGGGCAGAACGGCAGGCCGAGAGCAAAGCAGCTGAAGTGCAAGAGGCACAGCCAGAGCAGGCCTGGTACTTCTGGGTTAGAAGGCTCTCGATGCTAGCACGAACGAGGCTGCAGGTCGTCGGAGGATTCCACTTCGGTTGAGCAGTCGTCCTGACGCGGAACGAGCCTTCGTAATTCAAGAACGCGACGTTTCGAGCGTGGCCTACAGACAGGCCGAAGCCAAAGCAGGTGAAGTTCAAGCACCTCAGCTGCAGCAGGCCGGGTCTAGGTTCGGTTTTCCCCTAGACGTGTGAGGCCCATAGAGTCGGGTTCCCCACAGGAGGCCGGGCGCGGATGTTCACTGCTCAGCCCGCGGTGCCTCGCAAAGCATGCCAAAGCATGCCAAAGCGTGCAACTTGACACCAACGGGTGTTAAGACCTGTCAAGAGATTTGACGTAGAGTCGCGCCAGTGTGCTTGAGCAATTAGCAAGAGTGTTGAGGCCAAGTTGCGATAGCAAACCTGCCACATGTCGGTTTCGTCTTGTCATTAGAAGCCGGATCCTCATAGGATTCTGCTGTGCCCCAGACAACCGATGGCAGGCCGAAAGCAAAGCAGCTGAAGTACAGGAGACACAGCCTGCGCAGGCCCCGTCCAGTTTTGACTCGAGTTAGTCCTGGACCTGCATGTGCGCTACAGTGACAGAATGGATTTCACGGCAGAGGTCTTAGGTGGATGTCCATGGTAGATCGTTGTGGACGACGGTCGTGCACTCCATTCAGCACAGGGATGCAATTGGCTACATGCGGATAAGTGCTTCTAAGAAGTGGCACCACCGTCGGGATGGAACTTTTGCTCTAGCAGAGTGACGAGTTGCAGTATCGCATAATGGCCCGTGCAACCCTGCTTCATCTGGGTTCTGTGAGGTCGTGGGAAGTGCCGTGCATCTTGAGCATCCCCAGATACTCAGCTAGGATGTTGCAACACTGTGTGATGCCCGAACTGGGCAGCGCGGCAGGCCGAGAGCAAAGCAGCTGAAGTGCAAGAGGCACAGCCAGAGCAGGCCTGGTACTTCTGGGTTAGAAGGCTCTCGATGCTAGCACGAACGAGGCTGCAGGTCGTCGGAGGATTCCACTTCGGTTGAGCAGTCGTCCTGACGCGGAACGAGCCTTCGTAATTCAAGAACGCGACGTTTCGAGCGTGGCCCACAGACAGGCCGAAGCCAAAGCAGGTGAAGTTCAAGCACCTCAGGTGCAGCAGGCCGGGTCTAGGTTCGGTTTTCCCCTAGACGTGTGAGGCCCATAGAGTCGGGTTCCCCACAGGCGGCCTGGCGTGGATGTTCACTGTCAGCCCGCGGTGCCTCGCAAAACATGCCAAAGCGTGCAACTTGACACCAACGGGTGTTAAGAGGCAGACGGCATTCGACGTCGAGTCGCCCCAGTGGGGGATGGAAGTTGTGCTTGAGCAAGAGTGTTGAGGCCAAGGTGCGATAGCAAGCCTGGGGCGTGTCGGTTGCGTGTTGTCATTAGAAGCCGGATCCTCGTAGGATTGTGCTGCGCCCCAGAGGGGCCGATGGCAGGCCGAAAGCAAAGCAGCTGAAGTACAGGAGACACAGCCTGCGCAGGCCCCGTCCGGTTTTGATTCTGGAGTTAGTCCTGGACTTGCATGTACTTTACAGAAAGGATTTCGCGGCAGAGGTCTTAGGTGGATGTCCATGGTAGATCGTTGTGGACGACGGTCATGCACTCCATTCAGCACAGGGATGCAATTGGCTACATGCAGATAAGTGCTTCTAAGAAGTGGCACCACCGTCGGGATGGAACTTTTGCTCTAGCAGAGTGACGAGTTGCAGTATCGCATAATGGCCCGTGCAACCCTGCTTCATCTGGGTTCTGTGAGGTCGTAGGAAGTGCCGTGCATCTTGGGCATCCCCAGATACTCAACTTGGATGTTGCAACACTGTGTGATGCCCGAACTGGGCAGTGCGGCAGGCCGAGAGCAAAGCAGCTGAAGTGCAAGAGGCACAGCCAGAGCAGGCATGGTACTTCTGGGTTAGAAGGTTCTCGATGCCAGCACGTACGAGGCTGCAGGTCGTCGGAGGATTCCACTTCGGTTGAGCAGTCGTCCTGACGCGGAACGAGCCGTCGTAATTCAAGAACGCGACGTTTCGAGCGTGGCCCACAGACAGGCCGAAGCCAAAGCAGGTGAAGTTGAAGCACCTCAGCTGCAGCAGGCCGGGTCTAGGTTCGGTTTTCCCCTAGACGTGTGAGGCCCATAGAGTCGGGTTCCCCACAGGAGGCCGGGCGCGGATGTTCACTGCTCAGCCCGCGGTGCCTCGCAGTGGGCAACTTGACACCAACGGGTGGTAAACGGCAGACGGCATTCGACGTAGTGTCGCCCCAGCGGGGGATGGAAGTTGTGCTTGAGCAAGAGTGTTGAGGCCAAGGTGCGATAGCAAGCCTGCGGCGTGTCGGTTGCGTGTTGTCATTAGAAGCCGGATCCTCGTAGGATTGTGCTGCGCCCCAAAGGGGCCGATGGCAGGCCGAAAGCAAAGCAGCTGAAGTACAGGAGACACAGCCTGCGCAGGCCCCGTCCGGTTTTGATTCTGGAGTTAGTCCTGGACTTGCATGTACTTTACAGAAAGGATTTCGCGGCAGAGGTCTTAGGTGGATGTCCATGGTAGATCGTTGTGGACGACGGTCATGCACTCCATTCAGCACAGGGATGCAATTGGCTACATGCGGATAAGTGCTTCTAAGAAGTGGCACCACCGTCGGGATGGAACTTTTGCTCTAGCAGAGTGACGAGTTGCAGTATCGCATAATGGCCCGTGCAACCCTGCTTCATCTGGGTTCTGTGAGGTCGTAGGAAGTGCCGTGCATCTTGGGCATCCCCAGATACTCAACTTGGATGTTGCAACACTGTGTGATGCCCGAACTGGGCAGCGCGGCAGGCCGAGAGCAAAGCAGCTGAAGTGCAAGAGGCACAGCCAGAGCAGGCATGGTACTTCTGGGTTAGAAGGCTCTCGATGCCAGCACGAACGAGGCTGCAGGTCGTCGGAGGATTCCACTTCGGTTGAGCAGTCGTCCTGACGCGGAACGAGCCTTCGTAATTCAAGAACGCGACGTTTCGAGCATGGCCGACAGACAGGCCGAAGCCAAAGCACGTGAAGTTCAAGCACCTCAGATGCAGCAGGCCGGGTCTAGGTTCGGTTTTCCCCTAGACGTGTGAGGCCCATAGCGTCGGGTTCCCCACAGGCGGCCTGGCGTGGATGTTCACTGTCAGCCCGCGGTGCCTCGCAAAACATGCCAAAGCGTGCAACTTGACACCAACGGGTGTTAAGAGGCAGACGGCATTCGACATAGAGCCGCCCCAGTGGGGGATGGAAGCTGTGCTTGAGCAAGAGTGTTGAGACCAAGTTGCGATAGCAAACCTGCCACATGTCGGTTTCGTGTCGTCATTAGAAGCCGGATCCTCATAGGATTCTGCTGTGCCCCAGACAACCGATGGCAGGCCGAAAGCAAAGCAGCTGAAGTACAGGAGACACAGCCTGCGCAGGCCCCGTCCAGTTTTGACTCTCGAGTTAGTCCTGGACCTGCATGTGCTTTACAGTGACAGAATGGATTTCGCGGCAGAGGTCTTGGGTGGATGTCCATGGTAGATCGTTGCGGACGACGGTCGTGCACTCCATTCAGCACAGGGATTGTTAGTGGCAGATCCTTGTGGGCGACTTCAATGCTCGTTGGGCAGCTACAAGTTGCATCTAACTGGCCACCAAACGCTTCCAAAAGGTTGCACCGCATTTAGGATGAAAGTATGACACATGCGGTCTAGCACAATGTCGAGACGAACCATGGCACATATACTTGAGCAACCCTTGCATTGTGCGAATGGCAGGCCGAACACAAGGCTGCTGAACCACAAGAGACGATGCCTGAGCAGGCCCCGTCCGATTTGGGAGTTGCAGGTTTGTCCTGGCCTTGCACCCCATAGAGTAGGCTTTCAGGAAGAGGTGTGATGCTGGATGTTGTTTGTGGTGGACCATCGCAGGCGATGGCAGTGTAAACCGTGAAGCACAAACATGCAACTGGGGGCTGATTGCTTCTAAGAAGTGGTACCACATTCGGGATGGAACTTGTTCTTCTTATAAAGAGTGTAAAGGCCCAGCATGGCTCGATGCTTCGAGAGTCCCTGCAGCACATCGCGAGAGGGAGAGGGAGAGAGAGAGAGAGAGAGAGAGAGAGAGAGAGAGAGGGGGGGAAACATCCTCATAAAGCCTCAGAAAACTGGGGGGGCTCTGGTGGCCGAGGGACTTAACTCGTCCCCTATGCCCATAGACTGGTATGCTGTACAGTGTGCTGTGTGGGGCTAGGAAAACGTTTCCTAAGGATTGTCGCTATTGAGCTAACGTCCGTCGTTGCGAATTTAGAGGACAGTTCGCCACAGCAATCGTTGGGAGGATTGAAATGCTCCAACCGAGCTTTCACTGGGCACCCGTCCATGACTCGTCTCCCACTGCCGAGGGCACAAAGCGAAAGGCCGAAAGCCTCGAAGCCGAGGCAGAGCAGCAGGAGGCTCCGGGGATGTTGCGACAGTGTCGTGCGAGTAGTGAGCAGTGTTTGTGGGCTTCCTTCTTTAACAGTAGCCCGAAGCGTCCTTCTTCAGTTCCACGTTTCTTTGCAGACTGCTTGCGAGGCCAAGGTTCAGAGCACTGAAGAGAAAAAGCCCGAGGCGCGCAGCCAAGGCAGCGCCGGAGTTGTGATGCAGTGTTTCAAAGAGGGCTTGGGCCGTCGGTGGCCTTTTTGGGTTCCTCTTTTGGGGATCCTCGCTGTCAGCAAACGCAATGTACGCCGGTGCGAGCTTTCGAAGACCGTGGCCAGGGCCTGGATCCTCCGCGAGGCGCTCAGCGTCTTAGCAGGCTTAGCACCGCAAGCGAACGGTGAAGACAGGGGGATTGCTCGCGTCATGGGACTGACATGTCGTAGCGAATGACGCAGGGCCACACAAACAAACACACAAACACACACACACACACACACACACACACACACACACACACACACACGACACCGTTGGGCAAACTCTGAGGCTGGCTGCCACAATTTTTTTTTTTCACAGACCCTTTTTGGTATGATAAAGAAAGTGGCTATCCTGTTTTTGGCCCGGCCAAAGTCCGGTCTTGGAGACTTTTGACGCGTGATCCGAGTCTTCAGGAGTTGGCTGTTCCTTCGGTGCCCAGTGGACGGTCACAGGCGCTGTGTTGGAAGTCGTCCCAGGCACAAGTCGTGCTAAGAATCCTCTGGGTTCGTTCATTATGTCACTCAGCATATGAAGTAAACAAAGCTTGCAGTCTGGCCAGGCGTTTTGACTTCGTGAGTGCCGAAAGCTAAATCCTCAACCGTAAACTGCCAAAGAGACCTGTTACAGGGTACCTAAGCTGCGCAAAGCCTCCACGCTTGGCCCACCAAGGGCACCGAGCTCAAAGCAGAGGGCCAGGCCGGGTGTTTTCGGGGTCACTACAGTCTTGGGGACAACACAAGCTCCGTATAAAGCAGCGGGTATGAGACTTTACTGGGCTGAATATCTTCCGCATGTGTCGTGAATAAGAGGTGGTGTGCGATTCTAGTACCAGCTTAGTTTCCTTTCTGCTCAGAAGTCCCACTAGTCACTAGTCGTCGCTTCGTACTTCGCATGAGTCTCCAGCTGGGACGCCTACCTCACTCGCTCTCCAGCAGACATGATACAAGCAACGAGCCTTCTTTACGACGTTTCGATCGCTTGCAAGACATCCCTATCTCCAAAACCCTGAATCCCTTAAGCCCAGTAGACATTGCAATTCTACGAGCCTTATAAACCCTGTATACCTTATGTGGGCCTTATAAACGCTCTAAGCCCTAATCCTTAGATCGCCCTCTTGAGTCGCTCGCGCCTGGAGTACGTAAGCTCTGAACCGAGGAATCCAGACCCTGGGTTTCGGGCTAGTATAGAGGCCTTAATAGTTACCTATACTATTCTGGTGGTTCTTTATAACAATTACAGTATATTGTGCCCCGATTCCCTATTCTAATTATTAAGGCCCCTATATTAGCGTTTGGCCCTGCGTCTCCTAAGCCAGACCAACGCTAAATTTCAACCCCCTCGAGGCAAGAAAGGCGACCCAGACCTCCATGCCTAATATGGTGGCCTTAATAGTTAGAATAGGGTTTGGGGCCTCTTATACTAAAATTACAATCAGAACCCCCCCAAAATACTATAAGGCTATAAGTCGTGAGACCCCTACATTAAAGTTCTGAAGTGCAGGTTGCAGACGGCAAAGGCTGGGCCACGCCCCTGTCCTCTTACGGAATAGTCTGCAGGGCTTAGAATTTAGCCTAGGCTACTGTTCAATCATACTGTCGTGTTCCTCAATCTGCTCCGTTGATTAGTGCCCCTCTAGATAACTGTTTCATGTTAACTTGCTCCATATTTGCTCCCTATTTCGGGTCACAGCGGCCCTCCCCGATTTACTTGGTGATGATCGTGGTTGTCGAAATTGCCGCAGTTTTAATAGCTGGCAGCAGCAATCGGGAATATTAACAGTTAAACTAGTTAGGAATGGCGGAACTACTGGCTAGTTTGCTGGACATAGTTAGGTTATCGACCTCCAAGCAGTACCTCTAAACCGTGCTACTGAAGCTCACGGCCACCCAGAATTTTCTCTTAAATCTACAACTCAACTGGGCGCCCACGTCGGGCCTGATTTTTGTTGGGTTCTCGGCAAGCTTCTGGCCAACTCGGTGGTTTGGGTGCTCAGCATAGCCTAAGCCCTAGAACCCAAAACCCTAAACTAGGAGCCGTTCTTCAGCTGCAGTGTCACAGCGACCAGAACCAAGAACCTCGCCTGGCCTGGCCCAGTTGCGAGAGCTTAAACCCTAAACTGGTACGTCGTGATCAGCAACTGTCACTCAACAGAGCTCGAACCATATGCCTCGCCTGGATGATCCGAGTGTGAGCGCCGAAACTACCAGTTGTTCATCCAACATGCATCTGTTTTTTGTCGGGCAGAGCTTGGCTTGTTTGGCTGGGATTGTGCATGGATGGGCACCTGAACATGCCTTTGAGTAGATTCCCACCGCTATACGTTGAATTTCACAGACCATAGAAGCGGTGGCGGACTCATTGTTTGTGGAAGCTAACTCCGACGCGGGCCTCAGGGCTAAGGGGACAAGTGAGTGCAGCCGTCAAGTCCTGCCAGATGCTCCCGCCGTTCCGGAGAAGCCCGCACCGCAGCCGGCGGAAGAAGCCGTGGCGGCGAAGGCCAGGCCTCCGTTCCTGGAAGGTTTGGATGGAGCAGGTGCCTCCATAGGAATGCATATGGGCTTTGGAAAAGCGATACGGCCTTAGCAGTCTTGATGCGTTGGATTGATGTTGCCTTCCGTCCAGACTCTCCGTCCTGGGTGGCACACCTCATGTTGAGCACCCCCAAACGCACAACTAGGATGCCCGAGCTGGGCAGAATGGCAGGCCGCAGGCAAAGCGGCTGAAGCGCTGGAGACACAGCCAGAGCAGGCCTGAGCAAAAAGTAGCCATGCTATCTACCGCCCAAGCTTCTATCCGGTCGGCAGCATTGGGTTTGGAAGTTCTCGATGGGGAGGCTGAACATCGTTGGAGGATTCGTTCCACTTCTGGTGAGCAGATCTCGAGCCTTCCTAATTTCAAGACACGAGATGTTTCGAACCGGACCGACTCACAGGTCGAAACCAAAGCAGCCGAAGTTCAAGCAACGCCGCTGCAGGCTCGATCTAGTGTCGGTTCCCCCGCAGGAGGTCTCGCGTGGATGTTCGCTTGTTAAGTCCGTGGTGTGTAGGAAAACACGCTCCAGCACGCCAGTTCACACCAACGTTGTTTAAGAGGCTGAAGGAATTCGCGAGATGAGCAGGGCCGCGTGCCAGGCCGAAAGCAAAGCACCTGAAACACAAGAGACGCGGCCTGAGCAGGCCGTGTGCAGTTTTTGAGCATGGAGGGTGCATGTCATTGTTGATCATTGTGACGATACGCTTCTGAGCAGTGGCCCTGGCAACACAATGGGGATGGAAGTTGTACTATACAGTAGCAAGAGTTTCAATTACTGTAGCTACCAAACTGCAGCGCGGTCTCCGTGTTGTCATTGGAAACTGAGGAGCATCTTCCCAGGTGCCCGAGTAGGATTTCGCAAGACTGCGTGGGTGCCCAAACCTGGCCGAGTGGCAGGCTGACAGCAAAGCAGCTGAAACGCAGGAGACGCAGCCTGAGCAGGCCGTGTGCACTTTTGAGATGTTTTGACTGCCGGGTCTGTACTGGATTTCTGCGAAGAGTAGGCCTCCGGCAATTGTTTGTGGATCTTGCTTGGCGACGGCAATGTAAACCGTGAAGCACAGGAATGCAACTGGCCACCAAACAATTGAAAGAAGTCGGATGCGCCTGGTGCTTTTCCATTGTTCTGGCACGAAGTGACATGATTGTGTCCTCAAACATGCTGCAATTCTGCCGCCGTGTTGTCATTGGAAACTGAGGAGCATCTTCCCAGGTGCCCGAGTAGGATTTCGCAAGACTGCGTGGGTGCCCAAACCTGGCCGAGTGGCAGGCTGACAGCAAAGCAGCTGAAACGCAGGAGACACAGCCTGAGCAGGCCCGGGATAGGGACTCTGGAGATATTCGACTTGAAGGCATCTACATTACATCCACCCGCCGAGTGCTGCCATGGCGAGTTGCAATTCACACGGGTCCCTTCAGCTGGGTTTTAGCAGCAGAGAACCTGGCCGGGACCAGCCCCGAAATGTGAGACCTGTTCGACGAGATGGCGGCGGCAGCGAAATAGTTGTCATATTTTGTCATATTCCTCGCCCAGTTAGGGCTTCGATGGCAAAGCCATAACATGCAGAAGAAGCGAAATTTGGAATTCAGACTTACAAGCTGTGTCGGTTACCGCACAGTAACAGGACCGGCCGGAACTGCGGAGAGTTCATGTCGTACTTGACTAATCGACCTCCACTCCAACCAACCGTAGCCTGGCCACCCGTCCATGACTCGTCTCAGATTAGCCGTCACTGGCCCAGGGCACAAAGCGAAAGGCCGAAAGCCTCGAAGCCGAGGCAGAGCAGCAGGAGGCTCCGGGGATGTTGCGACAGTGTCGTGCGAGTAGTGAGCAGTGTTTGTGGCGTCCTTCTTTAACCGTAGCCCGAAGCGTCCTTCTTCAGTTCCACGTTTCTCTGCAGACTGCTTGCAAGGCCAAGGTTCAGAGCACTGAGGAGAAAAAGCCCGAGGCGCGCAGCCAAGGCAGCGCCGGAGTTGTGATGCAGCGTTTCAAAGAGGGCTTGGGCCTAGGTTTCGATTCCGTCGGTGGCCTTTTTGGGTTCCTCTTTTGGGGATCCTCGTTGTCAGCAAATGTAATAAACATCGGTCGAGCGTTCGAAGACCGTGGCCAGGGCCTGGATCCTCCGCGAGGCCCTCAGCGTCTTAGCAGGCTTAGCACGGCAAGCGAACTGTGAATCCACGGAGGTTGCTCGCGTCATGGGACGGACATGTCGTAGCGAATGACGCAGGGCCACACACCCACCCGACACCGTTGCCGAAATGTGGACCAGCTGACGATAAAGACACTAATCCGAGACTTGAGGAATTAGTGGTTCCTCTGTGCCTCGCTGACGGCCACCGGCACTTGTTTGAAGTCGTCTCGGGAGCAAGCCGTGCTAGGAATCCTTGGGTTTTTCCAGGACAGAACTTGCAACATGTCCCCAGAGCGCCTCGCCCCCAAAAGATGCAAGTCCCATACCCGAGACCTTGTTTAGGGTAATTACCCGGGCTGCCCAAGTTCTCCGCGATTGCCCCGCCAAGGGAACCAAGCGCAAAGCAGAGGGCCCTCCACCCATACGCTTGGCACAACTTGCGCAGGCGGGATCTACACCCAAAGCGTCGAATCAAGCAGCTAGTTAGTTCGTCGGTCATAAACAGAAGTGGTACGATTATGTTTCTACTATAGTTCTTTGTACGCTCAGAACTCCCTCTTGTCGTCACAAGAAGAGTGGCTGCTGCATTGAGTTTTGTTTGTGCTAGTGTTAGTGGAGCGATAAAGAGCTACACCTGAAGGAAGTGGAAGAGCGACTAAGACTAAGCAACGAATGGCAGCAACTGCACGAATAACACTCCAGTGGAGGCAGGGTCGTAACCACAACAAAAGCACGTTGCTGCCATTAGTCTTAGTCGCTCTTCCAGCTCCTTCAGGTGCATCATCGCTCGCATCAAGCTTGACTTGTAAGGGCTGTGCGACGTCGTGCCGACTCTCACATGCTCTTTTGAGGGCATCGTCCGTAGTGATGATGAGTTCGCATGAGTTCGCATACTGTAAGGCTTCATGTTTTCGAAAAAAACGCAATAGAAGCTCGGTCCACTGCTCAAAGATATTCGATGCTGGTCCTAAGGATGCCTTCTCCCAGCTGCGGAATTCAATGAAAGCTATGTCGAGTAAAGAATGCAGTTGTGAAGTGACCCTGGTTCAGAACCGCCTCCACCCAAAAACCTTAGAACAGAAAACGCCCTGAACTCCATGATCTAATCTAGGGTTAGATTAAGTAGCGGTAGTGTCCCCTTTGTACGCCCTGGCCCCTGATAGTCCCTACATATATATATATATATTATAATATATATATATATATAGAGAGAGAGAGACGTATGTATAATATTTACATATTTGTCTTATCTGCATATGTATTTGTTTTCGTTCTCTCAATATACCCCCCAACCCCATTTTAACCACTAAGGCTACATTCATTACAGTTCTGTGGCCTTCGTCTCTGTGGAAGGCTAATGTCAAGGCCCTGGTGCAGGAGCATGCGTCTAAGGCTGCACGCTCTGAAGGCGCGAGGGTGTGCGTAGTTCCGTTTCAACGGGTTTGGATTTGGAGCTGATTTGGAGTTTTTGGGCTTAGGCTTCAGGGGGTTAGGGTCGTCTAAGTCTTAGGTGCTCTACATCTCGCAACTATTGCGCGGTTCGCAAGGCCACTCCAGCCAGCCGCCTGCAGCAGAGGTGCGGTACTCCCACTTGTTGTGGGGAGTAGCTTAGCAGCTTGGTCATTTCCTGCGATAGTGACACACTGCGCTGAGCGTATTGCGCGTTCCTCCATGGAGCGCCTCACAAACGCTTGTCGAGCAGCATGGCAGTAGTTTCCTGTTGCAACATCGTCTGCTGTTTGATATGAATGTGTCGCTGACATGACTGGTCTTGCTCATGCTCCATGGACCCGAACAACTTTCCCTCAACATCGGCAATCTGCCACATGCATTATGTTCCACAGTCGAGTTCGGCTCTCCAGGTCAGTCTTGGTCGGGGTTGCATATGCCAGTCTCTTCTGGTCTTAGTGTAGTCCCGTCTGGTCTTCTCCCTGTACTCTTGTCATTCTCGCTGTGTACGCTTTTTGATTTGGCCGCACTGGTCAGGAATGTCAAAGCTCGTTACATCTTTATGCTGTCCTTCGAAGGTCTTGAATGAGTAGGCTTTGCTGAGGGGTAGTATAAACCAGGGGAAGCTTGAGGCCTGCCCTCATCGTCGTCGGCTTTAGATTTTGGGCCCGAGTGGATCCCCATGCCAGCTCCGGTAAGGAAGGCGCAAAGCCAACTCGGTAGCTGCAGTGGCTCGCCGCACGAGCACAGGGCCCCCATGAGGTCCAAACCCCAAAGCCTGCAATCTGGCGTAGCCGACGCGAGTCAGGATCCGATCCAAGTCCTGGACGATGATTAGCCACGGTGCCTCGTCTTGCAAGTCCTTCTCCTTGTGTGATCATTCAGTTGGCAGCATCAGCAGCAGCAGCACCCAGCTTGAACACTAGAACCACCATGAGCAGTAATCGAAACCTTACCGCATTCCTTATAAGCGTGGTGACGCTAGCGATAGTAATAGCTGTTTTATGATTCTATGCTTTAGGTTTAGGGTTTAGAGTTTGAGTTTAGGGACTTTGAGGGCTATAGGTACCTATTAGCGCTGTTTTTAGCTGCCCACGAACTTCAAATCGCAAAGCCCGAATCCAAGCCTCAAGCCTCAAACCCTGAGCCTTAACCTAACCGAGAACCTGCATAAATGCCGTATGAGGCCCTGTCCGAGGCGAACTCGATTGAGTGCCGAAGAAAATCGCCGAAGCGCAGTTCTAGGGACGAGGCCGGATTCTGTGTGTTGTTGCTGATGCGGTAACTTCTCAAAGGTAGAGCTGTGTAAACAGAGGAGCGCCGCATTTTCAAAACTTATGCGGCTTTATGCATGTGATGCTCCACCAGACACACACACACACACACACGCACACACGCACCCAAGCACACTCGCGCACATGCACAAAGCAACGAACAAACAAACAAACAAGCTGCACAAGCGATGCAAGTGCGGGTGAACACGTGGGAGAGGAGAGTGGGTTGTAAGCT